AAGGTAGTGGGTGTGTGGTGGGTGGGTGGTGGTGCTTGTTTTGTAGGCACAGGCGACGGAGGCGTAAGGTAAGTGGTTGAAGGTAAGTGGGTGTGTGGGTGGGTGGTGGTGCTTGTTTTGTAGGCACGGCGACGGAGGCGTAAGGTAAGTGGGTGAAGGTAAGTGGGTGTGTGGTGGGTGGTGGTGCTTGTTTTGTAGGCACAGGCGACGGAGGCGTAAGGTAAGTGGGTGTGTGTGTGTGTGTGGGTGGGTGGGTGGGCAGGTGGTGCTTGTTTTGTAGGCACGCGCGATTGGTGAGAGCGGACTGGGCATCTCAATACCAATCGACCTTTGATGATCCACAAAGCGACCAAGACAAGACCCTAGCTTTGTGGTGAGAGGGTTACGGGAGCAGATGTCGATGCACCTTCTCGTGGTTGCTCCTGTCAGTACCTGCTTAAGAGCAGGGAAGCTAAGACATCGACACCCTATTATTGATTAGTAGTATCATGTATCAAATAAAAAATGTTCTTCCCGTTCGCTAAACTTGCTTGTGCGTGTTTTATATTGTTGTCATATGCGAGCGAGACTCGTCGTTAGTTCCCCCCCCTCAATTTTTTTGAATTTTAAGGTCAGCCGCCAGAGACACTGTACTGGGCAGCAGAGGGGCATTTGAGGGGAAGAGAATTTTACCAAGTGCCTTATATTCCTTTATAAAAACGTTTTTTTTTTCAGCTCATCTGAGAGCATTCTCTAAAGCAACAAAGAAACCGTTCTTAATTGCAGATCCACATGAAAATGCCAGCAACTTGACCTAATTCAAAAGGTAATTGTTTTAAATGGAGGGGTGAAAAGGAATGAAAAGTGCTATTTCTTTGTTTTATTCTATGTAACGCGGTAATAACAACAAACACGATGGTTGCTTTCTTAATGTTTCTTTAGAACGTATTCATTGTTGAGAAACACTCATTTTGAAGGGATCAATCGAAGCAGCATCGTTGGCATTGGCACACAGCTCATTTTACTCGGACGATTTGCTTGACCGACTTGGTACGAATTGTGAAAGCTTTTTTCTCCTTGCTTTTACAGAACGCGGTTAAGAAACTACCACACACTTGCTCTTTGTTTGCGTTGCAAAAGCACGTTGTGAATGCATTTCTGGTAGCGGCATCGTTGGTGAATCATTTGAACTCTTATTTAATCACAGGAATCAAGACTCATTAGTTGATGGAAAAGGAAGAGGTCAGGGCGAGGGTCTTTTTCGTTTATTCTTTATAGAGTGCAGTAAAGATATTCAACACTTTTCTTGCCTGCTCTCAACTCGCCCTTGCCGTCCATCCACTGTATCAAGTACCCACAAGCACTGCTGATACCTAAGGTTTGTTTCATTGATAGAAAACTGACAAGCTATGGAAGGGAATAAGATATGTTGTATATGAAGTTAGCACTTGTAGGTTTGATTTCTTATTTCTATAGGTTCTGCGCCGCGTTTATGTTATACCCTGCACCACACGTTACAAACACGATTCGCTATACATACACGATCCATACATTGTACGGCACATACAAATACGCATATATACATACGATCACTTGCACATTTGCACGAAAACGAAACGATATTGTAGGCATGGAGCTAAAGGGAAGGGATGCTATTGTGGGATGGACGTCAATACATCATTGGATGGAATCGAAGTATGCTTTTTGTTTCTTACACAACGACCTAGAAAAAGTACTTGGTCATCATATATGAGCTTTCCCGTACCCCACACATTTTAGTAGCAAATTTTTTTGTTCTTATTCACCTTGCAGTCAGCGATAGCTTTACGGCAGGTCTAACCAATTTTTTAACATTTCCATGAAACTGTGCATCTTGGTCCAAACGGAAATAATGTGGCAAATAATAATATTGCCCATGAATGGAGGCTGTTATCTTTTTTGAATGGGGTATGTTATTTCGTTTGACATATCAAGACTGGCTTGTCTGTCAGGAACAGTATGCAAACATGCGCACATAGATCTATCTCATAGCTACGTTCAATACTTTCCTCTCCATTTTCATTGGTAATATATATACCTGCTACAAAGCAATCGTATTGCTTCATCTAGTTGAGCGTAACAACAAGAATAACAACCAAGCAAGAACGAATGCACTAAAGGACATATATGGGTATTACCCCGTGAATAATGGCTGCCCCAGCATCTGACTGAGGATGTGCTATTATTCGCACTAATACTAGGGGCAGCTTGATGTTTAGCTTTCGACAGCGGCAATCAAATTTCATGCATCATCTTCATGTCTATAGTGACTAAAACTTGGTTTTGATTCTGCAGGTGATGAGGTAAGCTCAGCAATAGAGTGTTTCGTGAGAAACCATGCTCGGCAGGAACCAATCGAAAACGCTCTTAATGCCCTCCTTCGTGAATCCGATATGTTATAACAACTACCACCTATACAATTGTTTGTTCAATTTTTTACATACAAAAGTTATCCCAGCTTACAGTAAATGTTGCAAACACTTTCGCTTTAGTTTTATTTTCCTGCAAATAAGCAATGTTTATTGTTCTTGCAAAATTATTTTTCGAATGAAATGCATGAAATTCAAAGGTACTTTTCTTTGACTGCATTGTCACACGTTCTGATGTTTAAAAAAGTAAGTCAAGTTATGCATCAGCTTTTCTTTAATTAATGTACTAACTACTTTTATGATACCGACTGTGCTATATATTGATATGTAAGCTGATAATAATCTATCTTATAACTTATCTAAAAGTAAGAGAGTTACATATGTATTGTTTACGTAGCAGCAGTAGCAGCAACATATAGCTTATGCGTTTTAGTTGATTATTGGCCGGTTCCTTACATCAAATGGCATCAATCTTTTTTGTTGTTAGAAACAAATCAATTACATGCAGTATTGTATACTTCCTTCTTTTTTGGAAGACAACCGACCAGCAAATTCCAAAATTTCTTTTTCTAACCTTGCAGCCGTATAGAATTTCACCTTGTTCAAGATACATATCATGGAAATAATATTGTACCCAGCAACCTCTTTAATCCTGTTTCAAATATGCTTTTATTCGATGGTGTTAAGGACGATCTCTAAACAAATCACTACTCTTTCACCCATGAAAGATATAGATAAGGAGCAACGCTCGCAAAGAAGTTATAGTTTTTTTTTCCGACGTGTTGTTCAGCATATGACATACGTGATACACTTTCGACACCAACTCTAATCAAGTTATTTATGAAGAGTCACTGCCAGTCCAAAAGTTACTCTGGCAAATACGACATACAAACAACGCACTGTAAAGCATCCACAAGCACTCTACTACTGTCTGTCACACTAGTACTCTTTCGCATCAAAGGATCTGTTTTAGAGCCAATTAAGATCTCTTTGATTGGTACCGTGCATTTCTCATCCTTTGCAATTTGCGATATGGTACAATAGAGATTGGCTAACCAACAAGATGTAGCGACCTCGCCGTGATAACAACTGATTGATGACCTGGTGTGAAGAGTAAAGATGAATTCAAGAGAAAAGGAACGTTTAGCCTTCATTTTGATTTAACATGCTGCTTCTGATAACAGTGCAGGAGCTGCGACGACCTTATGGATTTGATAGAAATGGGATTTGTGGGTTAGGAGCTTTAGTGATATTATTTCTCTATAAATTTTCATGGCAATCAGTAATGTGAAAATCAGCAATTGTTGCTTTTCCCTTCTTTTATTTTATAAGTGTTTACGATACATTGATAGTAATAAAAACGTTGCCTCAGAGCCACGCGAGTTCTCTATTCTGTTTTGCATTTTTGAATCTTTACGCGAGATCGGCATCGATTACTCAATGGCGCATGCACTCAATCCTAACTACCCGCTTAGAGAGTGCCGCTGTGGTGCTACAGATATCTTAAGTTCAGTGTCCTCTCCTACAGACACGATTTATACAGCACCTCATCCCTGTCTTTGGTGCAATTTCGAACCTTCTTATCGAGATACAAGCCATGGGTTACACTCTAAACCATCTTCCGCTATTGAGTGTTGGCCTATTCCTTGGCAAATGGATCAAGACCCTTCATGAAATAGGCTAATTGAACCGTCAATCGAGGATTATGATGCCAACAACGAGTTGGCATCAGAGGAATATTTTAGACTAGGTATATAATTTATCAACGTTTGTATATTCCCTTCCTTAAAAGAACGTTCTGCTCCCAAGTAGTTGGGGGTTGGGGTTCCAACTTGGCAACATCACTTTATCTGCTATGATATTATTTTACTATCATGAACATCGTACCGCAAGGAAGCGACTACAGCCCCAATGATCTTCCTGGTAAATCATGCCCCGCCCACAGCCTGCAAGATAAAAACCATGCCCGCATGCCGCCTAGGCTTTTAGATATGTCACACATCAGTCTAGTCAATCTCTATTTAAATAGCTTAGATAATTACAGATTGGTGACTTGTGAATTTGTTATCAACGCTCTTTTGCTCTATCGTGCACCCACTGCTATCTTAGTAGCAAGTATGCTTTAAACGCTTGTCGTCGTGGCAATTTGGCGGCGTTGACGGATTATAATACATCGATAGCTGCTGTAGAGCTGACGAGCTGCCAATCAAATCCTCAACAAAAAGCATATGCATAGGCATACATAAGCCGCGAATATAAGGTGCTGGATTCTCTTTCTAGCCAGTTATCAAAACATCAAGAGGACCGTGAAAACAACCTAAGAAGCTACTGCCTCGACCCTGTCGAAAGTGCCTGATGTAGTTCGCGCTATTGTAAGAGATTCGAGAATGTTGGCAGAAGCATCACTTTTGTTTCAGATTGTGTTACACATTGGATCGTTATTAGTTAGAGCGAATTAAACATTATTTCAGGGCTGCATGAAATGAGCAGCGTACTATTGTTGAAAGGCTCTTTTTTGCTTTCATGTTATTTACAGTCGGAAAAGTTACAAATAGAAAAGAGATACCATTATAATAAGTCGCTGTTGATGTTATTTTACCACTTTCCTTTGCTTTACCAGCAGAGTCCACCCAAGAACTCGAAGCATTCTAATCCCATACCCCAAATATCAATGTGCTGAAGTGCCCATTTCCGTTCTTCATTGACATATTCTATCTCGTGTTTTTGGACTGCGCCCATATTGACATTCTTGTTGTCTGTCATACGTTCAGGAGCAGCTTCCCATACGTTTTTGTGCTCTTGATGGCAGGTGAAACCCTTGTCGCTGTAGACCACAGGAATATCAAAAGTCCATCGTGCAGTGCCAATAAATTCAATGTCAACCCTACAAATTTTGTATTGTTATGTTAGGCAAAGTCAGGAAAACGCTTCCTCATTGTCATAGCCTTATCGCAAGAAAGAGGATTTACCAAGCAACACCACCGGATTCACGATATCCTTTAGCCTTCTTCCATGTATCGCGATGAGCCATGGTGAAATCTCCAGCCTGATCACCTAACCGCAACAAGTTGTCGGGTGTCACTTCAGCTTCGTCGGGCAATTGATATTTACCCCAATCCTGCTCATTCAATTGGCAAGCCATATAAAGCATATCATCATCCGGCATGGCTGGCAGATTCACAATAGTTGGCGGCAAATTCTCGTGGCTAAAGTAATAGATTTTTGGGGATTCGACTCGTTAGACAACTTACATGTAGACAAGCAGAGTTGGAGCATGAACTTACATGTTATGGCGATCTTGGCGCTGTAGATAAATGATATCCTTTTTGAAAGCTCGCGATTTGATGGCATTGTGGAAATTGTGCGACCAAATATCATCTGTTTTGGATCGAAAACCGTTTAGCTTGATACTTCTGTAGATATTGCCAACCGAACCATTCCCCCTTTCTCTGTTACTACTCTACCTTGATTCGTGCATACAACAAATTCACCTCGGGCGAAGCGAATACCGACGTTCTTGCCTTCAAATTCGTGCAGCGGAGCATCGCCACGGTTAGGTAATGCTTCATGTATTTTGTCTGGGACAGTAATGATGCGGTAGGTCAAATGCTCGGATCGACGGAACCGCTAATAAATTATGGATAATAAACGCATAAATTATTCCCAATTGCCTGGATAAGAGTGGCTCGTAACACACATGCACATTCGAGAGTATACTTACGAATGCATCCAGGAACCGCCGTCTATCCTTGGGAGGATTCCATTCAACAACAAGCAATTCAATCTTTTCACGGGTATGTTCTGCCAGCAAATAAGCGCTGTCTATAAAGTTTTGCAATCGATGATGCTGGTTTCTGTTCGTTTTGTATGTGATGTATGTGATGTATGTATATAAGTTCAAAAAAGGTGGTTAGTCATACGCATAGAAACGAATCACTTCCACTTTCGAACATAAACAGCGAAATATAAGACTCACCCAGCATAGTCATCCATTCGAGTTACAATGACGATGGAAAGGTAATAAGATGGTTCGGGGCCAGGTTCCAGGCACTGGTCCCACTGTTCTCGTGTTAAAGACACTGTGCCAGAGGTATCTGCAACACAAGTTGATGCTGCATTGAAACTGAGGGCCGTCTTTGGTCTGAATTCGTGATCGACGCTTGAGGAACGCAAGTGCACTGTTGAGACGGAAAAGAGGAATACAAGGGACATAACGACGGTTGCCATGACGGCAATGACGGCCGTCCTTTTTGACATGCCTGAAATCATTATGTTAATTTGCTAAAGGATAAAAGGAGAGAGGAAGCAAAGGGAGGGGGGTGGAGAAGAGTAAAGGAAAGCACTTTGAAAGACGAAAAGATAGGGAGGCGCAAACGGTACTGCCTTGTTGATACCATACAAAACTTAAAAAAGAGTGGACCTGGAAAAACCCGGAGAAACGGCGATGCTCGGTTACCCAAATTGGGTGTGACCAGCAAAAAACACCGATTACTGTTTTTGGATCCTGCTGCAAAGTCATTCAGTTGCGAATTGCGCGACGCACAGAGCTTCAATGGCTCTTACAGTGGATGGATACGATAAGGCGAGCTGACATCCTCTTGTACCGACCACTCAATTCTGGATGCGAACTTGTAATGTGCGAGAGTTGCAAGCCTATAACATACCATGGATTGCCGCCTTTCCTTCTTTTCCGACGAAATGTTTCTCATTAACTACAAAAAGAAAAGTCGGAATTTCCCTTTCCTTTCCAGACGCAAGCGAGTAAATACATGATGAATTACACGTTCTCAATGAGCTTATTGTCTCTCCATGTAGCCACCTCCACCTGCGTGATATGGTTTTTTTAACCAGCTTGTTTCTCAGAATTTTATTTGAATAAGCTTGTAACTACGAGTACTTCTTTAATTCAATCAGCGGGTTACCTTACATTTCTACGGGGCTCACAGATATTTACTTATCAACACCCTTTGCTGTTTTTAGCAGTAGCAAGCCGGTATCACTTTGACGTGCTCTTTTTTAAAGTCTATTTTGAGGTTTTATGTATAGCCTTCATTGATTACCATATTCGTATAACATAGTAAATCTAGTAATGCCATTCTACAATCTGCAACAGCTTTTGGATAGAATAATGCCCTCGTGACATGCATGCTGCGTTGACAATAGCAGACAAAGCATTGATATAAGCTAAAGATAATGATCTACATGTATGACAAGGATAATATACTAAATAAAACGTAGAGACGCGTGATTTCATATATATTGCTATGATTTAGTAGATAGAGCTAGGGGCATAATTGAACAAACAGATGAACGGGATGTGATATGATACAGCACATCTTATCATTGTTAGGAAATAATAACAATGTTTATATAAAAACCTACTACTGGGTCTTCAGAATAATAGTACGAAAAAATGACATTCTTAACTGTTGTCCCAGACATTGTTAAACTTTTATACTATTTGCATCATCTCGAAACATCAGCCCTTCCCGCTACAATTCCAAGAGAAAAAGTCGATTAATGCCCGTGCTATGAAAACCAGTGTACGGCTCGAAACTACATGATAACACTGCCCTCAATGAACCGTATGCATCTCGAAATTATTGTAATCATTGCTACATGTATTTCCAAGTCTTAATTCTCCATAGAGTAGTTTTCTATATGGACATCATGAGCAGTATGAGGTTATCCAAAGTGGTGTATAATATTTTGGGGGTAAGCATGTAGTAGAAAGAAGGCCATCATCATAACACAGGCTTGTTATATTGTCACACACACCAATATTGACCTAAAGAGGGCATGGGCTTTGGATGCCACTGCACCGCAAAAAGTGAACAGAAGTGAGGGGTGAGATCCTTTGAATGTCGCTGACGGTATGACTCGTGTGCTTCACGCCCTTGTTATTGTTTCGAGTGACACAACACATGCGACTGCAATGCCTGAGATTGAATGTTCTCGGACCCGGAAAGGGCCTTCTGCCTCGAGTATCGGAACCAAGTCTATCATTCTTTTTTCTTTTATTCCATTTTGAAACCAACTATAATCATTGATGACAGAATTCGTTGTATACGAAGACACGCCTTTAGCTGAATATTTAACGTGTAAAGCTCACTTTTCTGCACAACAATTTTCTCGAATAGTAAAGAAAACAATATACACGTATTGAAAAGAGACCTAACAACAATATGTAGCGATTGACAGTGTGGAAACCACTGTGAAACTACCTTCATTACAGCGCGACATGACTGATAAGAAGATGGGTGCATCTTCGTGGATTTCGCAACAGATCCTCTTGCCGCGTTGGTCAGACGCTCTTTATCACTATTGGAGACGGTCTCTATTCCATGTAAGCCCTTTTTTTATCTTTTAGCTTGTATTACTACTGTTATGACAAGAAAAGCTTGAACTGTGTTATTGACAGAGCCAAATATAGGATACGTTTTCAACATGTCTCCCGCTCGCTGAAGAAACCGAGTTTGAAGAAAAGTTCAAATATCTCGTTGCCACGTCTCCACTGATGAGCGAAGTTATGTCTGTCCATAACGCCAGCAAAAAAAAGCATGCACAACAGCACATGACCGCAACCGACTACTCGACCCCGACAAAGAAAGTGTTCCGAGCGGGCAGCATAGGAACTGTCGCTACCATATCCGGCCTCTTGGTTGCCTTGGGCACAGAAACGATCATGATCCAACAGCGACAACAGCAGCGGCAACAGCAACAACCTCCTTCACCAACAGCGCCATTGAAATTGATTGCGACCCCAGCTTTGTCACTGACAATGCTGCTTACTGGAGGTGTTTCCATGTTTTTCGTCTATCGACACAAGGTATATATATATATGAGAGGAATCAGAGCTGATGGCGAATGTGTTTGTGTGTGTTTGTGTGTGGATCTGCACGAATGTTATTGATTGTTGTCTTACCAATATTACAATGAATCATCAGCGCCGGTCCGGGATACGCCAACTGTATCAGACCGCATTAAACCGCTTACAAACACTGATGGAACAATCCGAGACGCTCGATAGCAAAGTCCATCGTACGCTGATCACAATCCAAGAAATAGAGTTGGTTTCCCGCGGTTACAGACTATCTACGCCACTTTCACCCATCTCCCGCATTGAACAAAGTAGCAAATCCCGACGATGCACTGCATTACGAAACCATTTAGCTGCCATGCTACGCCGTGCATTCATTGTGTACGAAGAAGCCATCATTGATCTGATCGACCACGTCAACAAAAACAACCTGTCGCATCTTTACGATATGTACAACGTACGCTCTGTCGCATCATTATCATCAATCGATCGGATAGAAGAGGATGAGAATGGTGTGTCAGTGGAGCGCCTGCGAGCACTTGCACAGTTGATGCACGCAAAACGACGAGAATGTATGATGCAGCTGTTGGCTCTAGATATCATGTCAGAAGGTCATGATTCGGTGCGTCGAGATTATGAGGCTGGATGGCGAGGCGTGAATACAGTGCTGACAATGCTCGTGGACGAGACCAAGGTGTTTGTCAAGGATATTATGGACGCATTACAGACGGAATTATGTAGGTGTTCTCTTTCTCTTTTTCTTATTCCTTCTCTCTCAGGAGTAAGTACGGGCGCAGATTTATTTACCGCTGCATACACTATCGATGCATCTAGACAAACCTGTTGTTGAATCACCTGCATCGCTGAGCGCCAACGGCTCGGTGACCGACGGCAGATTAAAACCATTCTTGCATAGATTGGCTTCGTTGGATCAACAGATGCGGACCTTGGAAGCAAAGTTTTATCTGTGCAATGATGATATTCGTCAGCTCACTTCAGGTAAGAAGGAAGGGGGCTTGGGAAAAAGGCTTGTTTTTTCTTTTATCATGCATGCATGGGCTGATCAAGTAGCGGGTCGAATCACACACCATTTTTTGTAGCGGACAATGGTGAAGGAATCTCAAGTGTTGAGGATCTACGAGAACGACTCAAGCGCGAATACATGTCGATTCAACAAGACTTTAGCCAAATGGTTGTCGAGTGGGAAGCTGGACGTGAGGCTCTAATGGGATTTCTCGAGCCGCCTGAGCTCGATCCATCGCCATCGTCTTCAGCGTCGTCACACAAGCAAGGAAACAATCTACCATCACCTCTGCCTTCCCCGTCGCTAGAGGCACAGGACGGACAAAAGTTGTTTGATTCCGAAGAAAACGGAGTTTTTGATCTTCCACTACCGGCAAGAGCTTCCGTCTTTGAAGCTGTTGCGGAGACGGTTGAACGCAATGCAAACGGACGGTCCACCAAGAGCCGAGCCGAGCGCATTGCTGAAATGCGTGCCAAGAGGGAACAAGAAGTAAGCTCAAATAAGAGATTCTCTTTTAACCATTTGAAAGAAAAACTTATCAAGTGGGTTATTGCTAGGTTCGCCAACGGTCCACTAGAATGGATCCACAAAGTATGGTTCATGAGCTTAAGAACGTTCTTGATAGGCGAGCAACCGAATTTGATCTTGAACCCCACCCTAACACCACCAGCAATAAGGACGACACTAGCAATGACGATGCCAATTAATCCGCCACTATATTCCCCAGTTCACTCCCTCTCTTCATCTTCACCCATCCTCTACTACATGCGCAAATGCGTTCATGATACCCCCACTTTTTTCGTTGCAGTTTAGAAAATTACGTAAATATGTTCTATGTTTTTTAGTGTAGATGTCTTAAAATTATATACATGTTCTGTCTGTTACAGTCGCTTTACTTTCATTGGACGGTTGACAGGTTTCTTCAATAGACGCCATAACATGACTGAAGTGAACGCGGATAGAGAATACCAAGTGACTATGTAATTCAAATGGCTGTTGCGTACCTCGACCACAGGCGATCGACCAACCGGTATGCCTTTATCTATTAACGTGTATTCGGTATTGGGCGATAGGTCTGCATGATCATAAAAAACAAGGATTCAATATCTCTCTCAGTTCTTTTCCTTTTATATACACCACACACATGAAAAGCTTACATGAAACTCGTTCGACTAGTAATGGCTCAGCACCTGTCAGTTTTGCCATGGTCTCCACATCGGTCCAGTACCATTGATTATTCATCAAATCGTTATCTGGCGTAAAGGCGTTGCGTTTCTCGGACATGCGCAAAAGACCCTCGACTTCCACCGTGTCGTCTGTCAAACTATCGGGTCGTACACGCTTATCCTTTTTGTCTAACGGGACCCAGCCTCGCTTGACCAAAATTGTGGTGCCGTTCTCGCGCACAAGTGGCGTGACAAGGAAGTAGCCGGCTTGACCATCACCGCGTGTGCGTGGCCCTAATAACATTTCTTGGTCGTGACGATATTTGCCCGTGACAGATACTTTGCGATACTCATAGTCTGAAAGCGCGTCTTGACTATATTATAATTTGTTTTTGTTGTCGTTGTTTACTTGTTAGTTCAAACAAAAGAAACATTTTGTCTAGAAAGGGCAAATTACTGAGTAGAGACATAGATATTTACTTGATACGGCGAGGAAGAGGGATAGGACGCTTCTCCATACGTTCCTCCATTTCTTGAATCAAATTGACCTTCCAACGAAGACGCTGTACTTGCCAAGTTCCAAGTCCAAAGGCAATAAATGGAACGGTGCACATGAGCACTGTACCGAGGCCGAATCGTCGTCTTCGTTGAAACACAGGTTCAGTATTCTCGAAAGCTTCTGTCTGCATAGATCGTCTCCATGCTGGCGTAAAAACATTGGGCCGGGCAAGTCGTCGTAGGAAGGTTGCCATGGCGGATTTGAGGTTAAATGAAGAGAGAAGAGAGTTTATGTAGAATAGGTTCTCAGCCAATTTGTTTGTTCCCAGCAAATTTGAGCTAGCCCGGCGTAACTGAGCTGCTTAAAAGAGATATAATGATCCAACAGCCAATTGCTTGCTTTTGCTAATGGTCACTTTCTTTAAGATAAGCTATAAGTGCATGTATCAATCTTGGTTTTGGCATCATTTGATATAATAAGATACTTGGTTATCATGTTCCAGCAGGTAGCATGAAAGATTTCATATACGCTGGCTCATAGGATGCGCCATTTCAACTATACATCTCTATTTCTCAAGTATGTCAGTACAATAAACCTCCCAGTACAGCTATATTTTCTGCTCCATGTAAACTTATCCTTCTACAAGACTGTTGAAGTGGAATCATAGTAGGAAGGCTCTCTTCAATTACTCTTAATACTGAACCCAACCCAACAACAATCGTCTATTTTCTCAATTTGGGCTATTCTGTCATGTTACGGAGCAACTGGGGCTGCATCCTTTAGAGAGCTATGATCTAAAGAAGCGTATGATGAATTGTTAAAAGAAAGGAATATCATTGTCTGCTTGCACTTTTTTCAACGAGGTGAGTCGTCTACTTCACCTGAATTGGGTCCACTCCGCTGGCTTTTGACAACAAAAGCTATTCGCTGAGCCACCGGGTCTTTTGCTTGATTTTTCTCTCTCTAATTTCATCGACTGCATAATATATTCGCCATGCCTCCCAAATTAAGCAAAAAACAAAAGAAGGCCCAAGATTTCCGAAAAAAGCAAAAGGACAAGGCATTGTCTGAGGAGAATGCAGTACCTGAAGTCGACGTTGTTGCCGATCAGCCTGAATCGACACGGATCGATGAGAAGAAAAAGCGAAAAGCCGAGGACATGGAAGACAAGGAACAAAGTAAAGATCAAGAAGAAGAACAACCCAAGAAGAAATCACGGAATAGACGACCCAAGAAAAACAACAATAACGGAGAGAAAAAGAATCGGTTTATTCTGTTTGTTGGTAAGTTATCTTCCGTTTTCTTTTTTAAGCATGGTTTATATTACCAACTTCCGCATACTCAAATAAACCATCACTTAGGCAATTTGAAGTTCGACACAAAGGCCGAAGATTTGGCCAAGCATTTTGAATCCGTAGGCGAACTCCCAACCGTTCGCTTAATGACAGACAAGCAAACCAAAAAACCAAAAGGATTTGCATTTATCGAGTTTCAAGATTCCCATCATCTATCCGTAAGTAGTAGTCAATGGATTGCTCATATGGTATTAGGCAGAAAAAGAAGGAGCCAAGATCCAGGAGACTGATGTGTTTTGTTGCTGTCTACTTTTGTCGTATATAGAAAGCACTTGCATTCCATCATACCTTTTTCAACAAGAGACAGATTAATGTCGAACTCACAGCTGGTGGCGGTGGACGCAGTGACGCACGAAAAGAAAAGCTCAAGGAGAAGAACGAAAAACTGCAACTGGAAAGAGTAAGTCAATAGGTCTCCTCATGTGAAAACTGAACCACCGTGATCTTTTTAGCTCGCTTTTGCTAACCGAACGTTTGACTATGCAGCAAAAATGGCACAAGGAGAAAGTGGACGGTGAAGATCCAGCATCATCATATCAAAAACAAACTCAAGAACAAGAATAAAATAGCATCCTGCATTCATTTGTATTTTGTATTTAAAATATATACTTTACATGTTACGGCATTTTACACAATTTTACCCAAACAAAAGATGGTGCTGACTATGACTTTCATTTACAGTAGTAGCATGCCTTATGGATCAGTGTTTTGCAAAGTGGATGATGATCAGAAACCCCACTTAAAAAGTTGCGTATGTTGCTGCTTGTAAAAGTAGCCGCAAAGAAGTATCACGTACTGGATCCATAGTACTTCTCGTAGATGAACGGTCCGAACAGATCAACTTGATAAACAATTATAGTCAGTAACCAACATATCTGAGTTGCCTAGTAATATATTGTCCACGCACTGTTGTAAATGCCAACTCGAAGATTTATAAAGTGAAAGAACGGCACACAGAAGCGAAAACGCCATCCCAAGCAAAAAGCGCGTTTCATCAGCACAGTCTTGTGGGAACAGCAGTATAGAAATCTGCTCACGCTCCAGAATCATTCCAGCGTGTGAGAAGAAAGCGCATCAATCGACATCGTCTCTTGAATGTGCACCTTAAAAAAGCATGCTCCTGTGAGCATTCACATAGTAGCAGCATCTACAAGGGCTCATCGTTCACTACACGGAGTGTGGACCTACGGGCATCATCTTTGGCCGTTTCATATCAAGCAATTCGAAAGTGGCACATTGAGATACAATCTGCAGAATCTAGACAACAATCTGTTTGATATTTAGAGCGAAAAGTACATCATTTGCATCAAAGCTGTAATCAACGTGATATAGCCACATCAATTACAAAACACGGTCATTGATTTCTTCAGCAACTTCCGCGCGAGTAAATTATTCAGCATAGAAAGCTGTAGTATTCCATGCACAAGACATTCTGTAACTAGAAGCAGAAAGCCTATGCATAATCATGAACAAAAAACTTACATTCTGCTTTCCGGAAACTCGATCAGAGAAAATCGTGTTAAGAGCGCCGGATCTAGCAAGCACTACAAAATTTAAACATTTCAAAGTAATATGCACAAACAAACGAAAAAGTAGCTCGCGAGTTCAACGCATTTGTCATCCTTCTTTTAAGAAGCAAACGTTGTAAAACTTGAGTAAACAAGACTTTGGTATTATTGCATTCATTGCTACGATTCGAGTGTGCCACGTTTTCTTAATAATACTCTTCTGTTTAGCAGCAGCTATTAGGGGGGGCAATTTGATTCGCAATTTGATTCACCCTAAAGAATTGATACATCTTTAAACATGATCAATAGATCGAAATTGATGAATTGGATATTGATGAAAAAAGTAAGATGCAATAGATGTGTAAGATACAAAACGCATCAAATAAATTAGTGATAAAGGATTACCCTTGATTCTCCACTGCCTATGAGCTTAAGCTTGCTTTTGCCATTCCGATAAGCGTATTTCTACCGAATTAGGCATAAACGCCACGTTGCTGGCATGGGCATACAAAGAGCACGCGCGGGGGTGGGGCACCTGGCCAAACGCCGTTTTTTTTCCTTCTTCCCAGCGTTACCCGTTTGACAATGTCGAACAACAGCCCATCTTACCTCACCCTCATCAAGAACCGTCTCCAGAAAATCGATCGGCTCGATCCTTTTCCAAATCTTACCACGTTTGTGGGTGAGCAAATGTGCAAACCGCGACTGGTGATTCTGACGACGATCTTGACCAAGATCTGTCTTGATCGGATTTACAGCTATGCAAAGGTAAAAAATAATGGGTGATAAAGAGAGCACACACATTGAGAACCGTCTTTATACGAACTCTTTTGTTGACGCTATACGTGCATTTCACAACACGTTTTCTAAACCCGCATTTTCTTATTTAGATTGTCAATCCCAATTGTGCACTCGACGCTTCAGGAGAACAAACGCTCGATATTCTCGAATACTATCACCCACAAACGCCAGAGGACGTGTATAACTTTCTGGTTGGTTATGGTGCCAAAGGACGACAAGCGTACCTGAGCCTCTTGTTCTATGATAGTGGATTCTTGCTATGCCGCACACTGCCATTATGCTTGTTGACGTACTTTGGTTTCAAGCAAGCGCCTCAGTGGGTACGACCGGGCGTGTGGCTCCATTTGGTGACGACGGGCTGGGACCTTTGTGAAAACGTGCTGTTGTATTATCTGATCAAGATGTATCCTTCCCGTATCAATTTCGTTGCTTGGCTTGCTTCTGGGTTCATTCAAGGCAAATGGATCCTTTTCTGGAGTTCGATCACACTCATCTGCATTTCCATGGTGTTTGCAATCTACCACGGTTTCCATGGCATGTTGCGCGACTCGGTATTGATGGAAAAGGATAAGCGAGAAAAGGCAAATGCGCGTCGTCACGTCAATGACGCTTTGCAGAGACAGCGCAATAAGGCAGCGACATCCTCGTCCTCGAAACCATCGGCTGCTGCTGCTGCTGCTGCAAAGAAAGAGGTATAAACTTTCATTGCTTCAACAAGCTTGTACATTTTCTTTAGTCTTTTTCGTTGGTGTTGGATTTAATTGCTAGTTCTTTGCTTTGTTATTTGTTTAAAGTGCATTTCATAATTTCTTTATTGTGTGATTTCGCGCAATAGAAGTAAAAAAAAAAGTCGCCCCAATAGTGAAAGTGAAATAGGTGGACTGGCACAGTGGTATTGGTTTTGGACGAATGCTTCGTGCTGCAACTGCAGCATTTGATTAGCAAGTGCTTCGAAGAGAGCTTTAACATTGATCCGAGATCGGCAGTACTTGACGCGGACGCATAACAATCTCAGCTGCAGGTGTTCACTTTTGCCATTATATACAACAGCTATCATCATCACACTGGGTGTGGTGTATATGGCTACAGTCTCTAGTGGATAGACTTTGGCAACATCTACTGCAATCCCCAGTACGACGTGTGGTCACGTAAATGGGATAATTGCGTGTACCTCCTTACTCCACCTGCTTGAGAAAGTTTGACGGCGCATGAATAGTAATGCATATCCATATATATCTGTATTGTGATAATAATAGCTACCTATTGCTGTCGTCACGGATGACGACGAGAATGTTTATGAAAGCTTAAAATAGAGAGAGAGAGAGAGAGAAAGTAGGCTTGCATCACGCATCACACTTCTGCCAAGAAACACAACCACTGTCGTCAATACACGCCAGAACAAGAAGAAATGCACATAATTTGTGTTGAGCAGTATTGATTGCACAGTCCTATCATCATGCACGCGTAGCACCTCCCCTTGCACGACCGAGCCCCTTCAAAAATGGTCAGTGCCGCCCTTTTGCACTTTCCCGTTTTATTATCATGCGCTACCTACAATGAAGGAGCAGTAGCCCGGATGACATCAAAAGCCAAGAAAAGTTCGCGTCATCTGTATTAGACTCAGACGATGTTTCATATTGGATATCATAGTACAGTCAGGACCGTCATGATAGGTCTCGGCCGTAGTAAAAGCAATCAAAGTTATGATTTTGCCAAGAAACAGAGCAAACCACGCCTACGTACCATGAATTCTATGTGCCAGCAGAGTAGTATAAGGGCCACACACACATTTCCATCACCCATACGCTTCTATATAGCATGTGAAGCACGGATTTGGTCAAGACCAAGTTGGGTCGTGCAGTACTTTTTATTTCCCTTGGCTCCCGAGAACTTTTTTTTTTTTTCGTTCCTTTTCCTTTTACTTTCTGTTACTATTTCTCGGTTCACCTGCTGGTTTTGTTTTGTTTTTTTAAATTCCAGTCATTCCTTTCTTTACACCACTTGAAAAACGAGAAATTGCAACGCCAATAGCATAATGTCGTTTGCATATAGTCGCGATCGGACCGAGGAATTTCGAGTGAGTAGTGGGGTTAATATTTCTATACATTATTGTTAAAGTAGGGCGGGAAAGCGGGCCAGAAAAAAAAGGGTACCCATGCAACCCTTGTGCGACCCTTTCTCGGTATACATTAAACCTCATCTTTAATTCTTCTCTAATTCTCGGTACTGTGTTGTAGGGTTCCTATGAAGGAAGACGAAGCAGGTACGGAGAAAGAGGGCACATCGTGCACAGAATGAAAAGCACAGACTAAGATGAGGTGTGTATACAAAACAATAAAGCGACGATTTTGGTCCTGCACGGATACCAGCTGGATACCGAAACCATTCACCTTCCCCTGTAAGCAGTCGTCCTACCAGTCCTGCGAATAATCCTTTCACTGCCAACAACTCTTCGTTCAACAACATCCGAGCACAATCACCACCGCCACCTACACCACGCCATAATGATGCATACGAGCTGCAACCACCACGGCCACCAGCAGCCTTGGACCCGATGGATGCATTTCTTGTTGAGGTTTGCGTTTTTTTTGGTCCTCCTTTACACGATCATCATTATCACGTTCCATATTACTATGATTGCTACCGGCGCGTTGGCTTTGGGTGTGACTAAAAATTTCTTTCGTCTCCCTTAGATCGATCAAGTGAGAAAAGAGATTGCCAACGTCAACAACGACATAGATGCTGTTGAACGACTTCACAACACGGCACTTGCCAGCTACAACGACGATCAATGGCAATATCATGCACGCGAGCTGGAACAGCTGCAAGAGTCGGTACGTGCTCAGAACGCAACTATCAAGAACAGAATTACTGGTAAACCAAAAGGAAAAAAAGGATGGTTTCCGTTTTTGTGAGACGTCCAAAGAGAAGGGATGATAGGGAGTACAAGATATTGGGGATAAAGCGTGATGGGGGATGCCTAACTACTGTTTGTCAGCAATCGAACGTACCAATGCTCAATCGAATAATCCTGGCGAGAGCAAAATGCGTCGAACGCAGAGTGAAAATGTACGAAAGCGATTTCTGGATACCATCCGACGGTATCAGGAAATCGAAAGCGATTACCGTCATAAGTATCGTCAACGTGTCGAACGCCAGATCAGGATAGGTCAGTGCTACCACCACTTTTGTGCTATGTACTGGATATGCCTCATTGCGGTGAGGAGGATGGTATACTCAGTAGCTCTTTTTCTATCTGAACAGTGAAGCCTGAGGCTACCGAAGAAGAGGTGGATCGTATCATGGATTCAGACCAGGGCACACAAGTCTTTACGCAGTCGGTAAGCCACGTGTATGGCGCCCTATGAGAAGGACTCAGTTGCTACATATGGGATGCTGACTCTTTGTGCACTAGATTATACAAGCAGGCAGACAGGGTGCTAGTCGCGCTGTGTTGTCCGAAGTACAGAATCGCCATATCGATATTAAGCGTATTGAAAGAACGCTTGTGGTATGTCTCATTCTCTATGCATCAGTTTCTTTTGGCTCACTCAAGAAATGTATGCCGTTGTTGTAGGAACTGCATCAATTGTTCCAAGACATGCACATGCTTGTCGAGCAACAGGGCGATGTTTTGGTCAAAATCGACGATCGTGCACAAGAAACAGCAGGCGAACTCAAAGAAGGGAACAGCGCCGTCAAGCGTGCGGTTGATCTTGCTCGATCCACAAGAGGGGTAAATCATGCTTTTTGTTTGTTTGTTTGTTTGTTTAGGGCCAAGAGCCTAACTCGCTTTTATGATCAATGTAGAAAAAATGGTGCTGCCTTGTGCTTGTGATCATTCTTTGCGTTGTCATTGCGATTCTTGTGTGGTGGTTTGCCTTTGATCATGTTGTAAGTGGGATAATGGAGCAGCGCACGCATTTTCATCTTATACGTGCTCTTTATGCTAACCCACTTTGTAATTTTACGTACTAGGGCGTCGAATAATGACATTTCGTTTTACTCTCTGCTTCCTTTTTTTTTTGCTCGCCCACTTCCTTTGTCTGTTTCTATCTACTCTCCCTTGAATCTATTATGCCCACATATCATTTATTGTATAATCGCTTAGCTATATACTGATGCTTAAGTCGCCATTTGCATTATTTACTATATCGAATACTCCTGTACGAGTATATTCATCCATCTGATAATCTCCAATCTTTAAATGTTTGGCTTGTTTCTCCCTCGGTGTACCGTGCTATGTATATCATACATATAATTTGAGGAAAGAGAAGTTTATTATGCATTTAAAAGTTTCTGGTTAACAGTATGTGCAAAGAAGATGACACGCTGGTCAATATGTCATAACCTGACTGTTATCATATTCAAGGAATAGCATGTTACAACCTTCTCCCTTCATCATCTGCGTACATACATATCCGACAAAGGGCTATCACACAAATTCAGCTTGCCAATACATTCTCAATAACAAGCTGTGCGTCAATTCATTCTGCTCATATCAAGGAGTGCAGAGTATAGGATATCACCCTCAAATAAGAAGCAATGCCATATTTTCGCATCTACAGGTTTAACTTTAGTAACAAGGCAGAAATGCGCCTAACATCGACCTTGGTCTAGGGTCATCATCCGATGCTCGTCAGTGATGTTAGAACAGTTTATTTTAAACGTGACGTATATACTATATTACAGCTCTGCTAGTTCTTGCGAACGAGAAATATGATTTTGCTGGATGAGAAGGTAGAGGTCTGATACCTAGAGCATCCCGCTTGCTTCTTTTGACACATTGTGCAGGAGCATAAAAGTGGGTTGAGTGATGTAGCAGGATGTGATGTTGTACCTTGCTGGTGTAACGGTGTGATTTCCTTGGGTTATAGGGTGTCTATGGAATATACATCCACCACTCTTCTCGCTTGAGACATGCGCGATAAATTAGCTCTCGAGTCTCGAATGTTCGGCTCCTTTCTGTTTATTACAAACCACCAATGAAATGCTACCATTGTCTTCTATTCTTTAATTGCCTGCTTCCTTCATACAACAAACGTGGTACCATTGATGCTGATCCCACCAGTCTGGTTTCCCCCCTCCCCTCAGAAATTTCGTCAACTGCAACTCCAGTACGTTTGTTGACAAGATCTTCAACACTCTTTTCTTTTTATGACTGCTGGATTACAATCGGCCGAGATTTTTTCTCCCCGATGGCCCCCTTTCTGCTCCCCAACCATGCAGTTGTGTCCGTCGTCCCGCAATAACAGTCCGCCCGTCCGGGACAAACCTGAAACAAATGATGATGGTTAAGCAGTATTCGAGCGCCGAACAATGCGAAACATTGACTCCAGATCTTCGACGGAGTTGATCAAACACGTGGAAGAGGATCATGACCAATGGATGAGCAGATGCGAGAACAATGTAATTTGTCGGAACAGTGCGAGGACGCGTCAGCAAATGAAAGAAGAGTGCAACAGAAAACCAAATGAATAAAATGTGTATTTAGACAAAATGAAAAGGATGTTGAAAGGAGTAGAGAAAGAGCAGTAGTTTAGTATGTACACAGCAAGAACAGATGATAAATGATATAAGCAGCGGAAAAGAAAGATCCAGCAATTGTCGTAGTAATAACAATAGTAGTAGTAGTAGTAGTAGTAGTAGTAATTGTAGTAGTAGCAGTAGTGGTGGTAGCAGTATTTAACAGCAGAACCAATCCACGCCCACAGAACACTTGGCTAGCCGGGTGATCCTATCGTTGCTATGATGCTCAAATTCCAGTTGACCACCAAAGTAACCATGGGAACGCTCAAACAGAGGTGTTCGGACAGGATTGACGGCGTGCAAACTTCGCTTCAGTACGACGTTGTTCTGGGTCAGAATCACGGCTACACCAATGACGCCCGCTGGAATTGTGGGTTGTACCCAGTTGCTGGAAGCGCTGCTGCTGCTGTTCCTGGAGCATCCTCCTGCTTCTGCTGCTGCACCGTCAACGGGAGCAGGCGGTATGAATTCGATCTGATGTCTGTTGTAGTCGAAGCGCGAAAGTCGTAACTGTGGACAGAGGGAGAAATGGATGGTTGGTTTGGAAGATGCTGAGGATGCTATGCCCATGTTTGAAGAAGCCGGGTTTGGCGGCAGACAAAGCATGCGTTGTTCGAGAGTATGAATTGGCGGAAGTTTGCTTCCAGGTATAAGCTGTGCCTGGATGACAGGCGAGTAGAGAGGATCGGATATCAGCAGCACATGGAGATGACGGTCGTTGAAGAATGGATGGGTGAGGAGGAGGCGGTCAAAGTACGGGCTGTCATCCTGGACGAGCCTTACGATGTCTTGGACCGGTAGATGCGATAGTATGACGAGTACGATTTCGAGTGGAAGTCGTCGTGAGATGGTGTTGGCAAGACCGAGAAGATTCATCTCATTGCTGGCAGTCGAAAAGGTTGTATCTGAATGGCTTCTCTCGCAGATGAAAAGAAAAAAAAAAGATCGGCAGAAAACAAGAAGAAGAAGAAGAAGAAGAAGAGGGGTGGGAGAGAGAGGGCTTTAATTCATGTTTCTTTTTATACACGTATTTCTCTCTTTGCTTTTTTTTTTGAAGTGCGGCTCAAGTGACACAGCAGCTGCATGCAGCGCAAACCCGTTTCGGCGTGCACAGTCCCGAAAGAAATGCTGCCAAGTGCTCCCCCCAAATGTGTAATGGCCGCATTAGTAGTCTACACCTATTTGTACAGTATTGCTTCCTGGGGGGGAAGGGTCTTTTGAGTGACCAGTGCCAACTTACACGCACACACGCTTCGATACACTTTACCCGCTCCTTCTCCCACATTTTTATTCTTCGTGTACACTATCTAAACACTACTACCGCGCCATGAATCCAGAATAGTAAGCAATTCACTACAGAAAGAAACTTCCTTCTTGTTCCCTGCCTAACCTGCTGCTATTTCTACCAGCGATTACCTCTTTAAATTACTACTCATTGGTGATTCCGGCGTTGGTATGTCCTTTTCCCCTTTAAAAAAAGACCTTTGGAAGTCTCCTAATGGACTTGTTTATTTTGGCTTATCACTAGGCAAGTCATGTCTTTTGCTTCGTTTCGCTGACGACACATACACCGAATCATACATTTCTACTATCGGCGTGGATTTTGTGAGTCTCTTTTTCACAATGAAGAACGGGATGAGCAGAATGGGGGAGGCTGTTGGAGGTGGGGGCGAACAAGCCGTCTTATTGGGGCCCCGGAACACTGACAATAAATGTTGTGGATATTTAGAAAATCAGAACGGTTGAACTTGAAGGCAGGACCGTCAAGTTACAGATCGTAAGTTGGTTATTGAAAGCACACACATCTGTATTTATTGTACAATTCTGCAAGAGGAAGGGGGTTTGTTTCTCTAACAAGTGTCTATTCTAGTGGGATACAGCTGGCCAAGAACGTTTCCGAACCATTACATCATCGTACTATAGAGGCGCACATGGCATTATTGTGGTCTACGATGTCACCGACCAAGACAGTTTTAATAACCTCCAGATGTGGCTCAAAGAGATAGAACGTTATGCAGCTGAAGGCGTCAGTAAACTGGTTGTCGGCAACAAGAACGACTTGACCGATAAAAAGGTCGTTGATACTACTGCGGTCAAGGTAATCATCAAAGAATAACTTTCTTCCTTTCAATGTCACGTTGTTATCAACCCGTGCGTCGTATGACTCTTGTTGTGTTCCTTCTTCTTTTCAACAATAGGAGTTCTCAGAGTCAACGTCAATCCCGTTCCTCGAAACTTCGGCCAAGGACTCAACCAACGTTGAGCAAGCGTTTTTGACGATGGCAAAACAGATCAAGGATAGGATGGGAAGTGCAACTATCAACAACAACCCCCAGCAAACGGTCAGAGTCTCGCCTGGTGCATCCGTGCAACCTGCCCAGGGCGGCGGTTGCTGTTAAATATATCTCTCTCCTCTCTCTCTCTCGCCCAACAACAAATTGCTTAATTGTATATGCACAGACAGATTTAATTTACTTTTTTAAATGACTGCTCCTGCTGCTGAAGAAAGCTGTATACTAGAAACGCACCACTTATACTCTCTCGATCTTTAATATGCCGCGGCTGATACATATATATCTCGTCGAACATCACATTATGTATATCCCTTTTCAAATCACATTATCTATACTATATATTCTTACTATACTTTTAAATCCAATTCTTTCTTGTGTATTCGATAATATTGATGGTTTGATGGGTTGTTTACGATGTATATTTCTGGTTCAAGGGCATCCAAGTGTTCCTAGGGTCGTTTTTCCTCAGATTGCTGGCATAACTACACTGCTTTCTGGTATCACCGTGCGTACAAAGATCAAAACTTAACAACACAGAGTCTACTTAAAAAATACTCGTCCAATGTTAATATGTCGTATGAAGCTCTGAATTCATATTACCTCTTTATCTTCGCTGGATCTTCGAGATCCCATCATACTTGTTTACACGCTGGTATGACCCTAACAAAGAGACCAAGGCCGACAGTTCGGATCTATTCTCTCTTGTTATTATATTGTTATAAATTAATCCTACAAATGTCTAACGCACCATTTTTGTGTAGTACAAGGGTTGAGTGACGAGCTTCAATGACATTCCATTTTGCTAATGTTTGAAATAAATTAGGCACGCTCGTCAAATTTCATGAGTAGCACAAGTTGTCATGAGGGATTGGACAAAGGTGCACTGCTTTAAATCTATAATTACATATATAAGGCCCAGTACTACCCGATCAGTCACAATACACTTTAATCTTACAGATACACATTTTGCTTGCCTCATCAACGAAAGGGTCTTATTTACGAATGAAATATTGGTGTGTGCACGAGTCAGCGCAAAATAACGTATGTATTGGACCATTGCCTCTGCTGTGACGCATAAACTTGCTGTGAGCTCATTCTACATTATTCATGTTTCATTGCCATCAGTCACTGCTAAGAAAGTCATGCTCTCTGTTGTACTCGCCGAGATTTCAAGACTTTTAATTCCAATGATGATATACACAGCAGGTGTGTTCCCCCTCTTTGTTCCTGGTGACTATGTGTCACTGTTTGATTCTTTTCCGTATGTAAAAGCTATGTATTCAAGTAATCCTTTTCCCTGCTGCATGCAGTTTGCTGATCATCTTTTTCATACGTTGTAGCCAGATGCAATGGGATTATCTTTTTAATCAACCCCACATTTGGTGGAACAATGAAAAAGAAAAGTACATAGAGTAAATAGTGCGATAACAGTTCCGTCGTATGCATGTATGTAACAGTAACTGACCCGATGTATGTACATGCTATTCAGATTCTTTTTGTCATGCCCGATGATGGTCTGATCTGCATTGAAAAAGCTTCTTATTCTCGGCGTCATGGGTATATTTTCTCCTCGATGAATATAATATTGAGCTTGTTGATTCTGATAAGTCCTAGATAAGATTCGTATATTATAAAAATGTCACACAGTGCTCACTGTAAACTTTCATGCGTTAGTGAACTCTATTGTCTCATTGTTCCTGCAATAAAACGTCGTCGTACGTACTACTGTAGCAGAATTTTCAGACGAGTATTATCTGTTTGTTGCTAGTATTCCGGGGTCAATAGCGTATGTGCTAGTGAAATGCGTATATACTCTTTATACATCAGGCGATAATAAGCTGCGAAAGCTTCTACTACACAGCGTTATGCACGCCTTCCTATTGCTTCCAGCAACCTTTTCTCAGCGAGGTTAAGATGGGAGCCGTCTTATTTGAAGAAGAAATGGAGTGCGGTATCATTTACTCTGTGATCAGAGCCAGAGTCGGATAATCGTTTCTTTCTTATAGTTACTGTACATGCTTACATCTTTTCAGACGTTTGATTTCGTCTACGGGTATATTCACAATCAGCTAAGATTGTATTCCGTGCCCTTGGTAACAGAAAGTCATATCTAGGGCAGTTTTATAGGTGAATAATGTTGAAGAACAGCAGTCGAAACGGTATTTACTGATCTTTTTATAGAAACAGCGCGTGAAAGAATAATAGCTAATCACGACAACAAGCAGAGGATGGTGGGCTATGACAACCACTTGCCATATATCTTCTCGACGAAATTCATGTTACACATTTTATTTAGACTGTCGATGGCTGGGACACGACGATACATAAAACGAAACTTGCCGAGCCCTGATTGGCTGTCGCCATTTCTTGCAGCGGCTGTGATCCCGCAAATAAGCCGGCTTGGAGCACCCCACCGCATACACCGTGCGGCGAGAACCAAAGCGCGCGTTCTTTTTGCCCTCTTCTAGAAAAACATATACATAATATATCTCTACAACCCCCCTTCTCCGCAATGAATATCTTTCGACTCGTTGCAGACTTGATGCATTTAGCATCCATTTTTATACTCTTGCTGAAAATTAGGAGTACGCGGTCATGTGTCGGCAAGTATATCCATACCGTTATACCTTAAGCATAAACGACGCTGAAGAAAAACGCAGGAAAAAGCTAATGACAGAAAACGACTAATGTATGATAATACAGGCATTTCATTCAAGTCGCAGTTACTGTACTCAATTGTCTTCCTGACACGTTATCTTGACCTATTCGTTAAATTTCACTCTGTATACAACACCTGCATGAAGATCTTTTTTTTTGCTTCATCCATTTACATTTTGTACCTCATGAAAGTCAAGTTCAAGGCCACTTACGACGCTAGTTTGGATACCTTCCGTATCGAGTACTTGTTGGGCGGCGCTGGCGTTTTGGCACTTGTATTTCCTCACGAATATACTGTTTTGGAGGTAAGAAGGAGCAGGAATCCTTTGAACAAATATAGACGAGGCTGTTTCAGGTGGCAGGCGCGTGCATGCATGCGCTAATGACATGTTAGGGGGTTGGACAGGCTATGTCGATAGATGTGTGTGACTAAATAACATTGGGGCTACCATAGGTCCTTTGGTCATTCTCGATCTGGCTCGAGTCCGTTGCAATTTTGCCTCAGCTGTTCATGCTTCAGCGTACAGGTGAAGCAGAGACGATCACAACCCATTACTTGTTTGCTCTAGGAGCATATCGTGGATTGTATATTCTCAACTGGAGTAAGTTGATCTAACTAGGACAGCTGAAATACACTACATTTACCTGATGATTTCCTGTTAACACTAACAAATCCAATGCTTACTGTGTCTATCTTCATAGTTTATCGCTACGTGAACGAAAACCATACCGACATTATTGCATGGGTTGCTGGTCTGTTGCAGACGGCTTTATATAGTGACTTCTTCTACATTTACTACACCAAGTACGGGCATTTCTTTTTATTTTTAGCAGGGAAGGGATTTGTTGTGAATGGAACTATGAGGCTGACTGATGATGGTGTTTTAATAGGGTTCTCAAGGGCAAGAAGTTCGAGTTACCGAAGTAAGCTTTATTTCATATTTTGCATATTTTGAAAGGTCAATCCTTCTTGCACCATTACTAATATAGATGTGTTTATAGAATGGTTTAAAAATCTGTCACTTTGTATTTCCTCGCGGTACTCTCTTCAGCCCCTATTGTCAATAGTATAAATAAAACACGATATCGGCTCATCCTTTCTTTTTTTCTCTTCACGAACGACAAATGAACTTTTACGCGATGGATTATATGTATTCTTTGTAACGCACACATGGCGTTGAGACATCAAGGGAATACATGAACAATGAAAATGGTATATGATTCATGAGGAGAACTTTCCATCCAGCAATAATTGTTATTACTACTACCGCATTCTACGTCTAGACATTACATGCTCTTATCTACTGCGTTTGCAAGGTCAAAAGTAGCTGACCGTGTACATCACCTGACGGAAGTATCTGATCCACTTAACCAACGATCCGAGAAAGACAACTTATATATCAGAGAATCATACTGTATTACATGAAAAATACCGACAATGGGCTCCGATGATCTACAAGACACTTTTGACAACACGGTTTCTTTAAAAGGATATTGGATGGCATAAGTTAAACTAGAATGTTCCAAAATCTATCATATCTATGCTTATTCTATAATGCCATTATACCGAGACAAAAAATCAAGGGATCAAGGGGAAAAGCGTAGCTCAAGTGCCTATGCAACCATGCCCACTTCCAAAGGAACGGATAACCGAATTCTTAACACATACTACTGCCCATTAAGGCTTTGTCAACTGGGTCGATTTAGCCAATGATGTGAAGTCACTACGCGTACTAGAAACAATGATGATCGAAATAGCAGCCATGACGGTACAAGCTGTTGTGTCTTCTCATAATGATTTTATTCTGACATCAACAAGGAGATCGGTTCCATAATGAAATCTGCACGTATCTAATTGCACAGTATCGTAAAAGGGTAATAATGAGTAAATGGTTAAAAGAGGAAAGGTGATTTGTCTGAATATAGTATCGAGCGGGATAAGAAGGAATACTATTTGCTTTGATACATAAAAGTAAGCTGGATGAGCTGAATTTCAGCGCTGCTATACAGTGAAGAAGACAGATAAATCATAATGACATAGCGGTGCAAACGTTATCAAGTAGACCCTGGCAGGTACGGAAGAAGCCGATGGTTTCAATCATCTCGTGGTTTATACTGTGTGTATTGGCAAATGATATATGCGAGCAATGTACAATGATGACGACATTTTTAGGGCCGATTTCTTCTAAGTGAGATACCTCCCTCTTGTTCACACGTTAAAAGCTGTTAAACAACGGGAGTAAACAAAAAGATACAACCATCATCATCATATCATTACTCAGCATTTAAAGTTTATGTTTCTCCCAATAGTAATGAAAGAACGTTGCACACCATGAAATGATCGTCCATCTATATATCTTGGATAAGCAAAGTTATAGGAGAACTGACAGTTATAAACATGCATTGTCTCGTTTATTCCTATTGTTTTTTTCTATTTTATTACGGCATCTTATATAAATAAAACATCGGATAACTTTATATTGAACTATAGAAGATCCCACCTTTTATCTTTACGGTATAAAGTTTATTTTTCTTGTGTGTTCACGTTTATCCTATCTTGGAAGTGATTCAATCCGTTTTCTTACATCATATACCCCTGTTATATCGCTAGCAGTAGCATTAGCATGATCAACGCATAGCTTTTATTGTGCATTCCCCACTAATGTCTTCTAGCTGGTACTTTATATGTGTGATTAGCTCACCAAATGAATTAGCCCCGGGCCATCATCGAGCTGAACAAATCATTGTTTGTGGTGCTACATATATGAGGACCAGTCCGATGGATTCATCAATCTGGAAAAGCAATAGAATAAAACTCGTGTAACAGCCCCTGTGCATCAATTGCGTAATTGTGCATTGCGCAAGCATGATGACATGGAGAGTATTGAGAACTTTTTTCTTTGTATCTGCTGCCCCGTCATGTACGAAGACAAGCAGATTCATTTGCGCGACCTCTCCATTGGCTATAACAGTACAGCTTACAAATCATCATAGCCATGTCATCGAGGAGACCCTGGATGAGGTCTGTCTTTTTCTCTACGTCAAGTATATGCTAACCCGATATTTACTTCTGCCCTCACGTTTGATCGTAAACCTAGCAGAGATGAATTGAAACAAATGTCAAATTTGTTAAAATACGATATTTTATTTGTACTGTCAAATCATTTGTAAATGCTCCAAAACATTACGCAATGTTTTGGTTCGTCATGATTGCATCATGTGAAGCTCGAAAGTATTACAGCAAAAATCACCAAAAAGAATATTTTAAACTATATTGCAAGATCCATCAATCTGATTTTTGAACTTGACGCCGGCGTGCAATGAGTATATTGAACGAGAGACTTATGCTAAAAGATCAACAGAGCATACCTAGAAAATACGTAATATCAGTATCATGCACTCCCCACTAGCAAACAAGTAGTTGCATAAGTTTATTACTATTCATACAAAATCATGTAGGTTGATTAGCAGTGATGAGCACACAGTGTTCCTTTATTTTTTTTCAAATTATTTGGAGAGAAAATGACGTGCTTGTCCATGCAAAGACGACAATGAACGACAGTTGTTCTGTGTCACAAAAGGATTGTAGCTTTTTTTTTTCCATTCCCCCCCCCAAGATTACGCAGATGATACGTCAAGACGCAATCAAGATTAAAGACTTATTCTTGACAACATCTTTTTCATAAATCGGGTGATAGAATCTATAACATGAATTGAAATGAAATCATATTGTCCGTAAAATACAATGATAAGGTAGGAGATAGTCATAATAATCTCGGTCATCACATTAGTTTTTTTGGATCGCGGAGAGGACCGAGTTACTTGACTTTTGATCAAAAGGTGATTGTTTAACTCGCGTTTTTTAAGCAAGAAATGTTGATGACGACATTTTATGTTATATGAATGTAATTGTAACATCATAACTGTTTGCTTTCTTATTTTAGCAAGTAATTAGGTACATACTACATGTCAAGCAGTCAAAACATTAATATATAAAACATCTGTCTTGATTTAACTAGCTATGTCACTATATAATTCATCAATGATGTTTCTTCATCAACTTCATGTATTTTGTACTATGTCTTACCCTCAAGAAATTTTACGGGGCAGATACCATCTACAACAATTCTTTGAATACAATGACTTGGATATGATCTATACAAATGTCGATTTCAAGGCTATGACTCCGAAAGAAATCATTCGGATGCGTCGTAAGTCGATTGTCGCGGAACCTGCTATGCCAGTATCTACGGCAGCGTCTTCATCATCCGATAGCACTAGCACTGATACCCCACCAAAATCCAACCGTCAAAAAGCCATTGCTCTTTGTGGAACTTTTGATAACTTTCTCTTCTCGCAATTAAATCAAGAACAATATCATCAGCTACTGCAAGTTATGAATACAGGTGTGCACTTTTCGAAAGGTTCAGTCATTGCTCAGCAAGGAACTTATGGCGACAAGTAAGTGCTTTCCATGAGGACGTGATGGGTAGAGGCTAAAAACTACTGGTAGACCAACTGTATATACGTACTCGTTAACACAACCTTTCGTTTTATTTTTTGATCATTTCCAGATTTTACATTGTGGAGTCTGGGATGGTTGAGGAACGAATGGGCAATGTTGTCAAGTGTCGCTATCTGATGGGCGGCAGTTTTGGAACGCTATCGCTTTTACATTTCCATCGATGGCCGGCGTCGTATGTCGCTGCAACGGACGACGTGGTCCTTTCAGAGCTGAGCCGGGAGGATTATCAATCCGTGTTGATCAACGACGCCGAATCCAAGCGGCTGAACAGAAGACGGCTCGTCGACAAGGTTCCTACATTCAATAAGCTAGATCCCATTGATCAGAACCTGGTTGTGGATGCATTGACGCCGGTTGAATATCACGATGGCCAAATTGTGTATAATCAAGGCGATCAAATTGCCGACAACAGAATCTTCATCATTGAATATGGCACTGCACTTGGCATAACAGAAACCGAAGGTTACTCGCGAACTATTGAAATGTTTTTGAAGGAAGGTACATGCCAAAACATCTCATTTACTCATTCTAGATATTGTTATTACTTGGTTTTTGTTTTGCTCGTTGTGCTAACTTTACAAAGGTGATTATTTTAATGACGGTGATATTCCAAACAAAGGTCATATCCGGCAAAGAATGACTATCATTGCGCAAGGCCCGTTGACATGCTTGACTATAGATAGAACGGCCCTTTCTCATCTACTTGGCGACTCATTGTATGTACAAGAAGATATACTCAATAAATAAATAAGATATTTTATGTACTTGGTAATACTCGTTTTCAGTGTGATGTGTGTGATATATTTTGATCATGAAGATGTTTCTTGCAACTTTTGCTTTTTTCTAGCTAGATAACGTTCTCTAGCACTCATTGCTGCCTCATCCGTAGTACGTTTAGTAGCAGCCTTCTGTTCCAATTCCCGCTGTCGTTCTTCTTCAGCCTCACGCTCCTTTTGACGTGTCTCCATCATCTGCTTTTCGATTTCTTGGCTATATCGTTCTCGTTCTTCTGCATTACCACCACCCTTTCGTCGTGCCTCGTATTCCTCAACCTTCTTGCGCTTGTATTCATCATATTCTTTCTGTCGTTCTTGGGCGCTCTCGTCGGCCAATGAGCCGAATGAGCCAAACTTGGGTCGTACGTTCAATCCAGCACCAAGCAGCTGCCGTCGATCCACAATTTCGTTATTATCGTTGAGCATGACTTGCTTTCCTTCGCTTTCAGCTTGTTTCGCTAGATCGACATCCAACGCTTCTTTTTCATCTTGTTTGTCTCTTTGTTCCTTTCCACTCGCCTCTTGCTCCTTCTTTTGCTTCAAGTGTCGCATTATTGCTTCGCGCTCTTTGTCCTTTTTATCTAAAATTTGTTTGTAAAAGGATGCCATCTTCTTGCCCTTGTTTGCCTCGTCTAATACAAACACAGTGTAATCCGATTAGCTACTGTTTATTTAGTCCATATAATAAACATATCTGTAACCTTTACCTTCTCGTTTACGTTCTTCGGCTTCAATTCGTTCCATTTCTTCCTTATGCTTCTTAAAACTATTTAATGTCGTAGCTGTCAGCACATGTTTTTTTTTCTTTACGAAACTTTCAACATCTTTCTTCCTAGCAATTATTTAAAGACTTACGTTTCAGTCACAATGACCTCCTTGTCGGCAAACTCATCACCTTCTGCCTCACGTTCACGAGCAACCTTTTTCTCCTCCGCCAATAATCGATCCTTTTTCCGAACTTCTGCCATTTCTAATAGCCCTTGGATATATTTTGGCTAGCAATAAACGAAGAACACAAATACATGGCAATAAGAATATGTACAACCAACTTTATCCTACTCTATGCAACAGCCATGCGAACTCTTGATATACCTTTTTTGTTTCTGGTCCCTTCAAGGCCTCTTTTTTAATTTGTTCGGCTTGTTTCAAATCATCGTATACGGCGTCATAATCAAAAATATTGGCGTCTTCTTGCAATGCTTTGGCATGTTCTTCAGCGATCTTTTTACTGGCTGTGTTGACTTTGGAAAGTTGTTGATTGACGTTGCTGCGGTGCTTATTCTTGTCTTTACTGGTACTACTACTGCTTTTGCCGGATTTAGAGGCTTGCTGTTGTTGATCGTCGTTGTCTCCACTGTCATCGCTCTCGTCTTGGGCAAATGTGTTTTTTGGCGTAAATCTTGGCCTTGGCTTTTTAGCTTTTACGTTTAATCCAAACTTCATGATCGTGAATGAGTAGTACTGCGAAAAGTTCAAGTTGATCGTGATAGAGGAACCTGTGTGCTGCTGAGATTTATTATTAAAATTAAGCAACGATGGATCAATGCATCAATATTGGCTTTTAATATGTGAGTGAGTAGTCGTCAGATTTCTTACTGCTATCACCCACAACAAATCTTATACAGACGATGAGCTTACTCTCTTAGTTTATAAGTATAGCTGGTCCTATACTAGAGGCAGTAATTTATTGTATACAGCAATTTATATGTTTGTACGATAATCGCTAATTTGAAGATGTGCTTTGTTAAGAAATGATATTTTTTTTAGTAGTCGTACTGCGTCCACCTATCAACAACGGACTCGTAAGGAGTTGGCGTGCCTCTCTGCTGAGCGGCAGCAGCAGTGAAAGAAGTTTCAGTTGTAGAAACAGTAATGCCCTTTATCTATCAAAGGTCGATCCAAACATTGCTGTTAATTCGTACACTTATTAAATGAAGACCACAATGACTATTACTAAATACCTTTTCATATTTCGGAAACGGTAATGTACCCTTGAAATAGCAGTAAAGAGCGATCACCACGTTTGTCCACGTATCATCCTCTAGCTGTTGTGGGTTCTGTTGATCCGAAATCGGTCGAAGAGCTCTACTTGATTGAGATGCTGCTGTTGCCTATATAGTAACAGTAAGTTACGTTTGCTATACAATACCATGATACTGTAATGTGCACTTGTCGGATCTAATACTCGTTTAATTGTACAGTACCTGAATAAGTGCCAAGCAAATTTTACTGGTCTCGCTAGCATATTTATGGTGGTGCTGATGATCATGGCTCTGCTGACGAGTGATTAAGTTATGTATTGATTGAGCGATAGGGGGTATGTAGCGTGTCAATTCGGCCAATTTCTGCATAAATTACCTTTTATGTTTTAGCAAATTCTCAACTTAATTATATATATGTAATGCTATGTCAAGAAAAACGTGAAAAAATAAGGTATGGCGCGTTACCATGCGGTACTCCGGTGAAAATACCAATGGGTAAATCGGAGCGACTCGGTCACAGAAGAGCTGGAATATGGCGGCACAAAGAAACTCATTTGTGATGTTGGATGGATCTAGTAGTGCCTCGGATAACTTTGCTGGATGTATAACAAGGGAGGACGAGGTTAAGGATTTTAAAACATCAAAGCTTGTATATACTGTCATAAGAACATTATGTGTAAAAAGGATATTTTGCGTTTTCCATTCAGTCTTTAGATAGAGCTTAACCAGATTCCCATGAGGTGCTGACTTCTTAAGCAAGTACGACAATGGGGTGTCAACAGGGGACGAAGTACATGATAGTTGCAACTGATAGCCTTCAAGCAATTACCATGTATGTTTTAGTAGCTATTCTATAATATATAATGAACATATTTACTGCTTACACTCACTATGATGTATCGGAATTTCCTGCTCGAAATCGAAACCACAATGGCCCAAAACCTTTCAGTAGAAACGAGCGTTAAGAACACTGAAGAAATGATCATGTAATCAGTAGCGCAGTATAGCATGTCATCATACCAGCCGTAATGGATTTTTGATCCAATGTATAGGTTGGGTGCTATCCAAAATACCGTTTATCCTATTTTCGCAGTATTGTCATCATGAGCAGGTGAGCCGAAGATTCTGACAGGAGTGTGCCTCGACAGAATAGGCAGATAATACAAGAGAAAACACATATCTGTACTGTCAGCAATCCCTGGTCCAGAATGACATCCAAATCCTCCAGAGCAAAGACATGGATGCTGTAAGGGTACTGAGGATACTCGACGCAAACAGTGCAGTCTACGCGCAGCATAGTGGTCACATGAGTTGCGTTGTTGTTTCTGCTGTTTGACTCATCGTCATCGTCGTCGTTGCATACAAGCTGGCGACGCTGACGGGCGGTTGGTGTCATTGTGATTGCTATCTTTTCATACTGGCAATGGGGGATACTTTCAGATTGGGTGGCCTTGTAGCACGAGGACGACAGTGACATAATTGACGAAGAGAAACGCTAAAAAAAGGCCTAAACGAGGAAAATGTAATCTCTTATGCAGATCAGTACTGAGCAAAACTCAGACACGGACATGAAAAGAGAGTGTACAACCTGGATAGTGGAGTATCTTACTGCTGGAGAGTACAATGCAGTTAATGTGACCAGCGCACAAGGTTATCCACCACAGTAGTCAGTGCAGAAGGTATGACCGTTTCTCTACGAACGCGCTTATGATTGCAGCATGAACACGAAAGACATATAGACTGCATTGCGTAACGCATACAAGAGAGCACAAATGGTTACGGTAAACATATTAACACTGTTCTTGTTCGTGCCATGATAAAAAAAAGCTTTTGCTTTTCATTTTCATGGTGGAACCTTAAAATGGTAACTCGGAACGTCGGACTATGTCTTGGTGGCATATAAAATACACGCGGCCCGACGACAGTAGGTCTTCTTTTCAAACTTGAAACTCTCTTTTTAAATATCCACAGAAACATGAGTGAAGCTGGCAATTGGTGCTTGATCGAGAGTGATCCCGGTATGTCCTTTGTTGATTTACTGATAATTTTATTGAATTCCTAGTCAATGCTTACTTGTGTCTCTCCGTATGCATGTGGATCATTAGGTGTGTTCACAGAACTGATCTCTGGCATGGGCGTCAGGGGCGTACAAGTAGAAGAGATTTGGAGCTTAGACGAATCAACTATGGAACAGTTAAAGTAAGATATTTCTTATAACTTCACCGATTAGCTAGCAAAGAATGAACTGATTGTTGTTGCTTAGGCCGATCCTTGGTTTGATCTTTTTGTTCAAATGGCAAGACGCTTCTGGCGGTTCGGAACCCACTTCGGGAGGCCAACCCGATGCGGCCGCAGACCATGTATTCTTTGCCAACCAAGTAATCAACAACGCTTGCGCCACACAGGCCATTTTATCCATCTTGTTGAATCGAGACGATATTGATTTGGGCCAAGAGTTGCGTAACTTTAAAGAATTCACTGCCGACTTTCCACCTGATGTGAGTTTTCTTTGTTACTACATTGTTGCTAGTAATTTTTCGCATCCTATTAGAGGATGGTTATCTGTTCCTTTCATTTGACTGTAAAGCCTAATAATTACATACACTGTATAGATGAAGGGCCTGGCTATCTCAAACAGTGATTTGATCCGATCAGTACACAACAGTTTTGCACGATCCGATCCATTTGTGAACGAAATCCAAGATCCACGAGCAAGCAAAGACGAGGACTTATTTCATTTTATCGCGTACTTGCCTATTCATGGTGCGCTCTATGAATTGGATGGTCTGAGTCGAGGCCCAGTTAACCTAGGTAATGATGTAATTTTGGTTTCGAATTTGTGTGTTGCTGTTTGTTACTACATGTTACTGACCGCTAATTCTTGAAATGATAAACAAAATGACTTATTAGGCGCATGTACGGATGATAATTGGGTGACCAAAGCCAATGAAGCTATCATGGGTCGAATGGAAAAATACGGAGCTAGTGAACTGCATTTCAGTCTGATGGCATTGACGGGAGACCGGATAGATCTTTACCAAGAACAGATAGAAGAAGTGGATGGGCTGTTGTTGTCGTTGCCTGACGACGCAACGGACGAGCGACGACGATTGGACGAGGATCGTAATTTATTGGAACACAAATTACAACTCGAAAAAGAGAAGCGAGCACGGTGGCACGTAAGTATTTTGTTATATGATGTGTAGTGGATCAGTTCTTTTTGAGAGGAGAAACCGAGAGAATCACGACTGATTATGCGAATCGCTTCTAATCATAATGTGTTGTCAACAGAGAGAAAACATACTTCGCAAGCACAATTTTGTGCCAATGATCTATAACCTGCTACGTACACTTGCAGAACGCAAGGAACTTGATCCACTTATAACCACTGCAAAAGAAAAGGCAACAGCAAGAGCTGCTGAAAAAGCAAAGGCCACGGCGGAAAAGAAATAAGTTTGTTTTCCGTCGCGCGCATATAGTATGTGTGTGGTGGAATATAATAAAAAGGCTGTCAAAATATTATTTACTATGAGGTTTAATAATACTTAATTGCAAAATGTTGTAGTACTGTACATTGTAGGAATTACATATGAAAAGAACAAAGAAGCGTGTTATAAGAAGATGGTGATTAACACATGATGAAGGAAAAAAACGGGTGCAACAAGCATTAAGGGTAAGAGATATCCAATAGCGATAGCGACTTTGCTGCTAGTGGCGCTTGTGAATGCTAAGGGATTTGAGGAGACCGGTTTGTTGTTATCGCCGTTGCTGCCTACAAGACCACTGACATCGTATGGATCATCTGTGACAGCCGTGCCATTGAAATAATCCAAATGCCGTCCGACTAATGCAACCGAACTCTTAGGTAGTGTAACCTCACACCGATCAGGCGCACTGCATATCACTTCCTCAATGGCAACATCTCCTCGTAAACGACCATCCGATACATTATGCAATGTTTGGCCTGCCCATTGGATCGCATGTCGTTCTTGTAAGCTTGTTGCTGTCAATCGCTTCACCTTGAGCTTCGCAATGCCATCACTATCATCCACGGGTATCCAGCCCTCCTGCTGCGGTTGTAGTGGAAATACAGCTTCATTGTCTGGATCAAAATTGATCAACACTGCATATGTGAATTGCTGCTTGTGAAAAATAGCGTATGCAGCTTGTGAGTCCGATGGCAGATCAATATGCACGACCTGTGCGGCTGTGTCTGATGGGCCAAGGGCTTCCGCTGTTACCAACGAGCCATAATAGATGGGATTCGCTGTCCAACTGCTGCCGATTTTGGACATTGGGTTATAGTGTGCTTTGGGTCCACCTAGTTGAAGTTCGACAGACGAGAAACTGATCGAGTACAGAAACAGTTGCCAGTCGACCCACCAGAGCGCCGAGACGAAAGTGTCGGAAATCCCTTGAATGCCACCACATGCTGTCCGCATTACACTCAATTGTGATTAGCAAGAGTACGAGCTACTAGTTTGCTCCTGTTTAAAAACAATTTCACATACCCGCTGTGTTGGTTTCCCCCATGACCAATTCTTTGCCGCTGCCCGTGATCACCTGGGCCTGTTCTTGGTACATCTTCCGTGGCAGCGAAGTGATCCATGCATGGCTGAGATAATCATCGATTTCGCCCTTGGCGACACCAAAGCATGCATTAGAACTATATTTTTGCACAGTGATCGAATTGATAAGCTCCTTGCTGCGCTCAAAGTAGCCACTATCTAACAAGTCTTGGAGGTGCCAGGTGCAACAAATAACGCCACCCGAGAAGATATTGCGTTGTCGTTGGTTATCGTCGTTGTTATAAAAATGTTGTGACAGTTGCGTTGCCCAGGCAACCCATTCGCCCGTATAGTCTTGAACGCCCCATCCATCGGATCGTAAACCGTGCTTTGCATACAAGTCAGGCTCGTTACCGATTTGGACTGCATAAAGCAAGTCGCCGAGCTTGTCTACAGCAACCTTGCCCAAACTCAGAGCGCTTTCCATATCGCCCGCATTTTCAAAGTTGAGCCCCACTGTCCATTTGATCGCAACGATGTTGCTGAGTCGACGCATGGCATCAAACAATTTACTATGCACTTTTATGTTGTATGTAGTGGCGCCACTGTTGGTGCGTGTTGCTTGCTCGCCCGTTTTTGCGATCGGCGCGCTGATGCTTTCGTCCGAAGACGCGGCGTCTTGGGAGTTGCCTCCTAACTTTAAATGATAGAATAATTAATATCAAAGCACATGTGCATCGGGCAATCCAGAAGGCACCGTAAGGCCCTCTTGATCTGCTGCTGCGGTCGTGATACTATTGTTGTAAGTTTACCCGGATCATCAAGGCGCCTCGTCGATCCTCGATGTTACGTAGCAGCTGAAGGAATCCAGCACTTTGTTTGTCGCTCCGCGTACCGAATACAGTGGTCCAGTGACTCATTTCGAGGGAGAAGCCATGAGAATATGACGGAATTTCGATTCCTGATGCGGTGCTCGGCAGCTGTACGACGAATGGCTCATTTATACTGTTACCATCATTATTGTCTTCTTGGGCGACGACAGCGAGGTTGGTAGTAGTGGTCGTAAATGTTAATAGTAACGACAGCAGTAGTGGTAAAATTACAGTCAATAAAATAAGCGGCATTTATTTAGATAAGGAAACAGGAGGGTAAAGTTTAGGTATAGTGAATACAAGCAAACCTTATTTGTCGCTTAATTTTCCTAAATGTCTTTGTTCCTAGCAGCTTTTGTTCTTCCTCGGTGCATTTTACGATGATATGTCTCTATTTAACACCAATCGCCAATTACAATGCCTTATATTAAGGACAGACTATTTATGTGGATTATGTATTATGTATGCATGTACGCATACATGGAGTGAGAAGTGGTAATAGGCATTTGAGTGTTTAAGGGTTTCCTTTGTGTGAGCATTTTTTGTCTACCTGACGAAATCTTAGTGCTCTACCCTTTCACTTGTGATGAAAGAGTGCATTGACTGATAGGTTTTGACACCACAAAGAAAGAGTAGCCCGGATTCTGTTTATATCAAAGGCTTTTTCTTCTGTTGATATGATGCAATCCCACGTATCAGTGGAGCTCAAGGAGGCAGTACGCAGAAGATAACAACGCCGCTGTTAATTGCTCATCGCACATATGTCATATAAGGAATGAGTCAGAAACCCGCCGGGACAGTTTTTACCCGTGCGCGGACACACCGGTAAGAGTGGTCCCTACATGCATATTAGAAAAAGAATAAATTATTCAGAAACATCAGTACAAAAGAGACTCTCACCTCCTTTTCTTTCCCGCTTCAACTTTTTCTGCGAACGCTGCAATCTCGAAATGGGAAAAGAAAAGCCTCTTCCATACCGACAATTGTTTATCATTTGCGCATGTCGCTTTGCTGTAAGCTTTTCAATTCATTTGCCGTCCCTTTCCTCAATGCAAACCATACTGATCTCGGAAATGACTTTTTTTTTAATATTTTCAGGAACCCATATGCTTCACAGTGATTTTCCCATTCATTCTCTTCGTAAGTGCTACACAAATATTTGCACTCCACCACAGTGTTTTCTTTGCAGCTTACAACAGAATAACTCACTAACTAAACAAACGACAAACAAATAGATGATCCGTGACTTTAATCTGACGGACGAGAAGCATCTTGGCTACTATGTTGGTTTCATTACATCAGCCTTTGCTGTTGCCCAGCTGCTGACAGGTAATGTGAATTCCTTTATATCCAAAACGATGATCTCTGTATGTATATGACTCGTGTTAATTGTCAATTTTCTCGCTGTGGATCCATGACCATTTTATTTTCATCGTGCATCACCAGGCATTCACTGGGGCATGTTATCCGATCGCATTGGCCGTCGGCCTGTCATTCTTTTTGGTCTGTTTGGCACCTTGTCTAGCATTCTACTGTTTGGCCTGTCGAAAAACTTTGCATGGGCTTTGTTTTCTCGTAGCTTGTGTGGTCTTTTGGTAAGTAGCAAGGCATTGCAACAACATGTTAGAGATGAAATGTGCGTTCCTGCTAATCATAAGTATCAACACACATAGAATGGCAACGTGAGCGTGTTGAAAAGCATGGTATCAGAAATCACAATCGAACATTCACCCGAACAGCGAGCACGAGCGTTCTCGTTTTTGCCTTTGATGTTTGGCATTGGCAGTATATTGGGCCCCATGCTGGGTGGTCTTTTGTCCAATCCAGTTGAAACGTATCCAAGTATCTTTGGCCGTGGCGGTCCTCTTACTGATTTCTTTACCGAATTTCCATATTTCCTTCCCTGCTTTGTATCTGCCGTGATCTGTGCACTTGGCTTGATCTTCGGCATTTTCTTCCTGGAAGAGACATTAGAAAGCGCAAAGCCAACCACACAGGATCCACCGACCAAGGTGTTCCATGAACTTGAGGAAGAACGTCCTTTGATTCAACACAACGAAGACTACAACACTTTCAATGGCACAACAACAGATGACAGCGATCGACGCTCGACAACTTCGCCCACACCTACTTTACCCGATCAATCACCAGCGCCGTCATTCCGAGAATCACTAACGCCTGCTGTCCTGGCGATCTGCTTGGCATATGCTCTATTTTCATTCCAAGCAATCTTTTATGACGGTAAAGCTCACTGAGTATATCTCATGACAAAGAAGAATTCACACGGCCACTACTGCACATGCGTGTGTGTATGTTATATACTCATCGTTTTATTGTATAATTTAGAGTTGTTCCCCATTTGGACGGCGAGCAAGCGGGAAAATGGTGGCCTTGGATTCCAATCCGATGAAATTGGCATTGCATTGGCCTACTGCGGCTGTGTTACACTATTTGTGCAGCTGCTCCTGCTGCCTGCATGGACCAGGTGGTTTGGCCAGCTACGACTTTTCCAGATTGTTCTCTTTGGCTGTATCTTTCTATACTTAGGCCAAGGTTTTACGCGCTACATGTACAATATCCCCGATCCAAGCGGCCACACGCAGACCAAGTTCTGGGTCTGGGTAGGGCTGATTCTCACTTCGACGTTAAAGACCATGTTCCATACCACTGCATTCACGAGCTGTACCATCTTGACAAATGATGCTGCGCCACGGTTGGATTGCTTGGGTGCTGTGAACGGCTTTGCTCAATGTAAGTTTTGGCTTTTTGCTCTGAGCTGTTGATTACGAAAGCTTTTGGGAGGAAGTGCAAGAAACAAGAGAGAGAGGGAGAGAGAGAGGGAGAGGTACAAGAACGTTGAATACTAGGTGAGAAAACTGACTTCTTTCGGGTTGCAATCTGATAGGCTGTGCAAGTGGCATGCGGGCTTTCGGACCGGCGACATGTGGTGCAATCTGGTCCGCGTCATTAGGAGCCGAATGGATCCCGTATCCCATCCGGATCCACATTTCCTGGATTACCTTGTCCATTGTCGGCGTTGTTACCTTCTATTCGAGCACAAAACTTAATCCCGTCGACTACGATACTTCAAAGTTCTTGCGTGAAGAGCAAGTGTTCCCTCCTCCAGAAGACGAAGAAGACATGAATCGTCGTGCTTAGACAATCAAAGCAAAATCCACATAAAAAACACACATCCATCTATTATAGTCATGCACCTTTTATCAACCATCTTTCTCCTCCACACACATCTATCCCCTTCCTTCAGTCTCCACTAAAAGACCCTTCCTGTTCATCCTATCTCCTACTATCCCGACTTGGCATTTTCCATCCATTTGCATTGTTATATATCATATACCATTTCATAGACCTTTTTTTCTGCAAAATAAAAAACATGCTTCTTAATTTCTAATAATGATGGTAATAAACGATCGGTGTGGATACTGCGATAGAGATGCTAATAGATGCTATAATGATGGGTGCTTAGAAGTACAGGGAGATGCAATAACGAGATCTTTCAGCAAGAAAGCTAGTTGCGTGGATTCCAGAACGTTCGTCGATCTGGAGGTGCGATCTACACAAGCAAATACAATGCGCTTAGCATACAAACAAACAAACAAACAAACAACAAGCATAGTGAGCGTCTTTTCAGAGCAAATAATAGTTACCTTGGGTGGATTCAATGGTGGTCCTAGAGGAGCAGTAGGAGCTACTGGCTGTGCTTGTGCATAAATAGGTATGAACATCAAACACGGCATGGGCATGCAGAAAGTGTACTGCGGCGGAGGTGGAGGTGGAGGAAGTGTCGGTGGAGCTTTTGCCTATGTGATATTGACAATTGCACGAATTGTTATTGTTAACTAATGGATTTCACTATATTATCTGTTGAATTCACCTTTGGTTTGGAGCCACTGGAGCCCATTATTTGGAATTGAATAAGGAAAAGAAGATAAATGAAGTGGGGAGAAAGAGATGGTTTTCTTATAGAAAAAAGAAAGAGTGTTTTGGTACGACAATGTTCGGTACCGGAATGACGTTTTATTCGATGAGCCCGCCAAAATAGAGTTCATGCTGCGAACATTTAGTCTAGTACCTTCCCCACCTGCCCTTCTCCTTTCTGCCCCACAACAACAGTTGGGGACCTATCAGCAAATAATACATGCATCACAGACAACAGTTTTGTGAAACCAAATGACGCGAATGGTGTAACGTGGTATGTGCGCACAGCCCGCGCCTTGGTACTTGTTTGTGCTACATACTACCAACTACAGTGCGTACACGATGAGCGAGCGCCATATTATGGGCTTATTTTTGAGAATTGAATCTTTTATGATCAACATACTCTCCTAATTCGACAAAAGCCATAGACTTTATTACTATGGTGCATTTGTTAATAGCTTTCTTGCTGCCTGTACTACTACTACAATAATAAGGGAAGAAAAACAATAGTAAAGTTGCACGGCTTACACATGCATTCAGGAAGGAACAAATGGATGTCATTCCACCACCATTACCGGCAGTACGACAAGCCCCCCTCCCCCCTATTTCCTAATAAATCATGATTTATTCTTTTCCTTAAACGAAAACATATCTAGTACACGCACATCCATTGGTAATAAGTAGTAATATATGATCACAAGCTTCTTTTTGTTCTTTATTTGTCTGAACTCTCAGTGTTTGGGCCGGTACGACTAGGATAAGAGAATGATCACACGCACTTTGTGCTGTAGTAATGCGTTTCATCGTAATTATTGCAAGATAAAAAGGAACCACAATACTTAAAAGTGTAACCAGCAACCCTAAACTCAGCTCAACTTTACAATGATGCTAATTGATGCCGAGAACAATTCATTGTGATCATGATTGAATGACGACAAAAGTCTGCGTATATACACTAAGCAAGCAAAATACATCGTCACTGCTGTTGCTACTGCGGACAGAAGAGGTCTATATATGACAAAGATTACCACAATTATGCCGGTCCAGGTGACACAAGTTTACCATCTTCTTTTCTACTTTAAAAAAATGGCGTCACCACACATTGGTCCACTTTTCGCTGTAAATTCCCATTTGGTCCAGCTGATTGCATAGATGCAACATGGCTGCATACGCAGCTATTGCACTTGTCTATCAAGAGCAAGAGCATCGAAAATTTACATTTTTGACAAGCTAATGATGTTTATTGAGGAAAACTACTATGGCATTACTGCTTAACTTCTTGTGGTTCTACTCTTTTCAAAAACAAAGTGTTTTGCTACATTGTCTGTGCCATTCCCTTAATTATGGTTTCTGGGGTGCTCGAGCAGCCAATTTTTAACACGTTGATGCTTGGACTGGCATGAAGGAACAGTACGGCCAAGATCACGAGCGATATCTTTCCAAGCTAACTTTCCATCACGGCGATGATGGATAAGCTTAGTTTGTTCTTCATCTGTCCAACGTTTTTTGACAGTGGTCACCTTCTTTGCAGCAGCGCCAGTTGAAGGCGAAGACGACGCTTTAGACGAGCTTTTTGTTGCGGCTGCTTCCGACGAAGATGAGTTTCTTATTTTTTTCTTGGTTGATGGTGCTGACAATGCCACCGACGATCTCTTCGTTTCGTATTCCTTGTTGTCATCACCTTTTCGTGCACCCTCCTTCTTCTTTTGGGCCTTTTCCGCCTCCTTCTCCTTGCATTGCTTTTCCGACAAAGCCTCTCTACGTCCTCGTTTGAGTTCTTTGTCTGTGGCATGGTTCTTTATGAGATCCTGGCAGACCTTGGTAGAATGACCCACAGTTGCGGATACCTTTCTCCAGGCGGTAGGCGGCTCACGCTGGCGCATCTTGGCGACTTGTCGGCGTTCAGGGAGGGACAATGGCGTTTTAGGCTTCTATTTATCAATAAATATTTTAGTACAACAACAACATCGATCAAGAAACTACAGAGAAACTGGCAAAATACCGCCGAAGAAGGCAAAAGTATCTATACTTTTGTGTATGCTATTGACTACTTACCGAGTCAAATCGATCACGATCGTACATTTTTCGACACCCTTCCGCCGAGTGCCGATGTTTGATTGATAGGGCGATTTTCTCCCAAGCACAATTGGGTTTCTCTCCCTTGGCTTTAATGACGATACGCTTATCGCTTTCGGTCCACATGGTGTTGTTAATAGTGCTAATACTGAAGAAACTGGTAGGGGTAGTTGATAGTAAGTGCAGGACTTGGAGGATTGGAGAAGCAAAGTGGTTAAAGGGAAGTGCAAGACAAAGGAAATGACAAGTGCTTTAAATATGAAACTTTCTGCCAGAATGTGATCCCTAGTGTTCATCGTTAACTTAACAGTCCAGTATTGAGTGTTCATTGTGCTGCATCGCTTAGTTTTTACAATGTCCTTAAAAATAACACTGATGGTGTCAATTAAAGAAAGAAAGTTCATACCCAACATTCGTACTATACCAACAATAGCTCTATTTATTACGAGGAAACGATCATAACTCGAAATGAGCTATTATTTCTGCAGCGCTTTGCAAAAGATTATAGACTTTATAGATACTCCAGGTTGTGTGATCCATGGGTTTATTTAGTATACATGGTATTCATTACTATGTTCACTATACAAAAGGACCTCTGTCTACCGTCAAGATCGAATATTCAAGTTAAAAATATATGATTAGAAAATGTGGAAGTAGGCGCCACGCCTACAATGAGTTCAGGACTAGCACCACACTATGAACGTCCGCTGAAAAATTGCTACATTACTATCCATGAATAAATCCGCAACTCTGTTAGTAGTGCAGTCCAAAGCTCAAATCCTCACCAAGTTCTCTGTTGCGAGTCTAATATATGAGTACTCTTTGATCGGATTATGCAAAGTTCGACTGCTAAGTCTGCCAATAGCAAAAGTCCAAATGAGAATTTACATGTATTCAAGCCATACATAACGAGAGTGGATTTCCATACCCATATACATATAAACAATAACGATATAATGCGGTTTCAGATACAAGAAGACTTATTTGAATTATGTGTTACGAGCCATGCTCCATCAGTATCAAATTGATCTTATCCTGGGTACCTTGAGGCCTCCAGATCGTATACGTACGAAAAATTTCTAGTCTTGTTACCAGAGCAATCGAAACCAAAAATAAGGAGGGGAAAAAGAGAGCTGCTTTCCTATTGTTGAATATCCCTCTCCTCCACTGGTTACTGCTATGCATTTACAGCCCCAATACGGGGAAGGATCTCACCCCCTAGATAGGACTATACGCAATTACAACATAAGTATGGAGGGAACAAAGCGTCTCCACTATGCCATGCGAAACACAATATGAAAATAACCATGTAGCAGCGCGTCAGCCGGCAGAACGGGTATATCATTGGTGCGCCTGAGTGGCAGGCTGAAACAACGTGTTGCATAGGGAAAATAGTTAATTTTAAAGGGTAGCCACTCAAGTCGATTTCCTGCTTATGATTGTGTGATTAATCAAAGTAGTGTGAGATGCTATGTACCAACAAAAGGCTCTCATTTAATTATATTGTCACTCGAGATGGATGTGCAAGAGTGGAGACTCCATTCGAGAAGATAGAGAGAGCAGAAATCAAAATGCCACGAGGTGGAAAAAGACGAATAAGCAACACAGAAAGTTGCTGAGCGCGGATCATGCAATTACGCCAAGCGATAAGGACTTGTTTGGGACGTGACAGCAGCAAAAGAAACGACCCAGTTGCCTCTCTATCTGTTTTTATAGCTACCAATTTCTATAAGCAAGCAAGCAAGAGTGAGCCTACAACAGCACCTCCCCCTTTTTCTTTTTCGAGACTAGTTCCCTCCCCTTGTCCCACCTTCTTCCTTACTTTAAGAGAAGATAGCAAGCAAAGACACCAATGTCAACCTCTACTAAAGACAGCCTATCCACTGGTAAAGAAGGGAATGACGTTATAAACTTGATATCTATAATGCACTTACCGTTTGATTCGCGCTTGTCGAATTACTATTTTTAGAGGACACATCATTACAACAATCGCCACGAGTAACGACGAAGACACGACCACCAGAACCGACATTAACGTCGGCTGCCAAAGATGCTGAGACCTCCGTTAGCAGTAGAGCCGACGCACCCGATTTGCTTAATGATCAGCAATGTGAGCAGGCCCAAACTCAACGTTACAGGCAAGAACTATCTTTATCGTCAATGTCGTTAGGAGCAGCACCACTGCCACCAGCAACGCAGGAAGAACGGCCTCAACCACAGCCACAAAAGGATCAAACACACCAGCAGCAGCAAGACGGGCAAGTGCAAAGCAAACAAGAGATACAAAACGAAGAGCAAACACAGCAACAGGAAGTACAACAACAACAGCAGCAACCTTCTGAGCAAACTGGTGCAGCGCAAGAATATCTGACGAAAAGGATTCGATGGTTTGACTTTGCTACTGGGAAGAAGAAGGACGTCCTCATAATTACACAGAATGGTATGTGAACTATACGGACAATCCACCAAAGAGTGGCATTATCTCTGATAACATCATGCCATCAATAGAAAATGGGCCATGCCCCCTCGTGGCAATATGTAATGTTTTGTTTTTGCGAGGTGATCTCGAAATCAGACCGCCCGATCGAGAGGAGGTGACATTCGAATACCTGGTGGAGCGTTTGGGGGATTATTTGCTTAATCATGGTCCTTCTCCCAATACTGATGATTCTAAGGTACAAAAAAATGAGTAGTTTTGGAGGCATGGATCCTCAAGTTCTTTCACTTTGACGACATGTTTACACGTGTATTTCTATAGAGAAGTGAAAATCAGCAACAGCAGCAAGAAGTTGTATCAGCCAGCCCAACTCAATATGAAGCTACTGACATGGATCGAGTTGATTCTAGACAATCCACGGCAGAATATGTTCTTACTTACCGATATAATCTGGATGCTGCATTATCTATACTTCCCAACCTTCAAATGGGATTAGGTAAGTTTGTATGCAAGTAATGACCTATATAAGGCTGGATTTCAACGAGTTATTAACACAGTAGTCGAATATCCACAGATGTCAATGTTCGATTTTCATCGATACGAGGATTTGAGCCGACTGCCGAACTTGCCATGTTCGATTTATTTGGCGTTGATCTTGTACATGGATGGCTAGCAGATCCTCAAGTATGTGTGTGTGTGTGGAAGGTAGAGGCATCTCGTGAATATTCACCGGAAGTAATGTATGCTTATATTTTGCTATTGGTAGGATCGAGAAACATATCGAATAGTCGCGGAGAAATGTGGATCGTATAACTCTGTGGTAGAATGTGTGGTTCGTGGTGATACATTGAGCAGTGGTGCTGTCGTCGAAAGTGCAGATGGAAAACATGCAATGAACGGCGGATCCAAGCAATGGTCTCCAGAAGAAGAGCGACAAATCCAAGAAGGTAAATAGCAAGTAGAGAAAACCGGCGGATATACTGCGAAGATCTAATGTAATTATGTGGTGCGATAGGTCTTGTCGCGGCAGCATTTCTGGAAGATACAGCAACACAACTGACATATCATGGTCTCGAATCGTTGGTTTCGACGATCCCAAGCAATAAGCTCTGTGTACTGTTTCGTAATAACCATGTAAGCCCAAATTACACTTTTGCTTTCTTTGTTAAGATTAGATTAGAATCATGTATTTGAAAAACCTTTTTTAATCAATATATGTTTACATATTAGTTCTCTACGCTTTTCAAGCACCCAGAAACATCCACACTCTATATACTCGTAACAGATTCAGGATTGGCTTCCGAGGAAATGGTTGTCTGGGAGAATTTAGGTGATGTTGACCAAGGATCATCTGAATTTTTCAATAGCATGTTTAAGAAGCCTGAAATTGTCCGCTCACCTCCTCCACAAGCAGGACAAGATGATTTAGAGTAAGGGTTTCCTTTGGCCTTTTTTTTTGCTTGCTTGCACATATGTATGAGAGAAAGGTTGGTTTATTGAAAGGATACTTGAACATTACAATTTTATTAGCTATGTTCTGGCACTTTCTCTGCAGCAACATGAATTTTCGAGTGCGGAAGAAGAACAGCGTCGTCATCGTCAGCAACAAGAACAATGGCAACAACAGCAGCAGCAACAACAACAACAGTTATTAGCAGAGCAACGACATACTGATCACCTGGCTGCAAAGCGAAAGAAAAAACAAAGTTGTATCATTTGTTAGCCTCTTTGCCTGCTCTTCTCTCCTCCGTAATTTTATCACTAACCAACATCGTTCAAATTCCACTATTACTATGAGTATCTCGAACAAATTTTGCTACAAATGCCCTTTTCCCTATTTTCCTTTTTAGCAATTGTATTATCATTGTCAGTCATCATCATCATCATTCGTCACGTCACATATCACTATATATACCTTGCTTTCCCACAGTTGTGAAGGAATGTAGAGTTCGTTTACCACATCCAATTTTTCTTTGCGATGGATGATTGCTATTATGGAGTAATGTTTATTTATGTGGATATGCTTTAACCTCTTGCAGAAGAGTAGGGGGAGCATCCGATGAAAGGGTAATAAATGAGGCTTATTACCACGGAATGCGAGAGGACTAGCATATTTGCTATGATAGTGAATGTCCTTTGTATGCATATATAGAAACTGATATTGATAATGATATACTCTAGTTGATAGATAAGGTGATAGCGGCCTTACTTGGATGCTGTAAGGATTCGATAAGACTTGATGGACTTCAGCAACTCCATCAGGTACTTTGGCTGAACTCCTTCCTATTCTTTGATTTAACTGGCTTGTTTGCGGAAATTACGTCCCTGCAATGATAGTACTGCGAGTTGGTCAGTTGTGAGTTATTCTTACTGCTTGTGTTGAAGAAGTCTTGAAGAATGAAAGGTAGATCGCTGGCCATTTCCTTAATGTACTTTCCCTTGATCTAGTCCAGTACAACCTGACGTGAACTGTCGATCATACTCATAATGTACTTCCTCAACTGCCCTAGCTGCTGCAGCTAAGAAGGCTTCCTCTGACTTTTGTGGTAAAGGCTGCGTGAATGTGTTTTGCTCGTTCTTCTTTCATGGTGATGACAACGCCTTTTGACGATCAGCTCAATTAAGTCATTCCTGGACAGGAGTTTTAACGCCTACTTCCATGATCCGAAGTAGAAATTCATCCGTCAGACTCGTAAGATCTGTGGGATCCATCCTTTGCACTTGTCTTGCCAGCCAATACACCGATATTAAGCACTCCAGATCGGGTGTGAAATTTGTCTTATAAGGTCCCACAACAAGCTCGGTGGTCGATCAGGTTATTCGGATCTTCATTGACGTCGTTCCACATGCCATGCTGGATTCGTTTGAGGATGTATTTCTTGAGCGCCTTGGTCCTCCTTCTTTCAGAATTTATGGACTTGTGGGTTCGACCGTATGACCAAACATATGACGATCCTCACTTTAAGTTGTTTCGGCTAAAGCCCAAAGCTTCTCGATCTATGCTTCGACCCTCTCGTCCACCTTCTCCAGACTCGATATCCGCTTGCTTCCAGGCGTAAGTCAGATCGTAGTTTGATACCATGCAGATCAAGTCTGTTCTTGAGCTGTTGGTGTCGTTCTTTTGCACGCTCGCGCTAAGAATGTTCGACAATGCGTGCGACAAGGTGTTCAAAAGTTCCTGTTTTTCTGCCGCTCGCGATATAGAGCTTGCATCCGATATCTCCTTTATTGAGCTAAAACCCTTCGTTCGCAAGTGCTTCTGCTAGCTGGTTGCGCCGTTCCTGTTGCTTCTCCCAGACCTTATTTGCTCGTCGATCTGAAGCTGCCTTGCGCTTGGCTTCTTGTGCGTCTACACCAATTTGATCGCGTATGTCTTGCGACGCCAATCGGTCATACCAGGTTTAGGATACTGCTCAAAGTGCTTCTGGCGGCATTTGAGACACATGTTGATGGTTTTCTTTTGCTCTTTCGAGTCGACGGGTAAAGCGCTTGACAGCCGCCACTGTGAGTTGTGCCTACGTATCCGGCAAAACATTGCTCGTATAATTTCTTGCATAAACTAACAGGCGTGCTGCATGAGCCTCTTTTTGGTTGTTGGAGCAGGTAGCTTGGCTTTTTCGCAGATCTCTTGCCAGATCGGAAGACACAAGGCAAGTGATTGTAGGGCAGGTGATGCAGCTGCAAATCGTGCTATTTGCGACGGACACAAGTGACTGAGGATGTTCTTCCAGAGATCCAAGGGCGAAGCGGGTTGCGGTACGCTGGCGACCGTGTTAATGGTCAGCACCATCTTTCTCTGTCGCTTTTATATTTTTTTTAGCTGCGGTGATCAGTACTGCTTTGCTAGCAGTAGTGGTGCTACTGTCACTTTGATTTTGGCGGCCGTGTTGTTTGAATCGCCATCTTGATCGTCGTTCTTTCCACGCTTTCGTTTGGTTACTGACTCGATAGTAGAGGATGCTGGTCCAAATTGATTACGGGTAGGCTCATTGCTGTTGGTGATACTGCTTTTAGCGGCTATGTGCCTGACAGTGCTGTCCAGTGATGGAGGTATGGTTGAAGAACAGAAGAAAAAGAGAGAACAGAAAGATTCATGCTGTCGCGACACCTCGATTATATTAAGGCGCCGCTTGCAGTGTGTATTCTTTTTTATTTACTGAGAGCAGAGAGAGTGTGTGTGTGTATGGTAAATGTACAGTTTGTTTGATGCGGTGAAGAAATTGTACTAGTGGATGGGGCATGGTATGATGGTACTCAAGTAGTATTTCTACTGCTCTTGCTGATACTGCTTGGTGTAGTAGTCAGCAGTAGTACCTTAAAGGAAAAGGGCTTTTTTTGCAAATTGGGGTATGATAAAAGCAGCTTGATGCATATCCGCACTGTAATACTTGAAAAGCTGAACTTCTTCTTCTGGTGTCCATCGTCGAAGGGGTTTTGTCAAGTCGACATTCGGATTCTTGGAGCAAAGGATATGGCCAATTTGTCCGCATGGGTAGGATGGCACACAGGAGTACGCATAATGTACCTGAGGATACAAGGTTCGGTTGAAATCCAGGGCCTTTCGGATATCATCAATGTAGAGCCACATGCATTCGGCTTGCGTGCTGAAAACACCGTCGGCTGTCATGGCCATGTTGAGCATTTGGAAGAACTCATTCTTGAAAAGCGACTCTGCCGGGCCTGCACATATTTTAATCAATGGGATGAAGGAGTAAGAAGTGTGAGAAAAACGCTATAGAGAAGCTAAGCCCACAGCACACACAAGCCATTTAATCACTCAAGTACGCACCATCAGGATCAGAAGAATCGGTGATAACCACATCATACGCGTTGGCCTTGTCCTCGAGGAACTCAAAGCCATCCATGATGAAAAGCTTCACTTTCGGATGATCGAATCCTACCGCCATCTTGGGAAGATACTTACGCGAGACACGAGGAACCGCTTCGTCGATTTCCACAATATGGACTTCCTCAACGCCTTCGTGTTTGACAACTTCTCGAAGCACTCCACCATCACCGCCACCAATCACCAATACCTAATCTTGGGGGAAAGTGGGGTTGAGCACCCGCCCTTTTAGCTGCCACTTGCACTTGTTTAAACATTCTACTTTTACCCTTTTTCAACTGTACCTTCTTTGGGCTCGGATGCGAGTTCATGGCAAGATGGGCAATCATCTCTTGGTACCTGAAAAGATAAGACACCGTCATGGTGTGTGAGATGATGAAGATGATGAAGGGGTGTAAAAGCAAGACAGAAAGGTACAAAACAGGATACTTACGAGAATTCGTCTCGTTCGGAGAGTTGGATTACATTATCCAGCACTAATACGTTTCCGTAGTGGGTTGATTCAAACACTAAGATATCTTGGTATTTGGATTTCTCATGATGGAGGACTCGCTTGACTTGGATGCCAAGCGCTGTAAAATAAGTGTTGAGGGGGGACGAGGGGGTTTTCAGTTTAAAAATGCCGCTATTCTTCGAGATGTTTCCTCACTCTTCGTCGATAATGTGCAGCAAGCACTAGCGGCACAACTAAAAGAAAGAAAGAGAAAGGAAAACTGACCTTGTCCTGGCCACATTTCGCTTTTTTCATAGAACCAGCCGTCTCTGATGCAAGGATGAAGAACCGTCATTATTTACTTCTTTTTGGTCTTGTACGATTTACATACAGAGTATAAGAAGAGAAAGGTAGTACATGCAATGCTACCCGGATTCCCCGCCCGTTTTATAGAGGAGCGTCGCCGGAGGGCACGCAGTAACGTGCTGACGTCTGATGTAGAACATGATGATGGGAACTGACTTTTAATTCTAACAATGCTGTGATGACGAAGAACACATCGCCAAAGCATGATCATCATCATCACACACGCACACACCCCATGGGGGGTAAAAAGAAACCAGCTGGTACCTGATCCATTGTAATACAAAAAAATAAAAATTCTACCTTCCTTCTTTTTCTCAAGTCATCACATCTTCTGCGACTCCAAAACTACTACGTTCATCTCTGTAGGGGGAAGGTCGCGACACGAGAGGGCCGTGTTTGTTTCTTGGTTTTCAAGCCGTCTATCGCTATTGCTGTTAGTGTCATTGCTGGTTATGGTGTGTATGTGCCATGTCCAGAAAACAGGGCCAAGTAACATGTACCCACGTTTGTGCCCAAAGACACACACACAACAGATAGCGACACAATTTTCCGGCCACCACGCTCCTCATTTCTGTACTTCTTTCTTCTCCGTTTTTGTCTGTCCGGGCACTAGTAAATCGAAATGCTTCGTCGCTATGCCTTGTGTGGCTACATACAGGCTTGAAACAGTAGTGACCTCTTCTTTTGATCTTTAGATAGCCAATGTTATTGTAGTTGGTAAGATTAATTACACCATTGTGCAGAATCTTTTTGTTGTTTTTAGCATCTCAGCTTTCTTGCAAAATGATCTAGCCTTCCCATCATAATTTATCACTTTTACTGACGTTATAGTACATGGTCATCTCTATTTTCATCATCTCTATCATCCGGCCAGATAATTGCAACAGTAAAACGACGAATTTGGGAATCCATTACTCATAGGCTTGTAACGAGAAGAACGTATGACAGGTAGCGATCACAGACAGGTCAAAATCAAGTCTTACACGGTTGATTTCTTCCCACGAAGCATCTACATAGGTACATATAAAGAGACAGGCGGCGTTAGGAGCTAGATAAAGCATAAAATGCACATTTATGGTTGATTGCCTTTTTCTGACATATCTAAATCTCTGTATCGTATATGGAGATTTCCTGTCCATATGATATACTTCATTACAGAAAGGAAAGTGATAAGTTAGCTAAAGTACTGTACACTGAGAGACACAGAAAAACAAAATCGAGCATTCCTTCTTCTGACTTTGTATCTGTGCTACGCTACCAGATATACCTGCCTGAAATATACGTATGGTACCTGGAACGGGTACCTATGCATACTTTGTTTCCTTCTTTCCGCCTCTTTGCTCGCACAATCATTCAGTGACCAAAGGCACTACTTATCCTAGCAATAGATACCTTAGCAGAACATCTTTTGCAACAGCATTGTTATCCATTTTGTTGCTATCACCATCGCATCGTGTCGTTGCCAGCATCACCGCCGTTGCCACTAGCAACAGCCTTTTCATGACGGTATATTGCAGTACTATACTTACATGTCCAGAAATGCTGGTTATGAAATATGTCTGTGTTTTTAGTGTATCTTATATGACAGTCATAAGCTCTTTCAATGACTGTGATGGTGAGGAAGCATTCATGTACATATATAAAGTTAGTCACGTGGATTCGCATTGATAAAACCAATTTTCCTTCTTTTTCTTTCCTTCCATCGTCAGCAACCGTCATGGGATGAGTCCCAGGATGTGCTTCCATTGTTAACGTTTATGATCGTTACCGCTCCATACATCATACATATGCTCCGCCAAGTCACTACGCATATTATATGCATTAGACACACAATGAAAACGGTGTTATGATAACATCTTAATCGACCAACGGATGCTTATATATTCGTTTTATAAAATCTTTTATTGACCAATGGCGACAATGATGAGTATGCAAGTAGTACCGCCGCCTTTCATTGCCAAACATCTCACCATCAAATAAGATCGCCACGATTGCCGTGGTGACACGAAATCTGACATATAACCCAAGCACTATCTTGTAAGCAGCCTTCTTCAGACGTGTCTCAAGGTTCCGAAAAGGTTTAATGTGTATTTTCTCTGGCTGTAGAATAAGTTTACCCCTTCGATGTTCCCGAAGGTTAGGGTGAGTCATAGAAAGAGAGATGATTTTCAACGCTCTACAACGAGTATTGCAATTTACCACAAAGCATGGCTTATTAAACTGAGATATACAGTTTCTCTTTTTTGATGTTCAATACCTCTTCATCGTTATGCAAGAAGGAGACATTTATACAGTTATCTGACCACCACATACTTCTTTCCGTAAATGTATAGCATATCATTTATCTAAAGTGTATATTAGTAAATTCTCGCTACCACGGAAATTTCTCCCCGTTGATCCCTATTCATCCACCTATTTTAATCCAGCGATCGGCCCCTTTCGCTGTCCAAATACACCGATATTTTATATAAAATAACCTTCTACTATATACATGGTTACTTTTTAACTGAACTAGTATACTGATAATATAAACAATGGTAGTGGTGCTGTAAGCTTGTATAGTACACTTCTATCTTGACGTCGTCAACATTGCATGTTGCGCTGCGCTATCTTCCAAAGAGCCGCCTTTCAAGGCACCGTGCCGCTGGATACGTGCATACTGCAAAGCCAAACGCAAGCCATATACCAACTTCACCATAATGTTCACCAATGCGTTGAGCTATGGGCCCAGTGAAAAAGCTTTGGTTTGCTCCCAAAAAAGCGAAAGCATAACCGCCCACTGTCGAGAAAGTGGCAGCCAATCCTATAGGTAACTCGCTGCGAGAATTCCAGATGTCAATCGGATAATGACCGCTACGCATCACAAAGTGTTCGATAAGTAATATCGCTATGTAAGGCGACATGCAGTACATTTGGAATGGTAAAATGCCTTGCAATATAGCTGCAAGATGCTCGGCACCCGCAATGGCTGCAATAGTAATGATGGCTGCCGTCAGTATTGTGAGTACCCATATTGGAATTTTGTGTAGACCGGGGATCAAGGCTTGCATTGTCAGTGATGCTCCGTAATTGTTTGGTACTACGTGAACAATCATGCCGAAAGCCATAATAGCCAAACAAAGTTTACCAAAGCCTGCTACTGGCTCAAGGATTGCGCTAGCTAGTCCACCCGCGCTATTGGCTTCATACCCTGCTCTCCACGTTGGATTCTGATCTGGCTGTGCTATCGATATAGCAAGTGAGAATCCAAAGATTTCCAGAAGAATAATAGGGATGACTGCTCCAAAATACGTCAATAGCGCTATCACGTATCTGTTGAATGTTGCTGGCTGTATATTGTATATATGCATATGTATGAATAAAATTTGCATCTTTTCCTAACGCTCTATTCATTGCTGCTGACGGCAACACTATCAAACGATAGCACTATTTTTTCCAAGTATGTTTTTCCAAAACTAACCTGTTTCGATGTGAGATCTGCAGCGCACTGGACCCATACAGGATTAGTAGAGGCGATCGTTGCAAAGAATGACACGATGTCGCCTACATCGCTTTGTACACTACTGGACGTTGCCGCGGAGAGATCCATATGCGGCGCGCTTAACCCAAGAATGATGAAAAATATGATCCAAAGTGGCAACCAGGTCCAACGCTCGACTAAATGGACGATAGAGTATCCAAAAACGCCAATCGCCAATGTTACCGCGATAATCACAAGAATACCGGCCCATAACGGAAAATCAGCTGAAGCACCGTAATGTGACTGGACTGCGGTCAACAACTGAGCAGCAAGAATAATGTCAACGATGCCCCAGCCAAAGTATGAAAGAACAATAATGGCTGATACAATCGAGCTTGGGATCATGCCATAGCTGTACCTGGCTATCACACTTTGTCGCAAGCCATATCGAGCACCGAATGTGGCGAACACTGCCCCTGCATTAGTATACAAAAGATCCAATATGTCAGCCTTTTTTTAATGGAAATATAAGTTTCAAAGCAATGGACTCTATTACGCTCATTTTACCTGGAAGAGCAGAAACCATATTGCCAAATATAATACAGAGCAGACCTTCATAGAATTTGATGTGGTATATTTGTGTAGCGAGCATACCAATTGACATAGCTATCCAGTTAGAGTTGATGCTGAACCACATCGTAAAGTTATCCGTGATTCGTTCGTGGGGACGCTCGTCTTCAGGTATGGGGGTAATTCCTTGCTGATCGATTTCTGGTAGTGAAAACCATTTGTTCTTTGGGTGTGAGGAGGATTTGTCGAAGGCATCGATGCTTTCGTTGCCTGACTGTGACTCAACGGATGGGCGACATTCTTCGCTTAACACTTGTTTGACCATGAAACGATACAGTTGTGGAGGAAAATTAGTGAAGAACGTCGTTTCGAGAGGCGGGGTGGGCAAAAAAATTGATACTCGCTTTATATACATATGCAGCTTTATGCGACCTATAAGCATGTTCCTGCAAGTATTCGTGAGGACCTGTAAGTTTCTACAGGGGCTATTTATTAGTTGCTTGCCGCTAAAAATTTACAGTAGACATATATACTAGAGCATAGCAGGTAAACCACAACAAGTGATTAGGTGAAGTGATGACATTGTGTGAGAGGACGATGAAGTAGTATTTACCACGCATATATTTACATACAAGAGCTGATAATACTTGACAGTTACTTGTAGTAGATTAGAGTATGAGCATAATGATAATCCCTTTTAAAACGTATTCGGTGTGCATAATGATTACCAGTATTCTTAAAAGAAAAGCTTACTCCTCTGGCCTTTCTACAATGCATGTCTATATATCAATCCTTTATGTTGCTATATAATACAGCTACAATGAAATCTCTTGCTTATACATTTATCATCATGAAATATAATAAATTTGCTGTGATTATTCATAGTGAGGACAGGTTCTTTGTCAACTCTTCTAATAAGTCCATTCTACTTGGCTACTAGCAATATTTGATCTCATCCACCCCCAATACTATACCAACTTATATTGCTCTCCTTCCCTACTTACGTATATTTTATGGCATCCTCTTCTTATATGTTACGTTTTCCTTTACAAATACTTACACCACACTTACATGAGCATGGAATACAAGAATATGAGGACCGGGTATTTAATAGTACCATTAATCAATACAAAATAGTGATAGTAATAATGATAACAGAATATGTCATTACATAACAAAAGCTTTAAAATACAAAGGGGATCACTCGCGACGATTCATTGATATACTGTTGGTAATCAACACTGAACTTCTCCAGCATCATCTGTTCCTCGGCCAGGATCCGTTTTACATACGCATAACCGACCAAAACGACCGTCGTCAAAAATGCCATCCAGTTGACGGTAGCCAAACCAAATCCTAGCCATCCCACAATAAACGCGGCATAACCGGGGTGACGAATGACCTTGTAAGGTCCCTCGGTACAGATATACTGGTCATCCATGGTCGCCATGGCACGCAAATAGAAATGATTGGCAAATATCGACCAGCGTAATAAGATAATACCACCCAAGATCCATCCTAACCCGATCCAACCAATCCAGTCGGGTGCTGCACCCACATTCACGGAGAGCCATACCAGTGGACTGACAAACCCGCATAATATCCATACTATGAGTAACAATCGAGACGTGCCCTGATCATCTCCGGATTCTTGAATGGCGGTTGTAGTTCTCGACGATTCGTACCGGTGTTCGACATAAAATAGAATGCCAAGCAAAACGTAGCCGAGAAGTAGCGTCAGCATTCTCTAATTTTACGAGAGAAAAGGTAAAATAAAAGACTGTGTGTTGTTTGAGAGTGTGTGTGTGTGCCGCAGGAAACGTAAAAAAGGAAGGCGTTAAGTTAGCTCGCACTGTCTTGGCACAGTGCATGCAGGCTTTTTTTACACCGCAAAGTCAGTCGCGTGGTTTTATGCTATGCACTGTCTCACTGTCTTCTACATAGAGCTCGTGATGTTGCCACGCTAAGGGCACAAAACTAAAATCTCTTTTCGCTATTTTGCTATCGTTTATCGAGTACAGTATGCTGATTAGCTAGTATCAGAATCATGTAGGAAGAGGGTTAAAATTAACATATATGTTTTGCTGCAGTTCTTTTAAAAGGGAAATTATTTCTTTTATAAAAATGACGAGAGACATTTGTCAGACGAGCAGAGACACAGAGGTCATTTGGTGCGCCTTGGCCGCTACAGTCGCACCTACATTCCCTCGTATTCTATGGTACGGTAAAAGCCATTCCAAAGCCTCCTATCATAGCAAAGATAGGATTCGCCAAATAATACATATAGATCCTGTTTGACAGCTTATACAATTATGAATGTGCTATTTATGTATCATATAAATTAGCTTCTCAATTAGATAGAAGAATGAGGCACATACTTGAAATAGACTACAAAACGGAATTGCTGTAATCAACCGCGAATCATATGAGCCTTTGACAGCTGTCGTCGTGCTCACCTACCAGTTAGTTTGATACTGGCCCTACTACTTCTTGTTGTAGCAGTAGGATATGGTGCTGCTGTTTCTCCACGGTAACATCTTTATTTTAAAGCGTAGCTCAAGTTTTGTAATCGAAAACAAAAAAGCAATCAAAAGGAGCTATTTTGCATTTCATGTGCTACACGCCGATTTCTGTAGGAGCTGGCTTTCTTTTAGATACAACGAAAATGACGTTTGACAGTGATACCAGCTTCTTTATTGAGGCAGAGAAAGAAGGGCGTTACAAAATTGCTATTTCCAAGACGAAGACGGTCATGTGGTGTCGCTATCTTTATCTTTCATGCAACATCTATGCCGCATACATAGAAAGGACGGAGATCTCTTCTGCTACGTCATAATCTTATGCCTTCGTGCTTTTTGTCTAATATATCAATTCACCGTTAACATCATTGTTGAAATGATAGACAGCAGAACAGGATCGATCTAATTCTTATCCGTATCTCCATCAAAATGCATGTAGACGTGAAGTTTAGGTAAAACGTATCCGAAGAGGTGTTTATATTAGTATGCTGCGTGCAGAATGAAGCGAATATGTGATCTATCATATCAGTGATTTGCATATTTCTCAGCTTCTTTCACATCACATTTTATAGTGGAGTCTATATGGCTAAATCCTTGCGATATGTGTCGATCAAATTATGGTAACGCCGTGTATGAGTACTGATGTCATTGGAAAAGCCATCCACATATCAGAATTGAGCATGTATGTAGTGCTGTACTGTTATTTGAGTAAAAGACGATGGGGAACGACCAACAATTGTACCTAACAAACCGCCCTTCATTTCGCAGCAAACGAGCCATATTTTTCACCTTTCTTGGGGTGTCTATACGTCACTTTGTTTTACAAAAACTGTTTCATTATACAAACCGACGAAAAGCCGTTTTTTCATAGCTATATAAATAGCAGTATAAGCCTAACGCCGGCTTACATCTTCGAAAGTCATCCAAGAGGTTCAATGCTTTGCGCATGTGCATGTGCAGCTGCTTGATACTCGACTAATATGTAGTAGTGTTCTGGTAAATTAGCTAATCCAGAAATAATATTTTGACTTGGGCTATTGTTTCTGCTCGATATGTATGTTTTCAAGACTGCTTGATATCATTAGTAGACTGTATAGTAACGATACGGCAGACCGCCATAAAAAAAGTAGAGTCCTGAGGTACAGTAGAACTAACTCATCTTATAGTTTTTCCTCGAGCAAAAAATACTTATGCAGAAAAGCGATCAATAATGAAGTTACGTGGTAGACTACCAACAATAATATATGTATTAAGGATACAGGCTATAGAATGAATCAAAAGGGAAATACGCGAAGAGATGTTGTACAAGAAACGAGAAGTTTAGAAGGACAAGGAGGTCAGAGGAAAAAAGAGGCTGGGGATGATGTTATACTGTGTTATATGTGAGTTGTTGTTTAGAGGAGCATGCCTGCAGCAGCAACAAAGCCGACAGCACCAGCCATGGCAACACCAAGGGTGACCTTGTTACCAGCAGATTCGCCGTCGCTGCCACCGCTGGGAGCACCCTGAGTAGCTTCAGCGAGAATGCTGCTGACACTGTTCTGGTAGTCAGTAGGAAGCTCGCTCATTATGGATTCGTAGGCAGACGACAATTCGCCAGCGTTTTCACTAGCATAGCTGGCGATGCTGCTGAGCAAACCAGGATCGTCGGTAGGGATATTACTTGGGATTTCGGTAGGAACAGAAGCTAGAAAATAGTTTGGAAAAAGGCACAGCAGATCAGTAAATCCAGAAAACTAATTATCATAACAGCAGTGTAAAAACAATGCATACCATCTTGAGCCATAACGTAAGCGGTAGGGGCGGCAAGGAAAGCAAGGACTGTTAGGGCTTTGACCATTTTTGTTGTTGTTGCTGTTTTTTTCGTGAGGAGAAGAAGAGGAGTTGTTGATTGAACGCGAAATAAATAAAAAAACCTACCTCATTTATATTCTGAAAAAGGGGTGGACTGGAGGATAGGCTAATTTGTCCTAACCATTTTCGAGAACACATACGTATGATATACAGCTGATCTATATATAACGCACTTTTATGTGCGTGTGTGGCTGTGGGGATTTTTCTTGGTCTTCGCCCGTTCCATTATGGCGCAGCTTACCCAGCTTGGCGATTAATACTTGATGATTCGTGTAACATGTTCTTGCTGAGCGCAGATCATTGGAATTTAGCGTATTAGGCCTACCCGTTTGATGGGATGGTGTGCAAGTTAATTTGCCCGGTTTCACATTTGTGTTGTATCATCTAAAAGAGAGTCGAGTAAACGTGGTCCCGAGTTGGCCTAAAATAGACACACAGCGTCATTTGAGTTTCTCTCTGTGGCTAGTGAGAATATTAATGATGGATAGATATCAAAAATCACTCGCAACAAGTAATATGGGTCAGCAAAGGTCTCGTAGGTTTAGGTGATGGATCTTTATTTGTGTGTAGATCAGCGAAGAAGAAAGTGTTGTGATATTTAATTGTAGTTTCTTATACAGAATATTTCTCTCTTTTCATTACTGTCGTTATTACCAACATCAAACTACTCTGTCAGGCAATTGATTGACGATGTATTTAAAGTAGATACATTAATTTAGTAGATGTGTGTAATGAGGTAGTAATATATATAGCTGTTAATGAACTATCGATGATCTCACAACGTTACTTAAACTCGTTCCTTTGATTGGTTTCATCTCTGTCTAGATCGCGAAACGATCAAGAAGACTGAGAAGTATGTAACATATTGGCATTTCTTAGAAAAATTGATATGCACACTGCTTGTAGGCCGACAAAGAATGTTCCAGATCGTAATACGGGCGCTAAGTAGTTCTGTGTACCCCCAAGAACCCAAGCTGGTATCTACCCATGAATATTAGTGTTTAATGAAGCAGTATCTACTAGTAAAACATACTCTCTTAATCAATCGTCATAACGTATCTGAAATACTTTTATCTGCGTGAGAGCTATCATAAATCGCTTTCTATTGTTTTCATTCGATGATTATGTACATATCATGGTGATCCCGAATAATATAGAACATTTTTCAATGACGTTCTACTTCCATGATACTAAGCACCACAACTGATATGCTGGAGGTTGAAACACCTGTATCGAGCAATGGAAACAGACTATGGCGTCAATAGCTACAAGCGAAGGATTGTACCTCAGCAACAATAGAGAGCACTGCAAGCTACGGCTAACTAGGTCATCCAATGATATGCAATTGCTCTTACCTCTCAAAAATGATTGTGCCATAAATGGTAGCGGAATAGAAAAGACACTTTTTGTTGGCTTGCTGAGATGGGATGCATTGACAGTTGTTTCCTATAGAGAAAATAATATGCCTTCAGCTATTTCTCCTTCATCAGGCCATACTCAACAACCTAATAACAGCAACGACTTTGGGAGCGAACAGACACACGACGCAGGACAAGAATCACTCTTATCTCAGGACTTTGAAGCCCTGACCAATATCGACGACATTCGCGAATGCCTTCGATTGCTTGATGAGGAAGAGACGCGGATCGATGCTTCACTTGACGAAATGCTTTCCAAGGAATCGGATTTATTAGAAGCATTAGGAACACTTGATGTACTAAGGTAGATCAGATAACAATATAGACACTTGTACAAACAAACCAGAAAAGCTGAATTGTAAGAGGTTGGTTTTTTAGGCCACAATTGCGAAACTTGAAAACAGATTCTTCACAAATGGTGGATACTATCACGAAAACGTCGCGACTTGCGGAAGGCATCAGTGATAAAGTTCGACAACTCGACCAGGAACAGGTAAAAAAAGACTACCAATTTTAAACGGATATATTCCCAAGTGAATTTCGATCCTAAACACAATATTACAGTCCAGGGCAAAAGAATCAATTCATTATGTTGAAGATGTCCAGGAACTTAAACGATGTATAGCTGGTATCCAGGAAGCGATGCAGCATAAAGATTATGATGCAGCAGCCAGTTTATTACAGAGTGCGTCGCGTATTGATTCAGCCATTTTGAATGGCTCTTTGGCCGAATTTACTGTGGTTGGTTCCCTTCTTATAAAGACATGGAAAAAGGTTATTCTTGATACAAGTACAGTTTTTACTGACAATAACTATGATGATGAATAATAGCCAACATCCGAAAACCCTGATCATCCAGCTAAAACGCTTTCAGACGCCAAATCTGCGTTATTCGACATATTCTCTCAACGATTTGACGATGCAGTCATGCAGCGCAACGAAGCAGACATCACGCGCTACTTTAAACTATTCCCACTTATCGGGTGCCAAGCTGAAGGCCTGGATCGATATTCTCGATTTGTATGCAATATTGTCAAGGCACGATGTAGCGAAGAGCTACGCATGGGGAACAGTAAGTGGCTCATAAAGATCCTTGGAAACAACAAGAAGGGCTTATCGTTGTACTGATATTTTTCTTTGTATGGTCATGCATAAATTAAAAAAAGCCTCATCGCCAGTATATTTCGCCGATACCCTCACACGACTCTTTGAGAATATTGCTGTTATTATCGATCAACATCAACCCTTGGTGGAGCTGCATTATGGACGAGGACGGATGTTACGTGTGATTCAGCGGTTACAAGAGGAGAGTGATGTGGAAAGTGGACGTATATTAGATCAATTCGTACAGAATCGCAAGTTGGAATCTAAGGTATCTAATTATCCCTGGAAACCGATGTTCATATATATAAAGACTGTGTTACTGATATACCGCTCAATACTTCGAATGCTTCACACATTGCAAATTGTTTCTAGCTCGTAGAGATCCAGTCACTGAATATTGCCATGATCCGTTCGTCTACAACAAATTGGAGCACGTCGCCTGGAGGAGCAAATGGAGTAGCAACAAGTGGCAGTAATGGGTCTCCAAATGCTGGTGCAACAGGACAAACGAGCAACGGTAATCCACTGACAGACCCACGTCAACTCGATGCCAATCTCTTGGAACTTGCCTTGATAAGTCAAAGGGGCGCGTTATTCTATCAATTTATCAACGAGCGGGCAGATGATGAAATGGAGCAAATTGGGACAGACGAATCGACGCAGGATATGATCATGCATGGCAAGGATAAACGATACTATGGCAACAACGGACTTCTTGCTTCTTCTGGATTAGCTAAACGCACAAAGGAGCTAATGAACTCGTACTTGGTGATCGACAATTATCTTTTAAAACGAAATGTTGATAAGGTAAGAGCAATACATTGTTCCCTATTTCATTCGAGACTATTCATGGTCATTTGACTAACGATGGGCAATATTTACCATATGTATATGTGTAGGCTATGAAATTGGACGATTATGACCCATCATCGAGCCAAACATCCACTTGCGTCGACGACGTTTTCTTTATCCTCAAAAAGGTTATCAAGCGCAGCATATCTACGTGTGAGCCAGAAGTCATCACAACAACCGTCAAGGCGGTTCTCAAGGCACTAGATTCAGGCTATCTTCAAGTTTTTCAACAAAAGATGTCGGTAACATTTGCTGGACAGGAGCCTGGTAATCGCAATGCTGAGCGATCTGCTGAGCAGGCGAAAATAAATTACATGGTAACGCATCAAAATCTATCTATATCAGTCTGGAGAAAGAGAAAAAAGGTAATTTTTAATCTGTATCTATTAGGTGTTGCTCAATAATTTAAATGTGAGTGCCGAGTACATGCAACGACTTGCGCAGGACGCACGACCTGAAGTGGAGGCAGCTATTTGGAAGGACAAGGAGCATGATTTAAAGATTGCAATCAAAGCCGTGAATGACCTAGCTGCTGCGTCTTCCAAGTTCCAGAAATTATTACAGGTATGTAAAACATCTATAATTGCTTTTTATACTATAGCGGCTAGTAATAATGGCATCGTATAGAGCGGCATGGAACAACTGATGGGACAGATCTTGAAACCACGGGTCCGACCTTTGTTTCAACATGCCTATCATGAGGTTAAATATGTTTTGGAGGAGGATGAGTACAATGAAGCCGACGTGGATGAATTATTTGTCAAACGATTCCGAGGAGGTTTTGACAGACTGATCAATTCCTACCAACGTACGCTTACGGATGCCAATTTTGCTGCCATCATGGGCTTGCTTCTTGACGCTATCACGGCTCAGTGGGAACGTATCATATCTCAAACTCGGTTTAACCAGTACGGTGCTTTACGGTTCGATAAGGATTTGCGGTCTGTGATCCATCATCTCTCTTCAATGACCGAATGGCTTTCTCGTGACCGATTTACGCGGCTGAACCAAATGGCTACTCTGCTTAATTTCGAAGAGGTAAAAAGAGCTATAGCATCCTTATAAATATTTGATGTATGCCCATTTGTATTTGACTATGTGAAATTGTCATCAACTATATAGCCCTCTGAAATATACGACTATTGGGGTGCAAAGGCTGGTCCTGTTAGTTGGCGGCTCACCGTTGCAGAAATCAAGAAAATACTAACATTAAGGTAAGAAAATAAGCATGTCTTCTATGGACTGATGGAACGATATCGAGCTCAAGTAACTCGTCTATAGACTCGATTTTAATGCCGAAGAAGTAGCAAATCTTTCCTTGTACTGAAGTAAACTTATACACTATTTCAAATAATTTGTATACTGGATTATGAGAGATTACAAAAAGTTCTGAGGAAATGCAATATTACTGATAGGATTATGCGATAAGAATGTAAATCGTATGATACAAATGCAACAAAACAAAACAAAAAGAATTGATGAAAATGAAAAGTAGAAGTTAAATGTAGTTAATTTTGTTGTTGAGAATCTCCTTTACCATAAAATTCATTATCCACCATATGCCGGAAGCACTGCAAGATAACATTATGCTCTTCACGGATCTCTTTTGATAGCAACTAACAACCACGACATGTAACTATTAGTATTAGGACATAAAGCGTGGACATAAAGAGGAAATATCCAATTTGGGGTCATATCTTACCATTCGCAAAAGGTTGGGTCGTTTCTGTACAGGTCTGACGTTATTGTTTTGTTGTTGATTATGTTGTCGCTAATAATATTCTCCATGTTAGCACTGCTCCACTAGTAGTCTGTTGTACACATACACACACTTTTTATCTCTAGCATTTTGCAAAAAAGATTTTTTGTCTTACCTGTGGTTTTTCATGGACATATCGACACTTGTTTCCATATCTACATGATCCCCTCATAAACGCCCTGCAACGAGGGCCCGCTCGCTGTGGCTTCTCTGGTAGCGCGATTTTGCCCATACTTGAAGGATCCTTGGATGTAACTGCGTCCTGCTCCAAGTCCACACTTCCATCCTCGCCTTCGTCGTCGTCATCAGCTTCATTATTACTGTCATCCGATCCATAATCGCCAAGCGCTCCCAATACACCTTCTTTTTTTGGTTCTTTTTCCTCGCGTTTACGCTTTTTGCTGTTCTTTGAGTCCGCGAGTTGACCACGTGCTTTTCGCGCTTCTGATTCTTTTTGCTATGTGCAGGAATGAATACGGACTCTTTAGTATAACTATAACGCCAATTTTCTCTTCTCTGGTGTTTTTTCTTCTTCTCATAATCAAGCCCATCATCCATAGTAAACTTTTCTCCCCTCTTTACCTTGCGTTCTACATTAGCTTTTGAAGGCCAATTCTTTTTTCGAGCCTCAATCCATGCAGTCAGAGCTTCGGGTGTATCAATCTTGGGCGCATTCGGCGGAATAACGCCATCCGGTTTGGACCTAACATCATCATCAACGAAATAAAACATGCGCTTGTTAATAGATTTCTCTATAAATACCTTATAAACACATCCTCTCTCTCTTTTATCTTCCGTAGCTCACTTTTTCTTTGATTCGCCTATGCCGTGCTCAGTTGCTAAATGCTCGTCTAACACAGACTTGATGGCTGCAAAGGAGCACTCGGAACATTTGATATGCTGTGCTTCGTGTTGCTCAATAGCTTTAGCTGAGCGGTAATAGCGATTGCAACAAAAAGTGCTATATGATATTGTACAAACACATATCGTCTGAGTATATAAACTCGAAAGGAGAATGAGACGGAAATGTTTATTACCTTTGTGGTGTTGTGTTACTAGTTGATAGATCATCATAAGCAACGACCGATCGTTGGGTATAGTCAGGTTGATTCGTGATCTGTTGTTGCTGCTGCTGCTGTTGTTGTTGTTGTTGTTTGGGCTGGTGATAATATGGGTGGTGTTGTGGTTGTGGTTGATACTGGTAATGCTGTTCAAGTTGTTGTTGCTGTTGGTATGAATCAAAAGACTGTGGAGATCGCAACGCTGAGCTGATTGAAGCAGCAGCTAATGCACCCAAGCTTTGTCTTTGCTGCGTTTGCGATTGTAATTGGTGGACAAATGATTCCGAGTGTGGTGCACTATTGTATCGTTGCTGTGGTTGCTGCTGATTGTAATACCCGTTTTGGTCTACGGGTGCTGGCGGTGCGTTATAATAGTTCTGTTGTTGCTGTTGCTGCTCGTGACCGTAATGTGACTCTTGCTGATAATACTGTTGGCTCCATTGCCAGTTTGGATCGGACGAGTGTGGCCACGGGTATGACATAAGGAACAGTAAAGCAAATTAAGAAAAAATTCTTTTTTCCTGCAAAACTCTTCCAGGTGCTAAACGAAACTCAGCGAATTTGACAACAGGCATATCGTTGACCCAACATACCGGGTCATAAATGAAAAAGCTACTATGAACTAGTGCTTTTAAAGCTCGATTCGCTAAATAATTCTTCAGAAAAAGGCGCGTTATAGGAACGCGTTGCTCATATGTACAAAAAGTGTGCTAATCATTATAGGTACATCGCGGTAGAAGTGAAAAAGATCACGTTGCGTCTCTGTGACAACGCGTCTTTTTTTTTCGCATAATTTTTATTTGGCGTCGCACGCGTCTTTTTCCCTCTTCTATCTTTCTCTTCTACTTAACCCTCTTCTTTGTTTTGTTTCTGAAAACTATCATGTCCTTTGTGCAAACTCAATCTCCCAGCCAGTGTCACTTTGAAAGAATGGTCTTGACCATCCCACCGTTAGTCCGTCACCGGCGCCAGCTCGGCAGAAGCTTTGGCAAAACATCACTTCGCGCAAAGTGCATCGTGCAGATCGATTATCCTCACTACCATCATCCCAATGATTACTTCTCGCTGGAGAATCTGGACAAGATCCTCGATCAAGGCGTATTGACAATACAAATATCCTTTTACTTCTCTTGGTTAAAAAGGAGAAAAGTAGTGGGCTTGCTGTTGACGACCAATGATGACATTTGAATCCTTAACGCATGCGACCTCGTTTTTTTCTTTTACTGTGCTACTAGGATGAATGGTCTTGCTTGCGTTGAGCCGATGATTTGGATAGAGGAGCCATTGCAATTGGTACGTTTATAAATCGCACAGAAACCCTTGGCTTTTCGCACCATCATGATGGTGCTAACTTGAAACCGTTATCTCTCTCAGATATTAAGACATTGTGGACTGCAGTCCGAACGTCTGGACACCACCACACAGACCCAGCATTCTCACAAGCCTGGTAAGTTCGCTGTTGATTTTATGCAGTGAACTATTCTCATTCATTTCTTTACCAACGCGTGAAACGGTATCGTCGTAAAAGATTACCGATTCCGATTGCTGCGTAGCACGTCATCCTCCATTAATAGTCCACTGTCGACTATGTTACAGCGGCCAGCACCTCAGGCGAACTTGATCAAGATTTATTTGTTGATGGACTGGGAAACAGAAGAGGTTATTGTTTTATACTTGTTTCATAGCCTGTCATACACTACTTCCTCATTGACTTACATTGCGATACAAGCAGCCGGACAGTTTGACCGATGCCCTACAAGAGCCCACTGAGATGATAAACGAATATTTATTCAATGCAATGTTTCACGTCTTTTGTGAGAATATTGGTCCAATGTATCCTTTGGTGTTTTCACCCGTATACGCCCAGGTAAAGGATTATTTTGAAAGAAGAGCGCATGGCATATAATTTACCTAGACACCTATTCCATCCATTCAATCTCTGTACAGAAAATGGTTGAGATAACACATCTCATTCCTGTCATCGCGCAATCAGTTTACAAGATCGTCTCTGCGCAACAACTGGTAGCAGTTGATCATGATAGACAGTCGCAGCCGAGTGCTACAAATCAAGGTTCTATGGCAATAATCCAGGTACAAAAAAATATGTTATAACTATGTGACGTCAAGTTGTCTTGGATATGTCGATTGATAGCTGTTGCTGATGATACCGACTTTTTTTTATAATAAGAGATGCCTTCGTGATGCAAGCATCCTTCGGCGTGTGTCCGTTAACTCGCTCGAGAAAAATAATGACGAGGGTGCGACTATTACTTGGACCGACCTGGTTGTTCTTCATTATTATAAGTTAAAGTGTTCCACTCCAGTTCCTAAATTCACAAAGGTTGGTTGATCGCTTAGACGACGGAGACGCAGAATAGCAGAATACAATTACTAACCGCCATATCTATTCACTATTGATTGGTAGATCACTTATCGTGCCTCTAAGCACGCTCAACAAAAGCAACAAGAATCCTCCAGCACAGTATTATCGTCATCATCACTACCAACTGTATCACCACTGTCATCACTATCCACGGCGCCATCATCGCTATCATTGTGACCCACATACTGCCCTTAAATTGTTTTCATACATATAGATATAGTACTAGTAGACTTTTTATTTATACATATAACGGATGGATCATGAAAGAATATATAATTTTACAACTTGCTGCTAAGCACCTTCTGCACTGACTCCAAAACGCGGTCAAAGATCTTGGCGTTGGCAGCAATAACACCCTTGTTGCTCTCCAAAGTACGACCAATGGAGAAGTCCAAAGGCTTTCCATTGACATCGGTCACCTTACCACCAGCCTCAGTCACCAACAAGGAGCCAGAAGCGTGATCCCAGATCTTTTCGACGTAGGTCTTGCTCGTAGGCAAGCGGAGGTAGATGTCACCATCACCACGGGAAATGGAGCAGTACTTAGCCTGGCTGTCCATGCGGACGGCTGGGCGCGTAATACCCAACAGCTTGGCAATCTCAGCAGCATCGCCGTGCGACGAATGGCCGGCTTCAACAGATTCACAGAACGTGGCTTCTTCGGTTGTGGAAATATCGGCAAAGTGAATCTTGGTCTCGGCAGGGTTGCTGAACGAACGTTGGAAGGCGCCTTCGCCGCGTACAGTGATGAACAAGGTGCCCTTTTCACCGTCAGGCTTGGCAGGGTCAACAGGAAGATTGGGAGTGCCCATCACACCCAATTGGACTTGGCCATCAACGATTAATGCCAAGCAAACAGCGTATTGTCCGCCGCGCAAAAAGCCCTTTGTGCCATCAATGGGATCCAATGCCCAGTGACCTATTAATTATGTTTTTTAGTTTGCCTACTACTCCTAGATGGTGTATCTACGCTGTAAGCTTTTTAAAGATGTAGTCGAATACTTACGTCCTTTGGCGCCACCAGCATAGTTGCCACGATCAATTGCTTGCAGAATCTATGGTGACACACAAGATATGTTTTAATGCTGTTTTGAATGATCGAAAACTTCTAGTTGCTTGTGCGTAAGCTACCGTATACTCATACTAACCTGTTCTTCAGAGAGCTTCTCAGAGTCATCCAAGACACCGTTAGTCAGTGAGTGAACCTTTTCGCGGAGCACTTTACCGGCATCGTCACGCAGATCTTTGGAATCTTCTTCACCGACAATGGGATCTTCGGGAAATGCCTTGTGCAAATAAGTGTTGATGATGGCCTGAGCCGAGAAATCGGCAACTGTAGCATAAGAAGCAATCGTTCGTTTGTTATTTTACGTGAACAACCAAAATGTCCAATTTTTTTGAGTAAAGTGGTGGTTCAGTTTACCAGTGACAGGCGACTTGTCGTTCTTTGTCAGAGTTTCGTTGGCAACAAGGTGTTGAAAAACGGACTGGCATACTTTGCTGGCTTGCAGCACAGCTTGAATGGCAACGGAGCGTTCAGTAGCGAGGGCTAATTCACAAGCATTATGCGTGTTATTCAGGGTTATTTTCTTTGAACATACAGCATCATGGTTCCTGAATCTTTTTTCTCTGTTTTCTCTTACCGGACATTGGTGCAAAGAAGTGGTGATGCGCGATCATCTTCGTCCGAATCGCCGCGTTTTTGTTGGCAGATCTTTTGGTACTCCGCATGTAGAAATGACAATGGCGCAATTCTCGGCAAAATGCAACGCTGGTTATTTTGTTCGGAACTGTATGAATCATTAGAAAGTTGCTGTAAAAAAGAAGAAAGAGATGGGACTCGCTCGCTCGGAGAACTTACATCCGTGTTAGCTGCTATAACCAATCAAATATCTTGCGATGCAGCTGGTACGACTCGTTTTACTGCAGTGTTACGAGGTGCAGATACCTTCTTCTAAACATATTTTACGCGATATCCGTCAGATTACTTTTCTACTACATAAAGAAACCCCCAATTTTTTGGCAGTAGTAGCATCAAGTAGTCAGCTGTTGGTCATCAGCGGTATATGGCACTTGCAGTCTACGAGAAAATTAATCACCTAACTTGTGCTGACAAAAACTTTGAAGAAGGAAAACAGTATACAACGCGATGCATAAAAAACGAAGTGAAGTCTTTGGCTTACTCGGTTCCACTAGCAATAAAGAGCTTTTCCGACGATTCAGATTGCACTTTAGGCAGAGCGGCGAGAACAAGTGTTCACAAATATAGAAGCAAGCATCACCTCAGCAGTACTTGGCAGTTGATGAGGCTTGCTTGGTCGACAGAAAGTGGGGTCCTTTTGGGAACAATGGTCGACTATACAGTCCTTATAATACAATCACATTACGGCACGGAAATGGTTATCCCTAAAGGAGCTGGTACCACAGCCGAGCATCCTGTGGATTAAGTCAACCAACGTGCAATGGAAGACCTTATGGCAAAGGCGATCGCTGACGATTAGTATCAGTCTAGGGGTAAACGGATGTTTGATATCAGAACGGATTACTTTCTGATCTGACGGCGCTCCGCAAGATGATAGAAATTAAAAAAGAGAGACGTTTTAAATCTGATCTCCTCCCACAGAGTAGCATATTGCAACGCTAGTCACTCTCCAGCTTCCACAAGAAGAGCAGTTGATTGACAACAGCAGGTGACCGAGAGCGAACGCGAAGCTTTGATCAATGGAGCATCTTGCCTAACCTTTTAAAAATCAGCCGTACGCGCGCATACACTCTAAACTGTAAAGTGCAGAACGCTGCGGCTGTACTGATTGCTTTTATACACTGTCATGCCCTCGGTGGGTACTGGTATATGCAAAGGCATGAACGAACAAGACTACCAAATTTTGAAAATTAATCAAGTACTTATAAGCCGTACGAGAAGAGACGCACGAGGAGATTATTTTTTAAGCGATTTACACCTAATCGCATGAATTGTATCACATTGATATATACGTTCACAACGAGTATCAGTAGCGGAAAACCTTAGCCCATTATATACAATCACTACCTGTCAGAGATGTCATTTCGCCGCCTATTTCTTATCATACTGCAAGGAAACTTAGCTACTTCATTCTCTTTGCCCGAAGAATAGATGTACATGTAATGGTTAGACAAAAAATGTACGCTACCATCACCATTAAAACTGCAAGTGCAGTTTTCGACCGCTGAGTTATCACGTTTAGCAGCCTTTACAGATATAAGAGAATGTTGGCAGCCTCAGTGGCTAACACTTGTGCTTTAAGGATCAACAACCACAGTCAGTCTTCCTGTATTTGCGCCAAACCTCTTTGTAACCTACGTTGCTGATGGCCATCGAGCAGAGCCATAAACTTAAAGGTGATTTAGGGGAATCACAATGAAAAATGAAAAATAATCCTGCTGCACTTCCAGTATTAGGTGAGCGGTTGTTCATCGATGTACTCAATACGCCTTGCAAACGATGACTATTTTAGGAGGGAGCACGAGTAGAGCATGAGTCACTGTCTGGGACGAGGCACACAGCGCTTTGAAGCAGACATGTAAACATTCCTGTTGCGTGGTCTATGCGCTCACTGTCAAATGAACTCTTGTAAAATATCTCCCGTTGGATATGAGATGTATATGTTGACACTGTTTAATATTGCAGCTTCATGTGAAGAGTGCGTTTTGTCTCTGCTGAATCAGCGACTATTGCTATCGGTATGAATGATTTTGGTTGTCATGGATACAATTGCCTTTGGTAATAACCGATCATAATATACTTTGTTGTTTCTCCTTATTAAAGCATAGCTAGTTGTTATTAGTTTTCAGTGAAGTAAAACACAAATATCTCAAGTTTACTATTGTAGTATATATCATTATCTAGGAAGAGCTTTATTGCTCAGTCAAGTGAGCAGTTCATTTGATTAAGGTTTTAACTCTCATTAATAATGTTTATCGTGCTTAATCTCTTATAACATTTTCCTTGTACCACTACCGACTCTTTTAGCAAAATCAGAGCGTAATATAGCAATGAAAGACATCAATAATTACGAAATGGAAAACGATAGAGAAAGCAGGTTAATAAGGTTTTTGTCACAAAGTAATCCAGAAATAAGCAGTCCCACAAAAATAATAAAAGTGATGCTTCCAACTGATTGTTGGAATCTGAATTGGAGAAGCTGGGCGTCGATCCCAGTGCCTCTCGCATGCTAAGCGAGCGCTCTCCCATTTGAGCTACATCCCCTTGTTGAATATTCTGTTTGAACGTATATATACGTACATTCACATTACTAACAACAACAATATACAACAACAACAAAATTATAATTAAAATTATTAAATAAATAATAGAGCATTAATAAAAATAAATATTTACAGCACTTAAGACATATAATGCAAACTAGAAAAAGTTTAAATTTTTTTTGTGCTAGGTTTTTTTGACACAAGCTATCTTTTGGTATGTTTGGATATTGTTTTCTAATATCCAATAGTGTTTTTTAATAGATTTCATTATATAATTTTAAGGTAAGTAAGAGTGAACCAGCTGAGCTAAGAATTGCAGTTCTAATTTTTTTCAACACCTGAGCACTCTTGCATGAGGCCGAATTTTTTTTTTACCTTACACATATACGAACTCTGTAATGAAAAAAACAGCCGAGAATAAACCATCTAAATCACATTCTTCACAGCTACAACAGCAGCAACAAGCGTCAGCAATTTCGCGGCAGGTGCTAAAACCAGGCGCACCGTCGTCCTCTGCTCAGGCGGAAAGTAGCAGTGGCAGCAGCAATGGCAGAACGCTTCTTCGACGAACAGAATCGGATTCTGCTCAAGTGGCACCTCGGCAAAAAACGGCGCAACCACTACGGAGCAGTAAAATCTCACAAAAGCTTGTATTGTTTCCCCCAAAATCCGTTGAACCATCAGCGGTTGGTTTGGAAAATGTCCTTCCTTCGCCAACTAAACCAGAATTAAACCATTTCGAGCATCTTCATGAAGAAGAGGAAGAAGAACGACGACAACGACAACGACAACAGCAAGATTGGCAACAGCAACAACAGCATGAAGGATGGAGTCCTTCCAACGAAGAACGAGAGACAGCAGAGATTCTACGACCGTCGTACGGTTATCGAACAGAAGCAGAGTACATGACACAAGACGAGCGCGATCTTGCTAATCTTCCTCGGGTCACAGCATATTCTACGGGCGAAGGTTACTCGTTGGGTCCTCTTCGTCAATTTTTACGTCAGCATCATCGCGTTACTCCCAGACTATACGACGAGTGTTTATATGCGGCATATCACTTTCCATTATTGACGATGCGTCCTGGTAAAGAAAACTTGCTCAACGTGCGTGTACGTAGCGCGTCTCCACTTACTGAGAGCATTTCCGACGATAGCGAAATGGATTACGACGAAGATACATACGAACAAAACGGCATGGATACAGTCGGATCGCATTTGCATGAACACGATGAGGACATTGCTGTCAGCCCTGTTCGTCACTACAACAGTAGCAGCCACAACGGAAGACTGCAATCATCCATCTCAGCGCCTGTTTCTCCAGTAAAAGAAGATATTCCAACATCCCCCATAGCGACAATGGCTACAGAAGCACCAACAACAACAGCAGAACCATCAGCTATTACGCCTACGACTCCGCGACGTGATAGCATATTTTCCGGCGGCGAAGTTTTTCTTTTCGACTATGGTGTGGTTGTATTTTGGAACTTCAATCGGGCTCAGGAGATTTTGATGCTTGAGGATTTTGCACAGTTCTCGTTGCGTCCGTTCCGAGATAATCCAGATGAAGACATGCAGATTGAAGAAATGCACTTTCAATACGACGTATCTCAAGTCAAGCCTCGCATCTTCAACGATATGATTACGTTAAAAAGCAGCAACCATATGATCAAGTTAACTCTGTCTCATGGATTATCACAAAGCGCGGTTCTTGCTCGGTATGAAGATATGATGGACAAGACAATTGAGGTATGTATGGATTCTCGGATGATAGATGCGTATCAAAAATAAAAGAGGCAGGGACGGGTGAGGTCTTTTTCTCAATCGTGCTACGTTAATCATCGTTCGTTCGATATTTAATGTATTTATTTAGGATACCAAGCATTTACCTAAAGAAATGGCACAGACTGGACGGCTAGTGAAAAATAGAGTAGAAATCACCAAGGTTAACGGTCAACTATTCAGCTTGCGCATGAATGTCAATTTGGTTTCCAATGTCCTTGGTAGGATGTGATTTTTTTTTGTTGTTCAGAAAAGAGTTGCTTATCAGTGGTATATAGACACACCGGAAATCTTTTGGTCCGAGCCTGCTTTACAACCCATGTATAACGCTATCAGAGGTAAAGAATCAGTCCGCTGTAGTTTAAGGTAGTATAAAGTCAAGATTTGGCTATTGATTGCTCCATTATTGTTAGATTACCTGGAAGTCCCGCAACGCGCAAAAATTCTGAACGATAGACTGAAGGTTATCTCTGATTTGCTTTCCATGCTCAGAGACCACCTTACGAACTTTGGAGTGGAATATCAGACGCTGATCATCATCTACCTCATCATCATCGCTGTTATTGTTGCATGCGTAAGTGTTTTGTTTTTTCTTAGTAATAAGGCAGGGTGAGGCACAAGAGGGCGGATGCTCCTTCGGAAAGCGGATGACGATATTTATGACTTTCTGAACGTTCTAGTTTGAAATCGCTGTCAAGGTACTGCAAACAATGCGTGTGCTCTAAAAACGACGCCACACCCTACGCTCCAGATATACCCTATTCTTTGCTTTCAAATATGGATAGGCACTATCAAAGTATAAAAAGCGCATGTAGTAGATATCTTTAAAATATATATATAAAGTTACGACTTGCAGTCTTCTGGGCACTGTGCTGTAGGTCATATTTATAACTTGAATTTCCACGTTTTGATGTCGATACTGGGTCGTGGACGTTGCCTGCTTATCGAAGGAGTTTTTTCAAGATCCAATGGCTCAGCATGGATCGCCTTTAGATACTTTTATTCAATAAATAAAAAGCTTGATCATCTTTGATATAAAAAGGTTCGTTTACTAGTACAGCGTTGTATAAGAGAACTACAGCGTGAAGAGGAAGAGGGAAAAATTCTGGAAGACCAACACTTAGTTGATGGGGTGGAAGAAGAAAGCCATGGCAATGATGGCATAGGCAGCCTGGTTGTCATAGGAAGAAGTATGATTAGTATCACGTGCACGTGCACATACACATGCCCAATGGTTGAGGAAGAGGCGAACAAGTAAGACTTACCAAAAGCAAGGCACCTTCCAACCAGTTTGAGCGGGCATCTTGAATAAGGTAGTTGACAATCAAAACACTAGCAAACAGGATGACGGTCTCAAAGTCCTCAAAGAACAAGGTCATGGGCTGGCCAATGAACCAACCGGCAATAACCAAAACAGGGGAAACCAAAAGACCAATTTGAAGCGACGACGACAAAGCAACACCAATACACAAGTTCATCTTGTTCTTCATGGCAAAGGTGACAGAGCTGACATGTTCGGCAGCGCTAATAGTAGCAGTAACAGTAAGAGTAGCAGCAATATATTCGGACTTATTAGTATATTTGTCCCTCAAGTTTATGCTCCTCCTATCCTCCACTCCCGCAGTACTTACTTGCCGACCAAAGGAAGGAGAATAATACCGACAAAGGTCTCGTTGATACCCCACTGGTCAACAACGCCTTCAATGCTAACAAAGGAAATCGGAGGTAGAGGTTTAGTTTTTGCTATTCTTTAGAGAAAACACGATGCATGCAATCCAACTTACGCTCCGACAAGGAACTCGGCATGCAGTGACACAAAACCGGCAACGGCAATCAACCTATCATCACGTTTCATACATGAGTAACAAGATTAGTGGCTCCCATTGCCCTTTTTTAAAGACTGGTCACAGCGCTAGACAACTTACAAAACGGCAGAGAAAGCCAAGGTGGTAGTAGGAACCTCTTCCTCATCAACTTCATCTTCGAACTAAAAACGAGATTCAGCGCGTGTGAATACATATCGGTTCTCTCAGCTTGCATAATACCATCCTGGCCATCTTCCGCACAACCTGTCCCCACCCCCTTTGAGCGCCAACTTACGAATTGAGTATGGGTCTTGAGCTAAACAGACATAACAAAGACATAATGTTAGAAATGATGAACTCCCTGAGTCACTTTACGCGAGTTCCCTTTTTTGATATATTACCTGGAAGATCAAGTACAGAATGTAGACGATCAACAAGACGATCGAAGTACCCTGGCTCAAAGCCAGGATGCCATCAGTAGCCTCCTTACCATCACCAGCGACAGTAGCGAAAGCAGCAGGCACCAAGAGGGACAAGACTGTAAGTGAAAGCAACGATGATGACGTCTGTGCAGCTGCAAGTACAAGCAAAACAAATAGTCAATAGATATGTCATGCGGCTCTCATTACATCGAACGGATACATACCGATGCTGCTGAATTCCTGTTCACTGCGCGTCAAACCGCCCAAAAGGAAACAGAAGCCGAGAACCTAAAAATCGTGATAGACGAGCCGTTCAGGATTTCCTGCCAAAAGTTGTGCTCTCTCCTAAATCATAAGTCTATAAATACTTACCAAAAGGATGTTTGACAGAATAGAGCCGAGTATGGAAGCTGTTAAGGTAGTACAATGTCAATAAGGAGAAACTTCTCTCTTCCACACACCACCAAAAGAAAAAAAAGTCCGTCAAACCTTGAACAACGCGAATAAGTCCTTCCTTCAAAGCGACGATACCAAGAATAAGTTCAACAGCGTTACCAAAGGTAGCGTTAAGAAGCGAGCCGATGGTCGAGCCAGTACGCAAAGCAAGTTCTTCGGTGGCTGTTCAATAGTTTTCTCTTGTGTCAATAACATGCGTGGAAATTATAGACACGCTCTATAGCTCCTCTTTGCAGCATAAAGGTTCTCTTTTCCATACCAAAGCCCAGCATTTTTGCCAAAGGAATAATGGCAATAAAGTTAAGGGAGAAGACAACAGGATCAGAGGCGCCAACAAATGAGAAGCCCAAAGCAATGGGAACAAAGATCAAAAGAACATTGAACCATGAGTTGGTGAAGGAGACCTTCATCGACGAGAAGAATGTGGGAGCAGGCTCGTCATCGCGCGAACTCCCGAGAAGTGGCTGGCTTTCGTGGTTCATGGTTGTGTTGAACTTGAGAAAGAAAAGGGTAATAAAAAAGAAAGAAAAGGAAAAGACGTTAATAAAGCAAAAAAAAAAAAAAACGTGCAGTAGCGCAGAGTTGGGTTCTTTATTATATACCCGGTGAATTCGATTGATATGGCAATTTGATCGCCCCGATCCAGCTTCTCATGTAAAAACGGTAGTGAAGTAGAGCAGCAGCGTGTCGCGCTTCATGCCGATGACGGCCTTACATCTTTACATACTCTATTTATCACGACTTGTGTCGCTGGCTGCATCACATTGACGTGAAAGAAATAGGTGGCGATTCAAGAGCAGCGTATGACACTTCTTTCTATGCAAGACGTAGCCTAGTTCCTAGTTTCGATGTCTTTGTCGCCAGGCGATCACTATGCTGCACTCACTTCTCAGCAACGAGTCTTCCTATCTTCAATAATATAAAGCATAACCTCCTTCTTGCTTTGAGTATCGCTTAGTGCTCTAAGCGCTATTATGGGAGTAATAGAATCCATAATCGACAACCTTATCCTTTTTCCTGTAGGTCTGCTAAGAGCCTTCTGAAATTTCCACTTTCTAATTAAGGCGCACAAGGACCTTGGTTATCTCCTAATATGGTGCTTTCTGGAAAGCCTGTTTCCTTCTAAATTGTCCAACGTGAGCCACACCTCATTAAACGTTACATCATTGCGAGACGGGGCTTGGCGAGAATGTGCGAAAAACAGGACGCATTCATTGCATAATGGTTGCTGTCGCGACAAAAAGCTACTTTTCAAACATGTCATTTGCTACTTGAAACATATTCAGGCCATATACTACTCTGTTATTACGTATGGTACATACTAACTAATATGGTGTTTAGGATGGTACTAAAAGAGGGATCTTGGAGCTTTTCAGAGATATGCATGGGATATAATTTTGTGCTTGCTCAATGTATGACAGCGAGTAAAATAATTTAACTAGCTCTACGCTCGTGCTGGTTTAGGAGTATTGGTCAACGACCTATCTTTAGACGAAAAAATATTTACCCAGTACATACTGTACCGTGCATTATATCGATACTATAGGAAGGACGAAGCCTGCCTTCGAAAGGGAAGCCAAGCAGAGGATCAGGTAGAACATGCATGTTTTGTTTTTCCTCTTTCTATTGTAATGCATTAAGCCGATAAACATCTTTTTAAAGTGTGCGGTTTTCAAAGGCGTGCGATTCCTTTATTGGTAAGCGTCGATTGTGTATGCAAAAGAAAGATGCACATCAGCCAATAGTGAGTGGCTTACGTACCATATGATTGATTTTTTGGCCTTTTAAGTCGAATCCCCGGACCGTATGCTCTTGGACATGTTTATTTGTTTGCCGAGTCCGTAGCACATGTGGAGAATTATATATCACAAAGCCGAAAGAAACGGAAACAGGAGAAAGCACTGTCAGTTACTTTACTTCTTGTGGTGGATTGGTGAACTATGAGGCTATTCTTAGAACCAAATCTAGCAAGGGCCGACATGGAAGGTGGCACACGGGTCGGGTTTTATCAGCCACAGTGGTAGCAGCAGAATCGCATTTTCGGTGGGCTGGACCGAGAAACGCGTTGATGGAAGAAGGAGAAGCAAGTGCCATTACCTACTTCTCTACTCGCATTTACGTTCACCTGATTATACTCCTCTTCATTATTTACTGTCATCACCCAAACCTAGACGTTTTGTACATTTGTAGAAATCTGAGAATAATGGTATTCTTTACGACAAGCAGCGATAACCTCATTTAAACTTTAAAGCATGATTAAGGAGTATTTCATCGGCATGTACTCTAGCTTTTGTATCACAATTGAGCACTCAAAAATATCTCACACTTAAGAAGTAGGTGCCGGATATCTATATCGCACCAGGATTTAGACTACTTGGGAGGAAGATAGCTCCCCCGATGAGTATTACGCCTTCATGTGCGTTGACTTGCGAATCTATCGTCGCAATGGATGCACTGATATAACCGTTTGGAGAAAAGTGATCAGTACAGTTCTTAATTATCTCAATGTTTTCTCGTCAGGAACTCACTCCATACTATGATGTACAGTATGACTTGTGTTATATATAGATGTCGGGTTCTATTATGAACATATGACGTACTCTCTGAGAATTATTGAGGTGCCTTTCTCAAGCCATACTTGTGTGGAATCAATGTTTCGTTCTAATAGCCATGCTATCACATATAAATGGAGAGAGTTGGACGAAAAATAGAGCTTGTATAACGTTCAAATAGATAATAAGTGAGCCTGATTGAAAAAATGAGTGTTCTCTATCTTATACGAGATTCATGCCCTATTTGTATCGAAATGCCCATCCAAAGCTATGACAATAATACAAACTACACTTATTCGCATCACTCCATCGACGTCTGTCCTATTTATGTTGATAGGCTCCCGTTGGATCAGACTTCAGTTTGCAACATGTCCTGTGCATCCTTTGTCTCAACTCATCACTAGCACTACCATGACTTGAGGTTCATATATTCTAAACAGCTTGCCCAAATCAAACCACGCTCTACACAGCGCATACAATATCATAATAAGATTATATATGGCCGATCTCGCTCGAATGCTGGCCGAACTTAATGTATTATTATAGCAGCCCACGACAATGTTCAGCCGCCTCACATCACAGGACAAGCTTTGGTTCACTCCCTCCTCCTCCTCCTATCATAGTAAAGTGTAGGTAATCATCATTATTGTTATTGTTTCACGTCCTTATCATTCTGGTAATACGTGTTTCCGCCATATAATACCTTCTTAATCAACATATGAGCAAATACTTGAATCACTCTTTTCTATGATCTCTCCTTCCCTGTTTCACACCACCAGGATTTCCAGCTCCATATAATGTATTATCAACAATTCACAGTATTCGCAAGAGACATAGAAAATGAACACACAAAGTGCTTCTAGAAGCATGCGCTTGTGCTGCGTGTTGAGTGCATGCAGCTTATTATTTACGGTATTTATAATATCCAAGCCTCATTTAGTAGGACCACCCGCGAAAATATCGTTGTTCTAATACATGCTTTGAAACTTATCAGTGCGCATACTTTCTTTCGTTCTTTTCTCTTTGCCGGGCCTACTACATATAGCCCGGAAAAGTTCAAGTTCGCATATCATATAAGAGCAGATATAGTAGCACTGGCACTTATATTCACTGAATCATGTCATGCAAATAAATCGAACGGGAAGACGTGCACACGGTAGTGAGGGAGGAGGAGGCCACACGAGCTAAAGAAGTGTAGTAGTATGTCTGTTTTGGGAACTTTTCTACTAGTAACTATAGGATTGGTTTTGGTTGTTCATCGTCGTGCGTATGCTCTGTTCAAGAAACAGCCCCACTTGATGTTATAGGAGCTCCCTCTTGGAATATAAACCCTCAAAAATAACATCGATTGTACGCCTAATAAGTCAAGCGCACTTTGTTGAATGCGTTATTATCAATTGACCATGTAAGTAATATATTAGAGGAGAGAAAGTGATATACATACGTGTCCGCAACAAGAAAAAAATTACTAGTACTATTATGGACCGACATGCTATGCTAAACTGCTAACAGATATGATCCGTATATTTTAGATCTGCAAGGAGGTAGCACAATGCAATACATACAAGGTGGGAGCTCTGATAAGCGTAGCTGCTATTATGCTACAGATCTTTCAACGATGTCGTCTCAATTGTCGTAGCAGGCATATGCACAACCTCAGCAGCAGCAGCTACTATGAGTATTTTGCTCGATTTTTTTTTGGAGATGGCTCTTCGAGCGGATTCACCGTTATAGCTTTGGCCTGGACAGTAGCAGTAGCCACACGCTTGTTTTATCGAGTCTGAGATTTGTAAATATAGCCACACCACCAAAAACAAACTGTATGATTAGCCTCGTAAAAAATACGCGCTTTATATAGTTACAGCGTCTCTGCGAATTCACAATACGATTATACACGGCAGCCACAAATACTTCTATTGACATAAGAATCCCAGAAAAATCATATCGCTTCAGCTTGAAGTACTATTGTGCACTGATACCCATGTATGTGACATGCTGTTAGACATGTTTAAGCTTCAAAATTTTAAAGTATGTGCTTATACTTGGCATTGCGAACAGCAAGCTGTGTCTAATTAGTGCGTATTGATATGCATTGCTAATCTCAATATCAGGTCACGGGACCTCGCCGTCCACTGATTAAGCCCAACCCACATTTCTATATCGTGCAGATAAAACAAACATACATCTCTCTTTTGTTTTCTTCACCTTAATGAGAAACAAAAAAAAAATAAAAAAACGGGCGGAAGTTGTCAAAGAAGAAGGGTTACACCAACAATGGGTTTAATCATGCCGGTCCAGCATTTTTGGAGTGCAAATTCCGTGGTGAAAGGGACAGGTGAACAAGAGTGGAAAGAGAGAGAGAGAGAGAGAGATCGATCTAAATGTAAGGGGGTTGTGTTGTTTGTTTCTGTTTGCTGCAATTTTTTACACCACATTTCTCTCACACACCCACACTCACGCTCTCTTTCTCTCACTTTCTCTTTCTTTCTGCCTTATTTTCCCTTTTTTGCTTCAATACCGTTCAAAGCCCTCACTCTTTTTTTGCCATTCCTCCAATAGCCCAAACTATGTTTCGAACATCGTCTGTAACTCGTCATTTGCGCGTGACACCTCGCAACTTCCAACAGCGCAAGGCTTCCACCATCGCCTTGAAAGACTTAGAGACGCGCTGGTCGACAATGTCGGCCTCTGAGCAAAACACTGTAGCCAAGCAGCTGGAAGAAGCTCAAAAGGGTGACTGGAAAGTTCTTTCCAGTGAGGATAAAAAGGCTGCCTGTACGTAAGCTTTACGTGGGCGTTATCCCAACACACTACTCCATGTACTTTTGACACGTCTTCTCTTGTACAAAAATATATAGATTATATCGCGTTTGGCCCACATGGTCCTCGTGAGCCCATTACTCATCCTGGTCATGGAGGTAAGGTGTTTGCCGGCGTAGGTGCTCTGTTGGCTACATCGGGCGTGCTCTTTTGGACGATTCGTGCGAACGGTAAGTGAATAAAGACACCGACAGAAGTTGTTTAAAAAAAAAGGTAGCAAACTTAGTGTTTTGTGTTTTCCAAACAGGCGAGGAAACGCCTCACACCCTCAGCAAGGAGTGGGAGCAGGCTACGAATGAGTACCTCAGAAGCCAGAACTCCAACCCCATCACTGGTATCTCGTCGGAAGGATACAAGGGCAAAGGCTATGTCCGTTAAAGCTTTGTTGTTGCATCTCTTTAATATTATCTTTTTTTTTTCTCGTCTTTTTGCTTTTTGATATATTTATATACTGTTTGCTGCTGGAGATGTTGTGTGTATAGTGTGGGTGGATAGGTGCCTTTTTCTCTATAGTGTGTGTGTGTGTGTATGTCTGTTTATGATGATCGCATGTAGAAAAGAATATACGCTGTCTGGTCAGCGTGGATAGTTTCAGATGTTCGGGTATTTTCCTCTGTCATCAGCACGTCCTGTTCGGAGACTGGCGTGATGTTTGTGTCGTTGACATGCAGCCACATTCCATTCTGTCTCCGAACCTCGCAGGTGTAGTGTCCGCCTCCTGCCGATGCGCCATGGTGATATACAACTAGTAGTTATAGCAACCAACATTAATTTTACTACTGCTATTACCATCGCTACAACTTCATCCTTATCAATCACTTACTGCCAAAGAGTTTATACGTCACAGGCTTGTTCGTCCGATGCACGGGCGTTAGCCATTCTTGTTTGATGGTTAGCTCAGCGCCATACTGCACTGGTTTCTGAAGCTTTTGTACACCGCCGCCCACATTATCAAACACAAACCGCTTCATGTGCAGAATTAATACGGGCGGTAATGTTTCCAGATAGACTTGCTTGGTGGCTTCGACGCGTGCACCCTTGGGAGACATGTAGTCGTGCATGATTTCGGGCACAGTCATGTTGCGAATAGCGTCCTCAACAGTGGTAACATTGTCAGGCTGGATATCCAATGGCAGGGACTGGAACGGTTCCAGGTTGGCCGAATCTTTGGCACCAGGGCATCGCAGTGTCGATCGTACCTTGCCTCCAAAAATTTTGCTAATAGGCGAATCGTCAAAACCGGTCTACTCCCCCAAACCAACAGCAAGTTCATTTTAGTATAACGGGTCAGCATCAGCATTGAAGACTAGAATAGTTTCTTTTTATACCAGTTGCAGATTGCTAGTCTTGTTGCCAGGTCCAACTTCTAACCAGCCATTGCCAGTGGACGCTGCAGCTGCAGCTGCTTCTTCTGATTTTCTCTTTTCTTTCAAAACTATTTCACTCAATTTTGTTAGTCACGATATCATCCAAACGCTAGGATCACCCGTTTTTTGTTCCAACTTACCAGAAACCATCTCCTCGTGCAAACCATCCAGCAAAAAGCACAGAAACTCTTCAGCATCCTCTTGTCGTCCCTAATGATACGTATATGTAAGTATAGTCCAATACTGAACGAATCACCAATTTCCCTTTTACCTTTAATGAATCGAACCGCTTTTGCCCACGCAGGGCATCATAGACATATTCAGGTACAAACGGTTCTCCATAGGGCTCCGCCTTGACCTCCTCATTCTTTGCCGGCTCTGATCTAAACTCGTTCATGAATTCAATCATTGAGTCTAACAAGGGCGTCTTGCTTCTAAACGAGTGCACCACATGTTGTCCAATCGTCTTTAACAAATTATAAAAGGGAGGGCAGTGCGACAAAGGCTGCAGGATCACATTCATAAAGCACGTGTTGACATTGTTGATAAGACCACGCGGCTCGAGTAAAGGTCCATCGAAACGCGCCTCATAGCGGTTAATAATATCAGCAATACCCATGAACTTTGTGGGTGCTGCTGCTGCTGCTGAAGGTGGTTGTACCAGCATGGCATTGGCACCGCCGTTGACCGAAAGTTTGGCTTGTTGTGGGGATGGCGTACCGGCAAGTGGCGACTTGCCACTACCTCCGGCTGTCTTTGCTTTGGATGCAGCATCGTTTGATTTTAATAATGCGGCCCAGCTGGTTGGTTTTGGTTTGGGCGTTTCTGCAGCAACAGAAACCGGAGACTTGCTGCTAAGTGGCGATGGTTGTTGTTGCGTTGTAGGACAAGAAGCAGTGACACTAGAAGCATCAGCAGTAGTAGTAGCAGGTTCCGCTGTAGCAGTCGTGGTCGTCGTGGTAGTAGCTGGTTTGGACGTGGTACCATTGACCAATGGTTTTTCCTTTACTGTGCCATTGCTTATTGGTGCAGGTGTCGTTGCGGTCAGGCCACTAGACGTTGTCATCGTCGGTACCACTGAAGAAGCAGACTCAGCAGTCAACTTTTGTTCGCTACGTTGTTGTTGTTGTTGTTGTTGTTGCTGCTGTTGCGGTTGAGGTCGCTTTCTTTGTATACCAGTTGCAAATGGAGTCTATTCCACTAAAAGTCAATATCCAGTCCTACTGCTACTGCTACTACTCCTACCAGCCTTTGCTAAACTCTCCAAACATTCAAAGTATACCTTCTTTGGCGGAAATAGCGAGACTCCCGCTTGACTGAGAACCGTGTTGATCTCTTCACGGCTGAGATCGCCAAACCCAAAGGTCGGCGCAAGTGCCTGTTCAGATTTCTATAATCAACAATCGCAACAAAAAAAAAATCAGTCTCTACTTCCTTTCTTCCTTGCCTCAATCAAATCAACCATCCCCAAAGATACTCGATCTTTACCTTCCCCGATGACATTACTGTTCCGGGAAATGACGTGGTAATCGAGACTGAAGGTGAAATGGTGGAACAAAAAGTTTTTGACGTTTGAAAAGCTATAAATAGTCGGTTTGTGCGTCTAAGCTTGTTGTAACTGGTTGTGGCGATTGCTGATATTTAGTAATGTGGCAGGGAGGTTGAGGTGCACAAGATAATGCTGCTTGTGTTCTTTTTTTTTAACTTTTCGTGTGGACGTGTGTTTTGCGCCGTATGAGTGAAGAGCTAGTGTTTTGCGTGTGTGTGGATTGCCGAGTGCTAAAATGCAAGGTGTGTGTGTGTATGTGCGTTTTATATGTAGTGCTGAAATAATATATAACTCGTTTTTGCCCTTTTTCTTCGAACTTGTAAGGTGTTCTCGAGTTATTGCGTGTTTGTTGTTGAGTTAAAGGGAGGAGATTAGGAATTGTTGAAAAGAGAGAGGGAAAAATATAAAGAAGGGGCGCGTGTATATACGAGTGTGCGTGTGTGTGAGTGTTGTGTGCGTGGAAGGGGAGGAGGGACGTGAATGCGACAAAGAGAAGGTTAGAGAAAAGGCGATTGCTGACAAAGAAAAATAATATAATAAATGTACAAATCACAGGAAGTTTGCTGAGGATTGCATGCAAACAGAGTGCATTATAATATGTAAAAAGAGCTTTAAGAAATACAACAGAGATCTTTTTCCCCAAAATCAAGATAAGAGGTGAAGAGGGTAATGCGCTTCAACGGGGAACAGATCGAGTGGAGAGGAAGAAAAAGAAAAGAACGAAAAAAAGGCAGGAAGAACCCCAATTTTGGTGTTCGGATTTACTCGATTGGTCATCCACACAAATTAAGCCTTAATCTTCATACTTCTCTTCTTATTATCCACCGTCCCCTTTCACTATTGGACGCTCAAATACGCTAGCAAATCTACAGCTCTTCTATGCTACGATGAATCCATCTTGTCTCTATCTTGGAAAAGCCTATTGATGAGTCTTCTGACTTCCATTGCCACTGATAGAGGAGATACTTTGATGCATAAGTTTAATTATGTGTAGTCAATAACCCTTTTGCGCATTAATAGTCATCGCGGGGGAAATCTCGTTACTCGCTTTGGAAATGTCTTATTAAGAGTAAGCCATATGATGATAAGCTAAACAAAAGCTGCAGGGTCCTTCTTAAATCGCATCGCTTCTTTATTGTGCAGGTTGTAACAGTAGTCGATAAGGTTGCTCCGCCTTCTCCTCCTCCAAGTGCGTCGTACTATACTTTTTACTAAAGTTGCTATATGGACCGGGATACTTGATGTTCTGATATACAGACTATACAGAGTATGTACTGCAGTTGGGCAAGGTAAACGATACTTGTTGCCCAGATGATAAAGAATTAAAGATGCATGGAGCAAGTAAGCATAACAGATCTAACAAAGCAGGAGGTTCTGATAATAAGTTACACGAGACAGAAGCTCCTCGGGAACAACCTGCTTGGGGCCGATACCACCTTTTGTTTTCTTCTCTTCCTTTCACTCTTTACATTTTTTTTCTCGCTTCCCTGGTACATGTAACGGCTGGTTTCCAGCATGTCCAATGTAGACGAGTAAGTTTTCTTATTTATGGAATCGACGGATCGATGTATATAGGTTTCATTATAACATTTGTCGTTAACTGTGACGCAGCAGCAACAACACGACCCCAGTTGCATCGTCAGACCACAACCATAGTAATGGCAGTAGTAGTACTAATAATAACGTCACCCATGTACCTAATCATACACTCAAGGTCTGTCCACATAACTTTATTTTCTCAATGTGCAGAGTTAGAAATGGCAAAAAAGAAAAATACTCACCTTTCAATAAAATGATTATAGAGCGCACGAAGCGCGATCCTTTTCACCAAGAATGCAGCATTCCAGTCCAAAACAACACTGACTTTATGGCTCTTGAATCGTATGTTTGAGCCTATTGATCCCAACTTCGAGCATGAGGTACATTAAAGTAAAAAAAATAACGCGTCTTGCATGGAAAAAAGAAAGAGCTAAAAGAAATTCAGGGCCTGAGTTTCCTGGAAATATCGAACAATGCGCTATCGTCGATACCAAACACTCCTACGGTCGCGCAGCAACAAGAAACTGAAAATAAAAGCAACGAAACAGCAACGACAACGACAAAACGTGATGAGAATGGAGCTACTTTATTGACGCCTCGAACGCGTATACTCTCAATTTCTAACGAATACTGTATGGTGGTCATGGTCGATCTGAGCTCGAGTCTCGCGACTACGGACGTTGGTCGAGGAAATATCATGATCGATAACATTAATGATGCGTATGTCTCATCTATCGTTTACACGAGATTACTAAACGCTCTAAAATATATGCATACACAAATTAAAATTAATTGATTTCTTACTAGGCTTCGAAACGTTATGCTCGGTCTCGCTCAACCTATCTCAATGCCCACAGCTGGAGCATCTCCACCGGTACGTTTATATATTTGAAAGAGCACAAAAGAAGGTAAAACAGACCTTTAATCGTCTCGTCTTAGTTCATACCAGTTATTCGGTTGACCGTGATTGCAGAATGCTCGCAATTTGGGTCCAATATCAACGTTATCCCGATTTTGGCAGAATTTCCAACCATGCGTGTGTTTTTACAAAACGTGCGCGTCACACCATCCAATGTATCTTCAATACTGAGAGTCCTCAATGACAATATTGCCGGATTCTTGCGCGATCTTGCGGCGTTTCGACAAAAGCTAACTAAACGTCGATCGAAACTCGGCTATGAATTGGATGTACGGAGAAATCACTCGTCTGTGATTATGGATCATGGCGTGGATGATAGTTTGGATGGAGGTGGTGGAGCTAGTCATGAAGGCGGTTTGTTTAATTCGACGTATATCAATAAAACAACGACAACAGCAACGATGACGACGAAAACCCAAGAACAGCAGCCATCACAACCAGCAACAACGCAAGCCAAGACAACAACGACGAATAGGAAAAAGGACCAAAAAACGCACAAAGATGGCAAATCAGGCGCAACTAAAAAGACCAAGAATACCAAAACGCAAGCAAACAACACACAGAAATCGACCAACACTACCGCTCGTTCTTTCAACAGCAGTAACACGCGCCATAACCGATCCAACGATAATACTACGAAAAAAGACGTTTGGGGCGTTGGGAAAACAGGCAGCAACCTTTCGTATATACTCCATGCTGGATTGCTCGCACTTGGTCTACTACCCGACAGTGGCCAACGCTCTTTGATACTTATGACAGATGGTGTCGTCAAATCCAACATTCAAGACGAATTTGTCATTCGCCAGCTGTCAAGCGACGGTATCCCGTGCAACATCGTGCAGATCAGTCCAGGACCCTTCATGGATTGCAACTTTGGCTTTATACCCGACACGGATATTCTGAAATTCGTGGCAAATGCTACAGGTGGCCAGTACATGCATATCGAGGATTTACTTGGTATGGGTAGAATGGACGCCGCTTATTATACCAATAACAACACCAGCAATAAGCCGATTGTCACGCAGGACATTCTGGATCGCATCATGGCTGACCTTAGCTTTCCACAACGCAAGTTTTTGCTACGCGAGATATTCTTGGACAAGTCTGCTCTTAGGACTGGTTCAACAGCTACAAGTAGAGCAGCAGCAGTAGCAGCAGCAGCCGAAAAAGCTCAGCAGGGGAATTATCTTGCCATGGCATCAGCAGCAGCATCACGTAACGGGTTTCCTTGGAATCCGAATGCTGAACCCGAAGTAACCGAGTCAAAGGTGCTACGGTATCAAGAGTACGCATTACCCAGCAAACTCTCACACGTCATTGCTGCACGTACACGACAAGGGTTCTCTCTCGTTTCAATTACACTCGATAAAAGACGTTCTACGACTCCGTTGAATAGCAGTTCTTCGCGAGGAGGCGGAGGAGCAGGAGGAGGCAAGAAAGTCCAAGTAGTGATTGCTCTGACGCTTCAATGGCAGCCTCAAATTACGATTGAGTATCGTATCCGCGCTGTATTATCATCCAACAACGACTTGATTCTCTCCAGCTATTTTGGCACTGGCACAATTTTCGAAGACCATGACGACGCCACAGCAGCCTATCTACCCGATGCGGATTTCAGCAGATTACTCGAATCACTAACGAATCCAAAGGCCGAGATTCTCATTCGAGCAAATAGCACGTTTTCGCATTTACTCAGAAATTGGGACGCGTTTCAACGTCGGTTTCAAGTCATGGGAATCTTTACAGGCGGAGCAGGAACAAGCGCAAATGGTGCAGGTGTTAGCAACAACCTTTCTGGGTCTGCAGGCATTCTGAAGATCAGCAAGTTAAAGCAACTCTTGACATCTATATCCGAAGCCGACAAGCACCTCAACACGATCCTATCCTTGGGAAACGATACCAATGGTCATTCCCGCAATAACAACATCATCAACAGCAACAACGGTAGCCGAAGAAATGTATCACCATCGTCTTACATTGCCCAGTTTCAAGAACTATGGCAAAAGATGGACGACAGCAGCGACACACGGCACAGCACGGCGTGCTGGTACGATACCAATCACCATTTTGATCTCATCTTGCATTTTACCCCACATTATTGCTATGCCGATCGCAACAGTACCGCAACTACAGCATTTATTGCGTCAGCTGAAGACGCCGTGATATCCACTATATTGGATCGATTGTATGATTTACTTTCCAAGATGACCGACTTCGTCAGCAGTAGAGGCACATTCGTCAAGATATTCTTCCCTTCACCTTCTTCCAATCATTCGACAAGCCAACAGCAACAAGCAAGCAATTGCAGCAATAATGGCAATTACTGTCGACTTTACGAAATACAAATCACGCACGAGAACCTTCGGACAATCCATGTTGATGCACGGTTCTTTAACACACCTCTCGAAATGCGATCGCGTATCATGGATGATTTGATGCATATGCTGAGCACGCGAATTGAGTTGGACGAAGGGCAAATTCTTGCAGATCTTGAAATCGGCCAACATCCTCTAAATAATAACGTAGGCGGTGATAGTGGTACTCGTCCGAATATGGCCAAGATTGAAGTAGCCAAACGTCCACTTTTTGGTTTGTTAATGCGCGATCCAGAGCATTATTTTGGTGTTCCCAAGGAGCGCGAAGACGGCTATGATCGAAGGAGACCTACGACAGCAACACTGCTAGCCGGAGAGTACATTGTACGCAACTATCTGCGTCGCCAACGATGGATATGGGATGCCAAGGTGACGACGACAACTGTTGATGCAAGTGATTTCTATGGCTTACACCCACTCCATGATCTTGCGTTTGAGCGATTATGTCACGTTAGACTTAAGGAGGTATGCGTGTGATAAATGATTGTTGCATTTTCATGCTTTTTTCTCTGAAAGCATTACTTAAAACGCATCGACTCTTTTTTATTTTCTAGGGTTACGTATTGATATCGTTTAGCGAGAATGCATGCCACTTTTACAAGGAGTTTCAAGATCGTGCACCTGATCGCTCAGCCCAGTATTTCATTTGGCGTAATTCATCCAAGCAAACGTTGACGACAGAGCTGTGGCTAGAGCCCGTGACTCGAGACGTGCACCGCATTGACCGGGACATTGTGCAAACAGAGCAACGACGACTGTTTCACCACGATAGAAAAATCATGTCCAAACTTGTTACGTTTGACTGGACATTTGTCGCCGGATACCAACAACAACGTGGTATTTCGCCTCCATCATCGTCGCTGAGTGCCAGTAGAGCGGATGTATTGCATCTGGATGATGACCTGCTCGGTATTCATCACATAAAAAAGAGCATGGTGATTGATATAACATCCGTCCTCCGTCTGAGTGCGTTCTCGATTGCTGTGTATCCGTGTCCACAACAGCTTGTAGGCACCAGCAATAATATCGTGAACATGCGTGGCGCGTTAATGCCACCTACCTATAACGACGAGGGTACTGCTGCGTCGGATATTATTGCCGAAGCACAAAAGAGGGACATGGCCGTCGTCTGGTTGCAGACTGAACGGTACTTGCCTTTGGTGGCACCACCGGCTAACAGCAGACCCAAGATAGAAGAGAGCCATTCGAGAAGCTGGCATGGTTCAAGCAATAATACCACCATTGCGTCACCATCTATTAGTCTTGTTCGAGGCGGTAGCTACAGCTACAGCAATCAAAGCTCAACATGTCAATGTCCACGGCCTGATCACGATTTTCTTTTATTCAGAGAAGCCCTGTCCGACTTATCTGCTCCTTATCGTGATGTAGCTTTGACCCATTATTATTTTCAGCAGTATCTGCGCGTACTGTCTGACTGCGAGATGGACACGAAATCGCCCTTGACGGCGACACATGACAGTTTTTGGTCCACGTTTTTCCGCGAAATACTTGGGTGTCAAGACACACATGCATCAGAAAGCACATTGCGTCTGTTACGACGAGTTACCGATATGCAGTGCTTTGTCAAAATCTTCAACCCTAGCACATTTATCGTCGTTCTTACACCGTCTCTTGCAACGCTCATCCATGGAACAGCTACCAAACGAGCTGACGATCCGCTTTTTACCGATCATTATCATCTTGGATTTCTTTTATTTGAATGTCATCGCCAGACGCCATCATCGACTACGACAGCTCGCGGTGGTGATCATTGTTATGACGAAGAGGACAATAGCAGTAACAACGATAGCAAGGGATACACGTTCAGAGAGATTGATTTTTCATCCATCAAAGAATCAATCTTATCACCACATCTTACGAACGGTTACTATCAATGCAACAACAACAGCATGAATGCCGGCGAGGGCGAAGATCAGCAACAAGTGGTGCTTTCGGATTTCAAGTCCCGGCTTTTGCAAGATATCACTGATATTTATTCGAGCTGCTATGCAAAATCCATCTACTCATCGCTCTTGTTCGGCAGTGTGATTGCTGACCATGACTTTGACAAGGTGTTGGATATTTGCGAGGAGACTGTGCTTGATATTGATCTTACTGGGTATCTCAATGTGCAAACATTGCTGAAACGGCATGGGAGAACAAGGTAAACAACACGCTATATATATAAGTTTAAATACCATGGAAACGATCTATGATATAAATCGATCAAGCTTCGTTTTACAGTGTAGAGGAGTGGAATTCTGCTCAGCAGCGGTTTAGCTCCGTCCTTGAGCATTACTTTGAGCCAGTCATGTACTCCAAGAAAAAGCGGCAATTCATTTATTGCTATCGCCCAGCTCATGTTAAGATCGGACATCACAAAGCAGAGACTGGAAACAAGTTGACAAGGTTAGCTGATATTGTCGTCTCTGCTCAATGTCCCCTGTTCATCCGACTCGAGTACACGTTGCAGAGCCCGAAACATGCTGCAAGCACAACGCTCCCGCTGGAATATTTGCCAACATCTTATGAAGGGCAACATAAAGGTCAACCATTCAATTACGAGCCTGTCGATATTGGCTCCATGGAGTCGCCAGTAGCGTCTGTGGATAAATCATCAGCTACTGTTCGGCTCGTTTGTATGACAATCCCACAGACCAAGTATGCACCAGCGATTCAACCTCGACACGTTCATGGCTGTCCAGCAGAAAGCCCTGTGCATCATCAATCGTAAAGTATCCATACATGTACAAGTCTCGTGCTCTCTTTATTTTCTACTCTCTCTCTCTCTCTCTGATGATCTTTTCAAATGGACTAAAAGAAAATTGGGGCAACTACCAACTCGCATAGATCATTCTTTGACAACGAAGGTGAATATCGTGAAGCACTCTCTGGCTTAAGCGAAGAAAAGCAAGGCGCCCTGATTGAAACAAAAGCACGATTGACCTGGCTTTTGACCGAGGAAGTGATGCACGGACTACTGCGAGCTGGCCCTGTCACTGACGTTGTTGTGCGATACATTCAAAGCCATCTCATGAAGAAGAACCCGTTTGTGGATTTTCCTACCACGATGGTCATTCCCTTGGTATTTGTCAAGGACCGACATATGAGTCGACGCGTCTTTCTCGAGCAACTCGAGCGGAACACGATGACGCCATACAAACTGGTTCGTGTAGGTGATTGCTTCTATGCCACCGATCACAAGGAATATGGCGACATATTTGATACCGGTGAAAGCTACTTTAATCGATCCGAAACCATGAGCAATAATCACGAGGGTGCTGACTTTTATACGGACCTTGGTATTGAGGTTGATGCTGACAAAGAACACCATCATCCGTTTATTCCTCAACAACAACCAACGCATCAGCAACAACAGCAGCAGCAGGGTGGGTCGCAGAATGATGACTTTTGCGAAGGTTTGGGCATCAGTATTATGGAGCCAGATGTGTTCTCGGACGAGGAAGATTCTATGGCAGCAAGCAATGTCGCGGATAGGCAGGCTTACCAGCAGCTTTATTGGCTTTTGATAATCCCTCGTTCGCAGACTATTCAAATATACTTTTACTCGAAGATGCCGCAATCTGTCAACCGTTCAGAGATCGTACGGATGACCAAAGTTATGATCAATGATGCTATTGAGCGGACAAACAAGCTGGTGCTCTTGCAGCATCTGAATGCTACGCGTGTGTGCAGGTTAGCAAAAATGAATAGAAAGTGACAACGTGTGTATGGAAAAATAAGAGATTGACACCAGGCGAAACACTTTTTAGCAAATATCTGCTAGCGAATGAAGGCTCGGCAGCGAATAATCCAAACGAAATATCAACAGACGAATCGTCGGACGACAGCAACGGCAACAATCGCAACAGCAACAGCGACAGATCAAAACTAAGGAATACCACAGGAGGAAACTTGGTCGAGATGCTTTCAACATCTGGTGAAGAAACCTCTTTTACACCACCCAAAAAGTTTCAACCTGGCCAGTTTGCCTGCGATATTATCTTTACTTGGCGATTCCCTCTCCATTGGAGACTGCAACCCAATATTGCTCTCAACGCGCTTTCTTCCGATGTCTTGCGACATTTTAAGGTGCGAAATAGACCAAACATTTTTGTCTGTATGCGCGATGATACTGTTATCTATTGCACATTGCGCGAAAATACGGTGATCAACCACTGTTACGCGGAAAGCAGTATTGATTATCCTTCTGCTGCTACGGATGATGGTCAGCAACAGCAGCAACAGTCGATTCGAGCCACTTCACCCCATAATTCATTACTCGCCATGGGTATAAATGATCCACCAATGATGGCGTTCTCACATCATTCCCGTACACAATCCGCACAGCCGACAACAGCAGCATACTCCCAGCCTCAGCATGATGGTTCTGCCGTAGCTGGTACAATCACAACAAACAACAGTAGTCGTCGGACAAGTCCACGGTCGAGCCCTGGTGGTAAAGTGCATAGCACGAACAGCATTCAGCTATCTCCGGAACCGCGAAAGACAGCACGCACATCTGAATCGCGTGAGCTTGTGCTTGAAGTGTACGGTGTGGATTTGCCCAACTGGATCTCCGACGAACTGGTCGATTTACTCGAGAATCGCTTAATGTCCCATGTCACACTTAAAGAAGTGCAGCAATTCTTGCTTCGAAATCCTGGTTCCAAACTATCTCGCGCAGTAAGTCTTATATGGGACATGATCTTGCCTTCTGTTGCAATTATACTTAAGGTACTGTTGTTTTAAAATGTAGGATATTGACTTTATCCTTCCAGTGGATAAAGCTCCAATGGTACATGAAAGCTTGCAAGTACCCGTGGATGTTATTGATGTTCAGCAATTTTCTCGGCTCTTGCGCGAGAGTGTCTTGACGAATTCCATTCGTGTTCTCACAGGCAACGGGCTGACTTCTGCACTCAAAAACTATCGGCTCCGTCAACACTACAGCAACTTGAGCTTTGGCAAAGGACCCTTTTTCATGCAGTAAGGATAAACAATGTTTATACGATGAAAGAATAGCGTCGTTTATACTAACACGGCCCGTGTACATCAACAGGAAGGAAAGTAATGTCGATAATCCAGTAGTGGAAGAGTTATGCTTCTACTATAGCTGTATCAATCGTACGCCTGGTGTATGCACAGATCTCGAGCTAAGCATTGGACAAGGTGTGGCTGGAGTCATTCTCTCTTTCAGCGAGTCATCATGGTCGCAGGAAGAAGATTTCCAAAATCCGTCGGATAGTACGGACGGACAGGACTCAGCAATGCCTTGGAGTTTGCTATCCAGTTTTGCATCCAAATCTGCATGCGTCGCTAGCGAACAGCAACATCAGCAACAACAACAACAGCGTGGCACTACCCTCTCAGTTGATATTTGGACAGTTGGCCAAGTTGACGCCGGAGCGCTCTACGACCATATCCATAAGAGCTTTCGACAAAGCATATGTGACTATATCATTGAACGAGCGGTGTCTAGCGCAATGCCAACGACAACTACAGCGACTACATCAGTGTCAGGTGACGGAGGATCGTCCGATCTTGCTATTAGCGACGCGGCACTAAGCGCTTTACTTTCATCATTTGTTAAGGTCTTTGATGGCGCGTATCACTGGAGTAATCCAAGTGTACACATGGCCTCTCGCTCGATCAAGTTACAGCCTTGGTGCCTGAGCCAAGTTGTCCAGCAACTGAATGCTGACTTTGTAGATCTGAATCCGAATAGCAAGTCAGTTATTGGAATACAAAGTCCAACCAGTGATGACTATCATCACCAGCTATTAGGCAACCAGACCAATATATATAGAGCTTGCTACACAGAAACAGAGCTCAACCACCAAGCGCAAGCCATGATGCAACCACAAAAGAACATCCGATACTCAATCATTAGCGGTCTTCATGAACTTTCTGGATGCAAACATTATTACAGTACATCAACCAAGCAGCCAGAATTTACCAGTATCACTGACGACCCACCAAACCGCGGTGATACTGTAGCGACGATATTAAGGGCAGATCAAAACAGTGCACACAGCCGCCATGAATCAATTGCGTCCTCGAATGTTGTCAACAATAACAACAGCAGTAACAAAAACCCGATAAGTAAGCTACTACAACAGCAACAGCAGCCAAAGTCTGGATCGCACAAAGACGCCACTCACCGTCGCGCTTTCCACTTGGTGCTCCTCGACGCTGGGAACATCACACTGTACACTTATAATTACGCAAGAACGTTTGTCGACCAGCTCACTCTAGCGATCGAGCAGACAGTCGCTCAGCAAGGCAACCGTGTCCGCATGTTACAAAACGTTGTGCACCAAAAGTTGGGCCTCTTCCAGCATTCAGAAACGCTTGGCACCATATGCAACGATGCAAGATCTTTTGTGACCTCTGTTACAGAGGACGACTCCACTTTTGGTGTAGAAATACTGAAAAACTTGGTAACGAATACACCTCATCTAAACAGTTATTCTGCTACAGAGCATCCTGGACGTCCTTCATTATCCACCACTTCCAGCGCAACGCGTCTCTCTAATCCGAAGATTTCGACGCTGATATCTGGAGCCGTAACATTCCATCCGTCATCCAACAAATTGTTAAAGGACTGTAATACTGCGTTGCGTGATGCGTATACAACACTGCCAGACCATCCCATCACAGAAGCAGCAGCAGCAGAAGAGGAACAGCAACTTGACTATTTGACGCAGCACGGCACACCTTTCCTCAGCACATTTATGAGACACTCACAGTTGCGTGCAGCACACGACAAGGCATTTAATGTATACATTAAATGGGCGAGTCGCTACTCTACAATGCAACCATCAGAAACAACAAAAGAACGCGAAAATGCTTCGGAAATGATGTCAGTAACCGAGCTCCGACTCATTCTAAAATCATCGCGGCTGTTGCATTTTTGCAGAACGCCTTTGGTTTTCTCGGACATCGACCCAAAGCGATCGAGTATCTTTAGCACCAGCATTGAGACAATTCAGCAGCATCAGCTTATGGAGGAAACAATGATGTGGTACGAAGGACTGGCACGAACATTTATGGCGGAATACGCGTCTTATTTGGAGAGCGTTGGCATGCACGTCATTGTGCATGGTGTATCTGGAAACAGTAATACGAGCAAGGAAGACCAAGGAGTGTATCTTTCTCGCTACAAAGTTGCAGATGACTTTGTTGTACACTCACCTGTCATCTATTTGCTTCAAGTTTTCCCCGGTGGAACCATAATGTGCGAAGCTCGACTCACCGACGTCTTTGTATCCGTGACTCTATACACCTTGCATCGTCGCTATGGCCGTTTAATGATGACCCAATCCCCCTATATGCATGAGAGTAGCGAGAAGCGACGAGCTGATTTCAAGGATTTTACCGAAGAATGTGACCGTTTCAAGCAAAAAATTCATGTTAACTCGTTCGTCTATGACTTTAACTTGAAGTTTATCCAGCAATCTCTGGATAATGCGTCATCGCTTCCGTCCTCGGTGGACTTACTGGGTATCATCAAAAACACATTCTCATTGTACTATAAGCCAGCCAACTACTCTCGAAATCGTATCATTCGAGGCTTCTACGAGCTTGTTTCCGATGAAGAAGAGGATAATATGAAAAACTTGCTACCGATGGTCATCCGCAACGCCTCCAAGTATGGATTCGAGTCACTCCACACGAACGGCACCCCTACGGCATGCTTTGTATCATCGGACGATCCTTCATTCGTCAAAGGAAGTGGTGATGGCAACTCAAATAGCTGTTATCGATATACTCTACTTATTACCGACAATATCTATGAGCGGGATTTCAGCAGTGGCAGTGACGGTCATCCTGGTCGGTACGATTATCCAAATTCACCGATCCACGATATTGCTACTACACCAACGTCAACCAGCGATTCCAAGGTTACAGTGCAATATTTTGTTATTGTCACGTATCACGAGCCAGAAATATACCGGACAAAAGAAAAATCGTGGCGACATTCGCCTCGTTACAAACCGAGAAACTTATCTGGATCCTTGCAAGAAGTACTAGAACCTGAGAAACATACATTAGGAGACGTTATATTGAGAGCAAGACAACGGATTGATGACTTGATGAAACAGGTAAACATCCAGAGAAGGAAGAGACACAACTGAATTAATTTTTCAACGGTTTTCTTCTTCCCACAACAATGAAAATAGGCTGTTTTCTTATACCATCAGGATGTTATGTGGAATCAGCTATACCAAGCCATTGGAAAAAAAGACGCAAGTGCTGATAATGTTCAAGCACTGATCGAGTTGGCGGACGAGTTCTATGCACTAGATGCTGTTTCCTCTGAGGCTTCTCTGCAAAAATTTTTGCGACTTGAACTGTCTTGGAGTAATTTGTTGGACTCCATCCATCGGTTCTATCCAAACACATCAAGGATTCTAGTGGAGTCGAATGCGACATCAACGCGACGTCATCTGTTACTTTTCAATCCAAGCGCTGTACAAGAGTATTTTGTTCATATCATTACTGTCGACACAGTAGAACCGTTATCATCGTCAAGCCTATCATCGTCAGTACATATTTTCGCAAAGAGCAAGCAGTCTAGAGCAGTTACCCATGTTTTGGATCGTTCAGAGGAGGTGTTTATAGGGAACTTAGCTGTGATCCTTGGGTACTGTCTCTGGAAATATACCAGATAGTTACATCCATTTACAACAAATTGATATCGTTGACCTTATTTCCTTTTTTGTAAAAACAATTGTCGCCAATACATTTCTGTACTACATATTATGTCTCCTTTAACATTTTCACACACAGTAATATAAATAAAATGGCACATACATGGTGATTTAATATTCCAATGCTATTATTTTCCGTATATGTTCTTCCTATTTCTCCGTTTTGAAGAAAAGAAAGGATAGACTAGTGTAATGATATGTGTAATAAACGGTGCATGTGAAATATGTATGATAGATGTTTATTTAAATTAGGGGCTCTATGCCCATGTGAAATATGCTTACGCTAGACTGATCGGGCAATTACCTTTTTTTGCCAATTTAATAGATCAACTACAGGTAATATGCATAAGAGTGCACCGTTGTTTTGTAGATCCGAAACAATGTTACAAAAAGCTATTAGGAGATTAATTTATTAGTACGGACTAATCCATATAATAAAATGCTTCTTATTGCTGTAGTAGTAGCACTGTATATCAAAAATCACTGCTGTCACGCTCCCGTGAATACCGTAGTAAAAAGTGCCCGATTTCTTGTCAGTATGTGTTTGTTTGACTCTATTGTTGTTATCTTAGAATAGAGTTCCTACAACTTTAATCCTAAAGCTGTTTTGACCTCGTACATATTTACTGAATGAGAAGTTGAGGAAATGAAGGTTACATATTTGCTTTATGTTACTCAAAATTGAGGTGTTGTGCAACAAATCTGATTTTTTCTCTCTTTCAATTGTTTTGTTCGAATTAGTTATTTTAAATACTCAGATGACATCTTCTTTTTCGCCCTTCTATGTCACTACTATCGAGTCGGACATATCAGTAACATTTTCAGGCATATATTATCGGAAGGTACATCCTAGAAAGCCCCGGGATATTGTAAGCCTAGGAAAGTCGGCGTAATATTACGGATTGTAGTCTCATTTTCCCAGTCAACTTGTAAGCAATATAAATAGGCTGAACAACGCCAGTCAGTTTCTTTGACGTTTTACTAGTACTCTCAGTAACCCCCACTTGAGCTCTCATGCTTTCGAAACATTATCTTCTCTCTTTACTAGCCATCTCTAGCTGGTTCTTGCCTAGTATACTTGCGGCCAGTACTACTGTTAAAGTCTCTCTTGGAGATTCGGTAAGACATATAACGCAGATGCTCCATACCTTCTATTATTTCACAGACCGTGAGGTGTCCGATGTAATTATGCTCAACATTAAGCCTCTTTAGATTCAAGATGCCATCAATTCACTCCCTGACGATGATTCATCCGCTATAATTGAAGTCGAAAGTGGAACGTATAATGAAAACATCACTATCAGCCGCCCCAACATCGTTTTCAAGCCCTCGGAATCAGGACAAGTTGTCTTAGAGCAGTCCGTTGAAAACTATGCTGTAGTTTACATTGAAAGTACCGGTGAAAATATTGCTTTCTACAACTTTGAAATTATCAACAGTATTGGAGAGGCAGCAGGCAATCAAAACGCCTTACGAACATATGGTGCGCGCTTGGCAATGTATAACTGCAAACTGGTTGGTTTTGGTGACACAGCATTTTTCGTTCGTGGCAGCGGCTACCTGTATAACACTTGGGTTGAAGGCAGTAAGTAAATGACCTTAAATTTACTCACCAAGACAGAGAGAGAGAAAATCACTTAAATGATACGGACATTGTATAACATACTTATACCATTCTCGTTTTTTTCGTTCTTCCCGTTCTCTTGTAATAAGCTGTCGACTATTTATACGGAGAGTATAATCTCTATGTTTACAAGTCTACTGTGGCATGTAGCGGAAAGGGTGCTGTCACTGCTGCCTCAACTCTGCTTGATAATACTGCTGGTGGATTTGTTTTCAACCAGGCAAACTTCACTCCTGTTGTCTCTTCAATTTACGACAAACGTCAAGAAGATGATCACTCGTATTCTTCGCCACTTTCTCCTGACGAGTACGAAGCTTCTACTATCCTTGGACGACCATGGCATAATGGACCTCGTGTAATAATCGTCCACAGCAATATCATGGGCCATATCAGGTACGTACTTTTTTATACACATTGAGCTGCTTATCAAATACCATAAATTTTTTTGAGGGTGGATTGCTAAGGCGCTTACTTACCTTTACGTTTTGCTTATTGATTGTCATCCTTTAACAATGTAGACCGGAAGGTTGGGATGCCTGGAACTTTTCCGATGAAGAACTCAAAAACAATGTTTTCTATGCAGAATATGGCAACACTGGTCCTGGAGCCGATACTTCTGGCCGCGTGTCATGGTCAAAGCAGATCTCTGAAGAGGAGGCTACAGCATACCTTAGCGCTAAAACTTATTTTGACAATTTGGACTTGGGAACCGACTGGATCGATCCCGAATATTTGGATTAATGTTAAAAACAATCAGACAATAAACAAAGTTAAACTCGGGTAATACGCTTCGCAACAATCTTGTATCGTATTCTGGCTGTAGTTTCGAAAAGGTGTGTTATGGTATTGGGTTTTCATCTACTACTTACCGGTGCTTCTATTCATAAAGAGAAATCCCGCTGGATTCAGTCCAGTGAAATTGAATACAGAGAAAGAGAGAAAGAGAACAACTTATCATATGCTTCTGTTGCGATAGCTGAGCATGTATACCGAGCAACAAGTCATACGTACAACTGTGCTATTCAGGGCAAGAGAATACGCTGACAGGAAGCCTATTTTTTCAATACTTCTAGTACTTGTGGAAGAGAAGGAAGCGCTTGCGATTGGTTGTGCACTCCAAAATTATAAAGACAAATCGGTTTAGCTAGAACCATGATATGGGAAAGAAATATGGCACACAAAAGAAAGTGTGACTTAAATGCATTAACATAGAACCGTAACACTTGACATTTTTGTTCAACATGACCTCGTCCTCCGTCCACCCGGATCTCTAATATCACGCCGGTATCACGCCAATTAAATGTTAGGATGTACGCAGCATACGCTTGGCATTCTCCTCATATAAAAGCATGTCAAGAAATCGACATACAAAAGGCGTACAAAAGGCGTACCGAAAAAATAACGAGAACATCAATCTTAAAAGCTCAAAACAAGTATAGTATTAGTAGAATGTAATAACAAAAGGGCCGACGACTCTATATCTTGCTACTCATATTTATTAGTTCAGATTTGCAAGTGACACGAATGGGCGTAGTGTTGTCGATGATAGTAATTGTGATGATGGTCACAAAAATAGCGCAATCATAGGTATCTCACATGCTGATAAATATCGGCATAAACACTCTTTGGTCTTTATCTTACTTCGTTTTCTTGTGTTTTTCAAAATGTCCCTACTACAGCATGATTCAGGCGCATTTAAGCTCATATCAAAAACACCAGGAAGTGTGGCTGCAATGACACTGGGTGCAGTTGCCGCTACTTGGCTACTACTATCGTCTTTGAAGCGCGATAGCAGTAAAGAAGGCTTAAAGGAGATACCGACGCCTAAAGGAGCGATACCTTACTTCGGTACAAATGAACTATCTTCAAGCATAGTGTTGTGATTAATGATCATACCATTTTGACAGCTAAACGAATTTGAATTAATACAGGACACCTATTTTCTCTCGGCGAAGTACCAGTTTTGCAATTCAACAAGTGGCATAAGGAGCTCGGTAACATTGGGTTTTGTGTAGTGTATATGGAAAAGACTTCTGGATTAAAAGTCTCGTTTATATCGTTTGTCAATATAAAAAAGGTACTATCATTAGGGTTCGGATGGGAGTCAAGGAGTGGGTCTCCATCAGCGATCCACATCTAGCACACCAGGTTCTCGGTGTTAACACCACGATCACTGCGGCACGACCTCATACAACTTTTCTTTGCGACTTTCATGCTCTTAAAGATAAAGGTATATCTGGCGCGAATCCGTCATCACAATGGAAAAAGACACGGTCAGCAAGTAAGCATCGCGATCCCGCTACTGTAGAATAGCACGTTTTACATAAAATGGCTACGAATATTTTCCACTAAAGGCACCCCATTCTGGTTCCGGTTCTATTGATTTTGTAGCTATCTCTATTTTGTCACCGAGAAACCGAGATCAGCTGGAGAAGCTACATGGACCTGAGGCCGAGCTACTGATAGAGCATCTCGTCAACGCTACTGTTAAGGATGGATCAGTGGCCGTCGCAGATCCGCTTCATTTCGCATCGCTGAACGTCGTGTTCACAACTTGTTTCGGACGTCGAGCTGAGTCAACCGAGGACCCTCTCTTTAAAGAAGTCAGTTTTCTTATGAACCAGACGGGAAAGCGGTCGTCCCCAGCCGAGGAAATTAGCACATTCTTGCCCATTATGACTATTCTAGATATCATATTCCGAAGAAAGCAGGATATGCGCAAGTTCATCTATGAGAAAAGGAATCCCGCGTTCAGACGATATATACAAGATGCAGTCGACAGTGGTGTTGAATGTTTTGCAAAAGCAATGCTGGAAACGAAAGGAATCGATGATTATGATAATGTCATTGTTACTATGGGTTAGTATCCATTACCGATACAACACATATATGTTAAAAAGTGTATGAGGAGACAGTTGGACAAATAGCCAGTATAGCTGACATCTTTATTGTTTTATTAGCTGACGCTATTATTGCAGGCACAGACACCACAGCGGTTTCGCTGGAATGGTCAATGAATATTCTTTGTCGTTATCCAGAGGTTCAAAAACGAATGCGCGATGAGATAGACCAATTCATTCACACCCATGGAAGACTCCCAACTTTTGAAGATCGAGACAGCGTACCGTATTCAGTGTCTGTACAAAAGGAATGCATGCGCTACCGACCAATAACCTTCTTCGGTCTGCCTCATGAAGCGAGTCAAGATAGTAAGTGATGTAAAGATTCAAGAAGCCAAAATGAGCTCTTTATTGACTTTTAAGTTTCTTAGTTGTAGCCAATGGTTATCTTATACCCAAGGGAGCAAGTATTGTGTGTGATATGTATAGCCTCCATCGGAACGAAGAGTTTTACCCTGATGCAGAAAAATTCAAGCCGGAGCGTTATCTTGGCGATCGCAAACCAATGTATACGTCGGCCAATATGCCTGCGAATGTACGCGATCACTTTAATTTTGGTTGGGGAAGGTACGATACTCAAAAGATCTTGATCGCTACGACGTTGTAAGCTCCACGTAGTTACTGATGTGTATCTATATTTATATTATAGGAGGGTGTGTCCCGGCGCGTATCTGGTAAGATCTCTCGTCCACTCATCATAAAATTTGGTTAAAAGGAGAAATAAAAGTGTTCTAATCACTTATAATGACTCTTTTGGTTATGTAGGCTGAACTACAAATATTTAATGTGTGGGTCAGATTGTACGCAAAATGCATTATTGAGCCGCCTGTAGATGGAGATGGGAAGCCCAAGTACCCAGACATCGAAAACGTCTTTAATGCAGGTATCACCATGAAGCCATATAAGTCTGCATTGCGTGTCATTAAACGTTCTGATGCGTTGATTTAATCATCCTCAGTAGCAACATGTATATCTTAAGAGCATTAAACATCCTATCTCAATTTATTACTTTCTCAGTAGAGAGAGAGAATCGACTTTCTTACTGCTTTTTCAGTTACATGTTTGAGAGCATTTACACTGTGGTAAATAGCCTTACTGCTATGCTGTATTTACAGTACTTATACTTGGTTTTCTGAGAACGGAGGGGGCAACAAGAAGAAAAATAGATATATTAAACTACAGAACAGTTTTCTCATCAGCTGAACGTAACTTACATAACAATCGATGGCCACAATTTATTTAGCACATGAAGTAAAAAACGAGACCACGAGCTCAGATATATAGATTATCAGCTAACACCTAGTTGTAAAGTAGAAACCAACTCGTTTGATAATCTTTGTAATTCTTACTGTTACATAGCAGCATAGTATATCAGACAACAGGTTGGATTAGCGAGATTGTAAAACATTTAAACAAACATACATACGATAGCTATTTAGTTTTACTGTTGCGACTGTAAAAACCCTTGTTGATGTACCATGATACTGACGTATTAGTGTTTTGTGTACCCTTACTTAGCCACGTTCAGAACCGAGCATACCGAAGCTTCGTGCAACTGTCATAACCCAACACAGCGGTAGCTATTAGTGTACAGTACAGCAGAAGAAAGCTGGGATTTACGGGAAGACAGTGTTGTTTACACATCAGCTAGTTAAAAGAATGGCATGACCGGTTTAGTGACCTGGGAGCGGCGCAGGGCTCACGATATCTGCTCCTTACAACTATTCATGATAGGGTTTAGTCCCCGCGGCTGCTGGCAAGCTGTTAATGATGTTTATTTTGATAACAACCACGTTACACCTAATACACCCTGTTTGATACAGAGCCTCCTCTTGTTGTTTTTCTCGTGATCTGGTATAAGTTGTGTGTATCCGGGGTGATACATAAACAAGATATGCCGAACGATAGGAGTATGTAATATCGACCATTCTTCGCTGACAGTACATTAAAAAATGCAGCGATAAAGAGACGAACATGTGGCAGGACTAAAGCAATATAACCCAGATACTTTTACCAGCGATGAGATTGAAACCATGGTGATTGTTGTGAGACTAAAATGAAGATATAGCCTGAAGGTGACACCGAGAGGCTTGATACGATCAACAATTTAGTAGAAATAATGAGCGTCGAAAAACTAGATTTCTGCATACTTTTTCTTTCTACGTTTCTAAAATGGCTCTGCATCGCGACTCAGACTTACTCAAAACCGTATCGAACTCCCCTGGAAGTGCAATTGCAATAACGCTTGGTGCTGTAGCTGGAGCATATCTACTGGTATCATCTTTTACGAGTGGCAACAATAAGAGCGGTTTGAGAAAAATACCATCTCCCAAAGGAGCCATACCATACTTGGGTACGCTATAATTGTCAGTCGAAGGTATATTACGAGATAAATTGGTCGACTTGATACTTAAAATCTTGCAGGTCATTTGCTTTCACTTGAAGAAGTGCCAGCTACTCAGTTTAACAAATGGCATAAGGAATTAGGTCAGAGCCCTTTTGCACATCGTTTCTTGAGGAACAAAAATTCGGTCATCGTCCAAAAGTTGATGTGTGTATTTGTCATATAGGTCCTATTATAATGGTTCGGATGGGGGTCAAGCAGTGGGTCTGCGTTAGTGAGCCTCATCTTGCACATCTCATTTTCGGTGTTAATGGCAAGTACACATCAGCTCGGCCCCATACAACATTTTTATGCGATTACTATGCTCTCGGAAGCAAAGGTATCGTCGCCGGCAATCCGTCAATCCAATGGAAAAAAACACGCGGTGCTAGTAAGTTCTCTATGCTTCTGTGCAACATAAATTCGTTGCTCTGCTATCAGTGTCAACTTACTGATCCACTATCTTTCTATTGATCAGCACTACAAGCGCTTTCACCAAAAAATCGACATAAACTCGAAAAATTGATACATCCCGAGGCCGAAGAAGCCGTGCAAAAGCTACTGGCGGTCACAGCTCGAGACGGCTCCGTCGATGTATCTGACCCCTTCCATTTTGCATCATTGAACGTGATTCTGTCTACCTGCTTTGGAAAAAGGGCCAAATCCACCGAGGATCCTCTGTTCCACGAAATCACATACCTTATGGCAGAAGGTGGCAAGCGCTCGTCACCGGCGGAGGAAATGAATACTTTCTTGCCCATTACAGCGGTCCTAGATGTGATATTCAGAAAAAGACAGAATATGGACAAGTTTATCAGGGAGAAAAGAAATCCAACGTTTAGACGGCTTATTCAAGAGTGTTTGGATAACGATGCCGATTGCCTTGCAAAGACGTTATTTGAAATGGAGGATGTGAATGAGTATGAAAATGTTTTGGTCGCGTTAGGTTAGTGCCATTAATGAGGATAGAAAGCTATGCACTTGTTTATAAGGGAGACGTCACCGAAACTAACGAAAAAGCATTGGGGGGTTTTCACTAGCTGACTCTATCCTTGCTGGAACAGAAACCACTGCTGTGATGCTCACGTGGTCAGCGATGATTCTTTGTCATCATCCAGAAGTACAAAAGAAAATTCGAGGCGAATTGGATCAGTTTGTTCGTACAAGCGGAAGACTTCCAACATACGATGATCGTAACAGCCTTCCATTCTCAATCTCTGTGCAGAAGGAATGCATGCGGTTCCGTCCTACAACATTTTTTGGTATACCTCACGAAGCAACTGAAGATTGTGAGCACGAAAAATGTTTTCATTATTTCTATTTTTTTTTGGCTCCATTGAGACTGATTCATATATATTAAACAGTCGAGGTTGATGGTTACCTTATACCTAAGGGAGCAAGCGTTGTATGTAGCATGCATGCTATTCACCGCGACGAAGCATTCTACCCTGACGGAGACAAGTTCATACCAGATCGGTTCCTCGGAGATATGAAGCCGATGCACACTTCAGCAAATGCGCCGCCTGCTGAAGGGCGAGATCAATTTAATTTTGGATGGGGAAGGTAAATAGACATGAAAATGACCGTTATCAAGACGTTGTGTAAAGTATCAAGTACTTACTATTCTGTTACAAATATTAGACGTGTTTGTCCAGGCGCTTTTCTGGTACGTGGGACAAAAGGCTTCTATGATAATGATAACGATATGCCGGTATATTAACGTGGCATATATTGATACACAATGTAGGCCGAATTGGTGATCTTTAACGAATGGGTAAAACTATTCTCGCAATGCGTAATCGAGCCTGCTCTAGATGAGAACGGTGTGCCTGTATACCCAGATTTGGACAAGCTTGTCAATGCAGGTATCGTCACTCCGCCCACGAAACCAATAATGCGCGTAGTCAAGCGTACAGATGCTTTAAATTAAATATACTAGAGCAGTTGCTTTGTTGTATATTTGTGACATAAAATATAAACAAATCGTTTGATCATTTCACTAAGCATTGATTTACCATTTATTAAACAAGATAGTGTTAAAGGAAGATAATACTAATAATGGGACGCAATTAGTCCGTTATATTTGAAATTATTCCACCCGCCGTTATATGCCCTTTTGAAAAAATTACTATCATAGGGCAGAGCATGTTACGCTGAGAAATCCGAGAGGTTTATATAACCAAATACAGCACGTAAATATGCAAACTTTGTTGCCGTGGAGTAGTGTTGACATTTGGCGACAGGTCTATAAACAAGGAAGTAAGCAGACAACACAACTGCCAACTACTACGAGGAAAGCGGGCCGCCATGCCACATCGTGAACATTCTACATGATTACATCTTTTGTACTTCCCTATACTAGCACTGTATGCCGCATTTACCGTACGGACGGATCATCTTAGTCGAACTGAGTTGTTCATCGCTTCACTCATTATTGAAATAAATAAACATGCAATAAGTGCTTACGGGTGTTGAATTCAGATATATAAGGCAGTGAACCCTCGGTGCAGCGAAAGCTATGTATCAGCTGAAATATTGATACCTAAACTTTATTAAGAATGACTACTATTGCAAACCATGACCATAGTATATGTCGACGACTCTATATACACAAATAGCGATTATTGTACATGTAAAGCCTATAATATTGACAGTTGATGACACCCATAAAAGAGTGCTTGATCTGTGATATAAGTAGTAACCTATACATGGATGCTTTTCCTACGATAGCGATCCATCACAACAGTTTTAGGGCCGGACAACAAACAGATCAGAGCCCCGCCGCTGTGGGTTGATGTTTATGCTTTATCATCGTTCTGAAAGGTTTAGGCACGGCTAAAGGTGATCGGATCGGATTCTAAACAGTGCGATGAGCTCATGTGAGAAATGAATGCAGATCTGCGCATATAAAAAGGATGGGAGCTCGAAAACCAGGTGCCGGGAATCATGATCTTTTACTTTTTACGCCTTTACAATGGGCAGGATCAAAGCTGCAAAATGCCATTCAGTTAGCACATCGGTCCAGAAATGGCCGCTGACAAGGGAAAGTGGACGGTAGCAATAACGTTTGGGGTCTCGCAACTCCATATTGTCTCGAGCGATGTTCAGTACGATCAGCACGACCGGATTTTCCTTTTTACCACTTCAACCAAAACAAGCTTTGTCGCTCATAAAATAATTGGAGATACGAGAAAACATATTAACGAAAACAAGAGAACTCATCACGCAACAGCAGCAGCATCTTTAGCCGTATTCCATGCCAGGTGCATCATTTACTGAAAACTCTGCCTACATCATTTTAGCGATATCCGCTTAAACTAGCATATCGTACTGCGATAAACTTTTTTTAGCGAGTATTCAATAGGTAACCCCGGGGTTTCCAGTCGTCGGATGCAACAGTAAACAAAAAAAAAGACACCCCACGCATATACTACGCATGATAGTGGGTTGAATCGGTTGTACGTTTTGGAGCTTCGGTTTGCCTGACAGCTCGGGCCAGCTATTAGGATAACCGTTTTTGTACATTGAAAATGGAGTCCGCTCCTTAAGTTTTAGCCGATGGTTGTTTCCTTTGTTTCCTACAGGTGAATGAAACCAATTTAGTTCGGCGGATAAAGAAACCCCACGGGGCAAAATAAGGAACAGTGCACTACATCCGACGGATTGTAATTCTACCGTACCGTTACGTGAAGAAAGTAGCAGCCTTTATACAACAGTAAACATTGAGATACTTTTTACATGGACATGTATAAGCATGTCAAATAAGCCCCACGATCACCGTACCACTTGGCCGTTGCTGACTTTGAATCCATCTATAACCTTGATCCACTTGTCCGGATGGACAATAACGATCCAGTGACTTTTCTCATACCACCGGGGATGGGGTCGACAGAGAGCTTGAACGTCATCTGCCGTAGAAAACAGTGAAACGAACGGCATATTCGGAGTAACAGTTTAGAAGGAACCCCACAACAACCAAAAACCAAACAATATTCCGTCTCACTCCGCACATACAGCTCAATGGAGTGTCTCCTGCTTAATGCCAGGTCCCGCCCAGAGCGCGTCTCGCCTAAACACATCCAGCTTCATGTCCGACCGTCGTATATAAACGGACACCGGATGTTCAGAATGGAATACTTTCATCTTTTTCTTTTTTTCTTTTCTTTACTTCTCCACATCCAAAGATGGCTTCTGTCAGTGCTGCTTTGAAATCCCGTGTTCGTCGCCCACAACTCCTCAACAAGGTCATGAAGGCCGAGGAAACCCTTCCCTACTTCCAGAATGGCCAGTAAGCTTCGTTCTGCCATTCCATCCTGGGATGCTTTGCAGAGAAAATATGCTCAATTTCTAATCATGGCGACTAATTAGATACCTCGGCTGGTCCGGTTTCACTGGTGTCGGTTACCCCAAGATGATCCCTACTGCTCTTGCTGACCACGTTGAATCCAACAACCTCCAGGGCAAGATGAAGTTCAACCTTTTCGTTGGTGCCTCCACCGGTGCAGAGACTGAGGACCGTTGGGCTGGTCTCGACATGATCGACCGTCGTTACCCCCATCAGGTCGGTAAGAACATCAAGAAGGGTATTAACGAAGGTCGCATCCGTTTCGCCGATAAGCACTTGTCAATGTTTCCTCAGGATCTTTTGTATGGTATGTAACACAAAAAAAGCAAGATAAAGAAAGGTTCGCAAATGTTGGTGACAATACTTACGCGGGTGATCTTTAGGTTACTACACCAAGGACAAGGCCAACAACAAGCTTGACGTTGTTATTGTCGAGGCTACCGCTATTACTGAAGATGGTGCCATTGTACCCGGTGCATCTGTTGGTGCCACTCCCGAACTTCTCCAAATGGCTGACAAGGTCATCATTGAAGTCAATACCCGCATTCCTTCGTTCGAAGGTCTTCACGACATTGTCATGGGAGACGCTCCCCCTAACCGCAAGCCCTACTTGATCATGAGCACCGAGGACAGAATCGGCTCGGTAAGTGACATACCGGGCAGCTGGGTCTTGCCTTTTTTTTTTAACTCGCTTTGGCTATTTGGAGAAAGGTGATGGTAACACGTTTGCTGACTTTGCAATTTTTTTTTGACAGACTGCCATCCCGATTGATCAGGATAAGATTTTGGCCATTGTTGAAAGTGATCGTCCGGATAACACCGGCCCCAACTCGCCTTCTGACGATACCTCTGAGGCTATCGCTGGTCACTTGATCGATTTCTTGAGCCACGAAGTCAAGCAAGGCCGTCTTCCCGAAAACCTGCTGCCTCTTCAGTCCGGTATCGGTAACATTGCCAATGCCGTTATTGGCGGTTTGGCCAAGTCGCCCTTCAAGGATGTCACTGTGTAGGCATAAATTTCCCTTCCCGTGATTTCCCGCGCAGTGTTTGGACAGCGTGGTGTGGTTTATTATTAGGAGTTTGAGCATGAAAATCACTGGGTGAGCATGAGAACCTAATCTGATAAATTGCCCATTCTTATTAGCTTCACTGAGGTGTTGCAGGACACTTTCCTCGAATTCTTCGACTCTGACAAGCTCAAGTTTGCCAGTGCTACATCGATCCGTTTCTCGCCAGAAGGTTTCGATCAGTTCTACAACAACTGGGAACAGTACAAGGATCGCTTGTTGTTGCGCTCGCAGCAGGTCTCCAACTCTCCCGAAGTTATCCGTCGCTTGGGCTCCATTGCCATGAACACCCCTGTCGAAGTTGATATCTATGCCCATGCCAACTCCACCATGGTCTGTGGCTCCGGTATGCTCAACGGTCTTGGTGGCTCTGCCGATTTCTTGCGTAACGCCAAGTTGAGTATCATGCACACCCCCTCCGCTCGTCCCTCCAAGAAGGACCCTACCGGTATCTCGTGCGTTGTTCCCTTCGTCACCCACGTTGACCAGACCGAACACGACTTGGATGTCATTGTCACTGAACAGGGTCTTGCTGACTTGCGTGGTCTCTGCCCCCGCGACCGTGCCCAGGTTGTCATTGACAAGTGTGCACACCCTGACTACAAGCCTATGCTCCAGGATTACTTTGACATGGCTACCAAGAAGTGCTTGGCTGCTGGCCGCGGTCATCAGCCCCACATGCTTGAAAAGGCATTCAAGATGCACACCAACTTGATGGAGAACGGTACCATGAAGCTCGATTCATGGTAAAGAAATTACACAACACCAACGAAAAGTAATCGCCTCAACAACATAGAAAAAAGCATATCTATTTTACAATTCTCCTCCCCCGGTTTCCATCTCATTGCAATCACCTTGTACATATATCATTCTGTAAACTCAACAATAAACCACCGTTTAATCGGTTATTGCTGGAACAAAATCTTCTTCCGGGATATAATATGCGCTATCCTATAAGCTATAAATGATGCTATCATCAGGTTTTCTTGCAACGCATGCTTTTACTGACTAAAAGTATCTACTAGATTGTCATCGAACTTTGCTATTTTTACTGAAAGGCAAATATCAAGGCGCACGCATCACACAACTCATCATTTAGATGGCGCTGCAGGTACTGTTTGTGATTGTGTAAAGTAACATATCGCGCGCGCTTTCTTATTTGGTTGATAAATAATTGCATTGAGCAGCACACGGACGTCGCACACAGTTGGAGCAATTTTCTCTATATACATTTCTATAAAACCAACTGAGCATGAGAGCAAAAGCGACCATACAATTCGCATCATGTATCAAGATCTCACGCAATGAAACTTCATATGTATCGCCAGTTTGCTACGGACGAAATGCTATCAAGACTTTCAGTACCGTAATTGCAACTGCTGCTGGGAAAAAACTTCTCAACATATGCATATTTCGCCTAGTCTTGTGTTCCTGGAAAAAGCACAAAACAGGCAGTCAGCAGCAAATATGCGTCCGCCTTCAATCCGAAAGATTGGATCGTAGCAAAGTATCAGCACTGATTGTCTTCATATGATTAACAAAAAATGAAAGCGTACATATGATACCTAATATGCATATTCCAATATCTTTTCAACCAGACATCGTTATTATAAAGCTTAGCGTACTATGTGCTTTGACAATGGACTTACAAAAAAGTGCAATAAATTGATAATTGTTATTCTTTTCTTGAAAAGATCTTTTCACGCAAACTAAACGCACAATGAAACAGAAACTCCTCATGTGTTTGTACTGATACGTGGCTTCGCCAGGTTTAATAGACCATGTAGAGATGCGGACATAGAGCTACTACCGGTATCATGAACAGCATCACTTGCCTAGGTTTATCGGCTAGTGGCGCTTCATTTCACTTTTTAGGTCAATAGCGAGCCCCACGGGTTTTCATTAGAATTATCATGCGCTTCTTTGAAAAGCTTCTCTAATGATACAAAGGATTATCGATAAAATCCATTAAAGGGAAAATCCTTTCATCATCCCAGTGTTATAAAACGGCTGGACCGAAGCGCAACAAGATCTCCAAAAAAAAGGCAGATATAACAATCGCATAAAAGAAACAATCCAAACCGTATCTAAAAGAAGCAACCTCCGATCTTTTACATACTATTGAAAGCAATGAGATTGTCTGCTATATCACCCCCATCGCATTGATCTTGACTTACCTTATGCTATCTTCCATGTTCTTGGTTACTGCTCGTGCGGTCACTACTACCCAAAGAGAACAAGCGACGGAATATCTCGAAGCTCTTGCATTTAAACTAAACGGTTCCCTTCCATCAGGTATGGAACAACGAGGTGGAATGGCGTTGAGCACCACCAGGTTTCCCAGTCCTGTCAAGGATGCTTTGGATGGACTGCTTGGAACGAGTGTTTGTGAAGCCAGTCATGCCGAGATCGATGACCCTATTTTCTACACCAAGTTGTCTACTGCTGCCTATTGTCGTACAGTCATTCTTTGGGCATATCTAAACGTAAGCATTGTGACAATAGCCTGAAGCTTATTAAGACATTCAGCATTCTTTCTTCGGATACCAATGCTATGGTTCTGAGCGATGGTCAGCAAAAGACCGTTTATGTCGTTTCAGAGGTGATGATTTGTTCTTCTATTGCTGTCACAACAAAAGCACGTCTTTCACATACATGATACAATAGTAGTTATGCACTGCTGCAAACTAACAGAAAATACGCTACTAGGTTAGTTGAACGATGGAGTGCATTATATCCTGCACGATCTTCACTATGCACTTCACAGGTCGAAATATTTTTTTAACTCTTACTGTATAGTCGTATCTGCATTCGACGACAAGCACAATGATGCTTAAAATCTGTTCTGAATAAATATTCTGCGCGTATGCATAAGATTGCTTTCTTGTTATTTTCAAGATTTGACCCATATTACTTATAGTAGTTTTACTAAGACTATGAGTAACTGCAAATTCATTGTTACCATACGCACACCAAAATTACTGCTGCATACGACAATGATAACAAAGTTATTATATGTCTTAATATTTCAAGACAAAAACGAACACAAACCAGAGGGAAATCATAGCTTGTAGGTATGATATATCAGTTGTGCAGCACCAAACATTTCGATGGCAAGGAAAAAGGAAAAGGAGTGGGTGATTCTGTTAAGAGCTTTTACCAGCCGTTCGGTACCACAGATGGAGGCGACATAGCTAAATAACGGAGGCGGTGCCGTTGTTGGAGCGGCACATACGCCCCAATACGTGCTCTTCTTGCAGAATGTAGTTGTCCTGGCCCAATAAAAGCTTTTAGTTTGAAGAGAGTAGTATACAGCAGCATCAGGTTGACCCCCGGTTCCAGAGAGACCATTTTGTGGATACCATAGCATCCTTCCCAGGCACCACACTCCTGCTGCTACTCCCCCTCTATAAATCTTCACGATCATTACACGTATAAGCTACTGCTGCTGATAATAAGTGTTACAATACTGTACTTTGTTAATCCATTCCAAGCGAAAGAAACATGCTTCCGATCATCGTGGCATAGGTAAATTCGGAAGCTTGCCGAGAATGGCTTCGTTCATTCTTATGTTTATTGACTGCTACTTTTCTCTTATTGCACTTAATACATCTCTTCTTTTTCATTCAGGTTAGTAACTTGTTGTATGTCTTCTTTTGCAAGGATAAGATAGTCGATTTGCGACAGGAAGGCTCGAGCTTGCCTTTGACGCTATTAAAATGTCTGTTCTGCTCAGCAACATTTTTTGAGAGCTCACAAATTTGTTCTAAACTATGGTGCTACTACATAATATTTCGTTTATTCAACGATGTTTGACAACATAAAAAAATTGGAAAACTTACTCATCAGAACTCATCAGATCTGAATTAGCGGCGCGTACGATTAATGTCTAAGATATCTGTAAATCTTCTTCGATAGCACGTCGTTTTGCTTCTCATTTTACTGTGGGGTTTGCTGGATTCTTTCATAAATTTGCTAATTATACTGGTTGAAGTACCAGGCATCTTAAAATTCGGGTCAAGTCTATGACGCGGTGACGGTCGTTTACGTTTTCGTTAAGTTGAAGAAATACGGTTTTCGATCCTGTCGTAGTGCAAGTTTACATACCCAAATGTTGATGTCTAAAAAATCCGTGACGAGAATTTTGTTGTCATCGCGTTCTTAACCGTAATACATGATTTATCAAGAATCTCACTACAAACAGACATATTGAATAGCTAAAAACTTTGGGAAAAAGATACGTCATTATAACCAAAACGAGATCGTCAAACATAGTTTTGCAAGGTTCATATAGTCCAATGGGGAGAGATACGGTATAATCGAACGTCTCTTGCCACGGCTCAAATTCTTCAAGTATCACTTTGTTGTTTTGCAACCTTTTGGAGAGAGTAAGCCAAAAATTTGCGAAGTGGAGGAGGCTCTGTGACAAAGGAAAAATAACATTAACACGTTTAGACGATAATCAGAGTTGTCAATCGTAACCATTATCACATGAAAATTCAAACTTTCATGCACTGACGCTCGGAAATCCATCGTTCAACTTAGAATCAAAGCACACGCAGATGTACTCATTGCACAGGTGATGCTGTCGATCTGCATGCATGAAATATCACATATAACATTCTGTGGTACTAATCTCTTTATTTCGATCGGTCAGTCCACAAAAAAGAAGAGGTGAAACGAGCCATCTATGAAGCAGTATAGGGTAATACTATATAGCCTCACAAAAAGAATCGAGCTCGCATTATCAATGTAAGAAGGGTCATGTCAAGTAAATATATGGCAGACTAATTGTCTGTGCTTTTTCATTATCCGGCAGGTAATAATATGCTGTCTGCCCTTTCAATGTGACCAAACAACAACGACGAAAGCAATTACAGTTAAGCTTTTTGGTGGCTGTCAGGCATCGGTATAGCGAATAGCTAACGAGGTGGCCTGTCCGTTCTTTATCGTCGTCTTGCTTGATCATATTTCTAAAAATCACTGCCTTTTTTGATCACTTATTAGGTGCTCACAACCACCTCAATTAAATTTTTATAGCAGAGTCCCGTTTTCCCAAATAGGGTGTGTACAAAATTCAACATCGGTTAAATCCGTTGCCATTTTGACGATACTAAGGTGACCTGTACGCGTATCTTCTCATTTCTCTTACCACTTATTTTCACAGCACTTACACTTTTACATCCAACTTTCAAATGAACAACAGAAACACGCATTACCCCAGAATGAACACATTCCGTTTAGCTCAGGACGCTTCTCGCCCGACGTCGCAGCCATTGACTCCCTCACCCTCTACCGAGATCTTCCCGGTCTCCAATGTTGCGCAAAGCAATGAACAGCCAAGCAGTGACAACATTGTCGATGTCTCCGCTAACGACCTCGCCGAAACCCGTTCTGGGAATATCTCTTGAAGCTGTGAGGCTACCACAGTCCTCCTCGATCTCATGCAAACGAGATACATGCTGCTTCTTGGACCGAATGATTCGCTTATCAGAGGTCGAATGTGGGAGAGAATTGTGGACAGCATGAAGGACACTATGCGTGAGGACTATCAGCACATGCCAAACCCGCCATTCAATGTTGAACGTTTCCTTCGGCTGCTCGATGGCGCTCGTGCCCAAAACAAGTGGAGCACGATGAAGACCAAGTACGTCAGCGAACGTAATCGTGTTGGAGATACCGGCATAGGAGGACCTCATCCCGAGGTCAATTGGCCCCACTATGACATAATGGGTGAATACTCAGGAATGACCCGTCCTTTTATCCTCGTTTTGTCTCCGAGTCGATGGATGAGGGTGTCATTGGAGGAATTTTCGGGTTGGTGGGTGACTCTGAAGATCACTACTCGGGTGATGAGCAGCAGGAGCCGCAAACAGTCCCATTGCCAGCATTGCCAGCGACTGCTCTTTCTCCTCAACCGGCACCAACACCCTCTCATTCTCGTCGCGCAATTCCTGGAATTGGCCCTGATCGTCGTAATGTCGTTGACTTAGAGCAGGTGCGTGCAGTATTGGACAGCAGCAACGACGACTTCCGCGACATCATCAACGATGCAAGGGGCGCGTTCGTGAGCAATTTTTGCTTCCAAGCTAGAAGAAGACAGGATGAAGAGAAAGCGAGACCAGGAAGAAGTTAAAGAAGAAAGACGGCGCTACTACTCGCGTCGCCGCATTGAGGCAGAGGCTGCCCACGATCGACGATATACGCGATAATAGCCATGATCAATCGAAATGAAGAGCAAATTGATGAGTAAAACAATAGGAACAACAATGATGCGTAAAAGAATAAACTTGTTATATTTTCCATCGGTTCCAATATTTGAGAGTGGTGTAAGCAGATTTATTTGATATCTCAGTAGATAAACTAGATATAGGTGCCAAAAACTTGAAACACCTATTTATTGAAAGTCATAATACACATTTCCATTTTTTTGATTATCTCTTCTTTACCTTCTGGATCCACGGCGTCTGGTACCACGTCTTGTGTCCGACCTTCTTGTATGTCCTCTCCTTTGTCCTCTTCCTCTCCCTTCTACTTGTCCGTAATCCGAATCAGCTATGGCAGGTACGACAGAATCGACAAGATTTTGCCGGATTTGACGACCTGCTTCCCGTAACTCATCCAAACGCCGCATCTGTCCCTGTTCTGTAAGCACTGGGAAGAGGCAGTACCATCTTGACCACTTTCGTTGACGAAATTTTCGTAGAATTCATCCAAGTTCTCAGAGTCTGACGTTTCTTCATCATCCTCTTCCAAGCAAATGTTGTGTAGAACACGGCATGCCACTATGGTTCTGCCTATTCTGACGTTGTCGAGCATGTACAAATGCTTTCAGAGGGTACGCCAACGGGTGACAAGAGCACCAAAGGCATGCTCTATTTTAATTCTTGTTGATACGCTCGGTTGGATGATTGCGAGGAAATGGGGTAATGACAGTTGGCATCGAGGGAAATGCCGAATCTGACAGACAATTCGTCAGCTAAGTAAGCGATTAAATTAGTTATTCATCACTGAATTACCTGATAATACATACGTACCATTCATACACATGCGTTGAGGCATGTTGACAACGTTCCTGTAGAGTGTGCTCGACGTAATAGAACGAGCATCGTTAACGTGTCTTAAGTTTGCAGCTACATGTAGTTAACAACATGCACTTAAAACAACCACAAATCATTTCGTACCGGATTCTCTTGCCTTTATATACATTTCATAATCGCAAACCGCGAGCAACGGGATAGAAGCGTTGTTATGCTGGCATTTCCTTCATCGTTCGGTTTTTGGATAACTACCAACTTGCCATCCATTGCTCCAATAACACGGGGCAGGCGTGGTTTGGATGCCGTTCCTGGACTTTAAAACCCCTGCGCATTATCTTCCGCACGCTCTGCATCATCCATCGGCCAGGTAACGTATCGGCTCTACAATTCAGACATAGCTTTTATGAAGCGGTTGGTGAAGCTATCAGCGGACCCTTCGGTGATACCCAACAACTCGCTGATGATCCGAAACCCGAAAAGAGAATTGGCGAATCACCAAAGAACTATAGCAACGTTATCTCGACAGGAAAGCCACCTATGATTCTGCTCGAAAGATAAGTAGGCGTAGCTAAAAGTTCGTTAACCAGCCGCTCAAACGATGCACGCGTGATGCGATAGTGAGCGATGAAAGTATCGCGAAAAGTAGCTGCTTGATCAATCAACTGCGGATGTCGAACAGACCACCATCTAAAACTTTCGTAACGGCGTGCCCGCTGTTGACACAGCCTGCGCGTCTGAACGGCTGACATAAATATCGGACAAGCACAAAATATCTCGTAAAACATGTCTTGACAGACATTGCGAGTTTGAAGAGCAGTATTCACGATGAGTTGAGCGAACCATTCGAATGCAATTTGGTGAAGATTGGCTTGTTGTGGCAGCGTTACTAGCATTCGATCCTCTTCCTCCTGCAGGGCAACCATGTATTCGTGATGCTGCTGCTCCTCTGTGACAACAACATTTGCCGTACATTTGGATAACGTTAAGTACATCAAGTAGAAAAGCGATTTCTCTTGCGTCGAAAGTCATTTTTGAAGGTGAAGTAATAGAGCGCGTGTTAAAGCTTTGCAGACATGATAACACTTTGGATTCGGTCATATATTTATCCGTTACCTCCGACGTCACATGATCGAAATTTACTATAAAGAGTATTTCTTTATAGCACATATTGATCAAGGTCATTCAGCATTTACAGGATAGCCACGATGTACTTTGAAAACCCAGGTCACACAGCTGTGTCAAAAAAGTCCAGGATTCCTGGATCTCAGTGTATCGGGCAGAAATGTCAAAACCGAAAAAGACCAAAGTTCTGCATTTGTGTAACAAACTGAGCACTTTTTGCTGCGACTATCTCGATGCATATCTGTGGCTTCAGTTTTTCGAACATACCTCGATGTAAATCTTGTGGCGCTTGCAATTTTTGCAGCGAATTCGCTCTGTAAATCCTGTGTCCAATTGCATCCTTATCTTGTGTCTCGCTATAATCTCGCTGTAATCTTGTTTTTGCAGTCGTTCTCGTTTGCCGGTCTAACAGAAAGTCGGGTGAATGCGCTATGGATTTCACAGCTAACATCATACATGGCGATGACGTTGTTTAAGTTGTAACTTATAGGCAATAACAATAGGATGCATGCTGATTGGTTTATATTCTGCGACATTACATCATAGCTTTACGGCCATAGCACTTGTGTAACCCGAGATTATGTTCAGCAATCTCGGTTTTTGCTGGTATCTGCCCTTTCTTCATGCATGCTACATTGTACGTATAAGTCTAGATCACTAAACAATGATGCGTATACATTATCCACATCGTAGATACATAGTGCATAGCCAATCGGGTATCGTGGCGTGAAGCGAGGTCTTCCTAGTAGCAACGTAGAAAGTGGTTTCTTGACGTGGTACAAAAGTGACGATTGCGTAATGGCGTCAATCCGTCGTAGTTATTTTTATACACTCCTATGTGGTCTCTTTATTTCCTTATATGGCTCATGCGCCAAGGTTAGTTCGTGAATACAAAAGGGCGTCGCCAACACTTCATCTTTTCCTCACCTCTTCTACTTGCTTTCTATTTTTTTTTCTTCACTTTTTATAAATCAAACACTATGGCACGCGTTAAACCTGTTACTGTTACGACATCACTATTTCTCCAACTGCCAACAAGTTCGTCATCACCATCGACCCACAAGAAGAAAACTACAGAAGGACGCGCACTCCATGCCTATTGGGTGCTGACCCGACGCGTCGAAATACTCGAAAAACGATACTTGAAGGCGTGCGTCTCGGGTTCCGGTCGTGAGACAATCAACCGAGCGCGTCAAATATGCGTTTATGCACAGCAGGATATTGACCACTTCCGCTCGGTTTGCAAGCAAAAGTATCCCGACAGAATGGAGTTCTACACCATCGAAGAAATCGAATCAAAAAACAAAGCCTACCGTCGACATTCTCACTAAAAAGAGTACAGCGTGCTCTTTCTACCAGATTTCACTATTGTTATTATTCTCCTTTTTCTCACCATCATATGACAGACTGTATATACATATATCACACCATACCCCATCATTGACTTCATTGTATAAGCATTCCTACTCAAAAAAAGTTCATCTGCATTTTAAAAAACGTTCCAAAATTAATTAAAAATCATGCTTCCTAGTTCCCGGTTTTACTCAATTATACATCTAAACGACTAATGCACATTCATTATTTTGTGACTTATTCATACTGTGTGTGTTCAAGCATAGTAGACTTCACATAGTCATGACAAAGCGTCATCACTAAACATCATAATTAGTTGTCGTAACAGAAGGGCACGCCTTATGTCCCTTGTTCTCCAAACACTTTTGTTGTAAATTTTGCCACTATCATAGATTGTTTGATTTCCTGTCGTTATCTTCATACCTCTAGTGTAACGAGTATGAGATATTCACACTAAATCTTTCAACGCCACATCTACAGCGCTACAAAAATTCATGCTCCTACTTCAAAAGCTACATGTGTAACGGTGCATACCGTTACGACGATTACCAACCTGCATGGTTGACGATCGACAACGCATGGTTGAATATGGAGTAATAAGCGTGGATATTCTAGATAGAAGTATGATGTAGATCAATACTTAGACGATAGCTAGCCCCCTATTACTCAACGTATATATAAAGACGGGACCCTGAGTTATATGGATCCCTATCGTTTTATCCTTTGATATATCCGAGTCTCACCTTATTTATTGATCCACACTGTCTACCCATTCACGTTCCCGATTGTAAGTATCTGGGCCGACACTGTTGCAACATGGGTTAGCACTGCTACGGATCCAGCCAGACAAAGTACCAATTAGCTAATATTAATAGATAGGTAGATAGATTGACTCTACATTGAACAACAGTTCAAGTCCTTCCGTCCAACTCTTCAGCTTCTCTTTCTCTTGGCTTATCATTTTTCGTTCATAATAAAGTGATTATCTTCTTCTGTTATCGAACGTAATCAATCACAGCTGTTGAGCTCCCATATCATCTTTCCTCATAATCACTTATTCATAATAAACACATGTCCAATTCTCTTAATATTTTTGTTTATTTAACGCAATTCATAACCCTTGCACACATTAGAATGTTACAATATGTAGCTTTATTAATGGTGAGCTGTCTAGCAAATCGGAATTTAGCGAGGCAGTATTGTAATTGAGAGTGCCTTGCCGTTTTGCATGAAAACGACACATGGGCGCTGGGCTGCTGCCGGTGGTAGAGGTTAATAGCCTCCCTTACAGAGCACATACTTTTACGACCTACTACCATTATATATCGAGCTTTATATATGGCCAACGTTTTTCGCATTTGAAAAATCAATGTCTGTGTATGAGGGCCCTACTGGGTGGGTATTCCAGGGCATGAAAGACGGATGAATTTTGTACAAGCCAACATAACCATATAAAAAGCCAGCGGACTTTTTGTAAGCCCTTTCCAAACTTGCTACTTTCCCACTCTGCACCATGAACGAAGCTGTGTACGACCGCGTACGTGAACGAGTCAAAGAATACAACCTAAGCGAACAAGAAATCAAGGCAATTGACACTGCCCGACAGCAACTGAACACTCACAGTAAGCAATACATTCTTCCAACAGGTCAATAACGTTGATTTTTTTTGAACGACTCTAACGTACTCAATTTAGCCAGTTTGGGTGGTATGACGGGTGGCCTTGTGGCCTACTTCCTCGGTAAGATCGAATTTTAAGGCAAAGGCACGATAAAAAAGAGAGTAGTGTATGTAGCCTAATTCTGTTCTATAAATAGGTAAACGAAAACAATTTAAACCATTGCAAGTTTTTGCTGTTGCTGCTGGTGGTTTCCTAATTGGTTCCCAAATGGGTCTTGTTTCTGGTTCTTTGGCCGGTGTAAAGACAATCAAACAATTGCCGGATCCACAACGTCTTGTAAACCTTGTGCGCGACGTACAGTAAGCTATGACTCTACTTGAATATGTCAACAACGCATAGATAAATTGAATGCTGTATACGTTTGTTGTTATTATGAACAAATAGAAAGGAAATGATACAAACGCGAGGCCATCCATTACCTCGTGGACCAACACCGCCTCCAGGAGCAGGTGCACCAGGACCTCATGGACAACAACAAATGTCATCTAATGCTACGGGTGATGAGTTCTCCATGGATGACTATAATGATTATGCAAAGCTCGAGAGTGGGTTTGAAAACGACCAAGGTAAAACAAATGGCATACTGCCAGAAGAGATAAAGAAGAGCCAATAGTTTATCTGATGAGTTATGAAACGCAATAGCATTGCCACCTCAACATCCACAGCAAAAACAGCGAGAACCATCGACATCGGACAGTTGGACCAACTTACAGCATGAAAAGGCTTCTTCGCGTCACCAAGAAAGTGCTTGGGATAAAATTCGTACTCAAAATGCACCAGACAGCGCTTGGGCTAAATTACGCGGGGAAGCACAAAAGGATCCAGACGCATTGAATCAACGCAAAATTGCACAAGCACGTGACCAAGTCGCAAAGTCGTTACAACAACGAAGTCAGGATGCTTCAGAAGAATTGCCTCGAACGCGTGAAGAGACAGAACATCGTGGCGGATCTATGCGACGAAATCAGTGGGGCGATCCGATCGAGTAGAAAGAGCAGTAGTCGTCTGTAATTGTAGTTGTTGTTGTTGCTTTTTATTAAACATTTACATACTTTTCTTTTTCAATTCCCTTGTAGAATTACACCACATTATTTTCCCATACACTATCTGTTTTGAAGAATAAAACAATAGCTATTTAATCATCATCGTCATTAATACTCGGATGGCAATGTGGGTGGTGTAGGTGGTATCTGACTCGTACTCTCGTGGGGAGACTTGAGGGATCGTGCAGGTGTGGATGGTGGAGAGGTATTGATATCTCCAAATAAGCCATCAACGTCTACTTCGAATGCCTGGGAGTGTCTTGCATGGGCACGATCCAGCTCGTGCAATGCTGCAGCGGCTGTCTGTGGGTGATGCACATTAAGGTCGTAATAGTTGAAGTTTCCACTAAATATAAGGTCAATTTCTTCAAGTGATTTTCCCTGTGTAATTTTTTTAAGAATGCATGAAATGGATCAGTGACCGACTTGAATTCCCTTAGCTCACCCTTCTTCGTCCCTTTCCCCCATATCTCAGCAACTAACCATTGTTTCTGGGAAGTAGCGCTGAACTGCGAATGCAATAACGGCACACAGCACTGCATATGCTACAAAAGTTTTCCATCGTATCGTCGTGTACATGATTGGGGTTATCTGAGTGACTCCGTAATTAAATAGCCAATTGGCTGCTGTAGTCAATCCGAGCGCTTGCGCACGGACATCTGAACATTTTGTTTGGTAATTCATCAACATTAGACAAACCGTATACACTACTTGTAGCCTCCTTTTTCAAAGTTACCTTGAGAATAAAGCTCTGTTGGAAAAATCCAGCCAGCAGGTCCCCATGACAACGCATAGCACGCAATAAAGAGGTAAATGACGACAAGAAACGCTATAGATCCACTGTTTCCCTCTTCGCCGTATGGTACCGATATAAGCTTTTCGGTTTCGTGCGCAGCCTGAAGCTCATCCACAGCAAGCATGGCCGTAATTCGGTTGGTAATCCCGGTTACTTGTCCTACAATCGCCATAACAACCGTACACGCGCAGCAGAATATGCTGCCGTATACGAGGGTGGGCCGTCTACCCCATCGGTCGATCTAAAATCTTTATCAGTATACCTAGTTTGGCTTACAGATAATTTCAACGGTTCTACCAAAATGTGAATCACAAACACTTATACAAATCCTTCAGATACGACGTACAATGAACATGGGTGGTATCGAGAAAGCGAAGTTGATCACACCACTGATACAGTTGGCTTTTTTAAATTATATATTAACAGATTGAAATTGTAACAAAAGGATCTTCCTTGAAAGCTTTTTGAACACCACCCGCTCTTCATATGAAAAGAAACTTACTACATACCTAACAAAGTGTTACGCCTACCACGAATTCCTAGGGCCTGAAAAAGCTGTGGTGCATATAAACTAAAAACAGCAAAATCATTCAGCACGTACATGATACATCTTATAAGATCCAAAAATACGTACAATAATGCGTTGGCCCCCGTGAGTTGCTGAAATATCTGGACGCCCATTCCCAGCAAAAGCCGTTTCCGATGATTCTCCCATCCTTTTCGAAACAGTCGACCAAAATGCTTTGATCCATATGTCTCTTCAAAACGTATACTCTGTTTAATCTCAACATATTCCATGAGCACGTCAGGATGGTTTAAGCTTCCGTCGCCCCGAATAAAAGCCAAAACCTCCAGAGCTTCCCTGTCCATGTGCTTATGAATCAAGAATCGTGGGCTATAGACGTGAAGGCATAAGTGATGTTGGCATATGTGATTTTGATGCACGCTCGCGTTGAATTGGTCAGGTAAAGTACAGCGAAAAAGAAAAATACAGACCTTCTAGGCATCAACATGATCCCAATCGCATATATCAAAGCAATAATCAGTGGTATGCCCAAAGGTAATCTATGGATTCGGGTTGAGACTTGTGCACTTAAACTATCAAATTTCTCCTCCCTTATGCTCCGAGCTACAATAACAAGTATTCTGTGCATGTAAATTCGTTACCTCCATGACAAAGAACTATCAATACCGATGAAGGCGTACCCCATCCAGTAGGACACACATATTCCAGTTGCTATAGCGAATTGTTGAACGGATACTAATCGACCACGCATATTTTTCGGAGCAATTTCCGATTGATCTGATAAATAATGCAAAAGGGCCCCGTTTAACAAGATCATCTTACACTTTCCCCAAACGTCCCTTTCACCGCACAGTCCTTACATAGAGGTATCACCATGGATAACATCCTATATAGTAATATTGGCAGCCCCCCCCCAAATCAGCTCAGCATATTAGAAATATAATTCTTTTTTCATAGACATGTCCGTATGCAACTCCAATTGAGAGACCAAGATCAATATACCCGAGACTGATGCCCGTCACTACCCGACCAGCGTATATTTTGGCCAGATCATCGGCACCAACTTGCAAAAGGCCGCCAAGTGAAAAAATGACAGTTGCTAAGCACATCAAGCCACGGCGCCCCACATGATCGGCCAGGTAACCAGAGCATAATGCGCCGCCAAAAGCACCCGCCATCATGGTGCTCAACAAATACTCGGATATGTTCCGAGCATTCAGATCGGATTGAAAGTAGGGCATTGTCATCAACCCTGTCAGTATTCCAAATTGATACCTAGTAACATAAGCGCATACACATCAGCATCGAAGCCCAAAACTTTTGTGGTGAATGCTACCCAGCAAAAACAACATTTACCCAAACTGTCAGATAAAGAGAAGAATTCGCTGATTAGGTGCTCTGTTATATTTTTCATGCAATTTATTCTTTTTTACCCCGCATTTCCCCACACATCATATCTCTCCCTCCATAGGAACATTGCTGTAAACTTTACCAAAAAACCGCCTATGGCTGCAAAACTAAAGGAAAAGTGGGGTTGTTTTATTTTACTTTCTGACTTTGTTTTTGTGACATGTAGAAATTGCATCCCCATTCTTTACTTACCTGCAAACAAAGTATACGCGAAACTTCATTGGCAACCATGCGAGGTGCTGTAAAAACTTCAGCTTACATTTTCCCTGATCTCCTACTGGCGGACCGTTTGTAAGCGTCAATGGCGCATGGGATACAGCCAAGCGCGGTTCAGTTCTTTGTTGATCGGTAGACAGGATTGCTGCAGAATCAAGGTCGTTTGCTATAGTTGGCGTAATCGTCTATGTGTATGTTTTCTTCTTTTGTAGAACCGATTCAACAGCTAGCAATATGAAGGTATAGTACTTGTTTTTTTGCGAATGAGCATATAAAAAGATAGATATGGAGAGGGAGAGAGACAGGCTTGTTTGTGTTTGGAAAAAAAACAGAATAAAGTTAAATTCACCGATTCAAACAATTAACTTTTTTTTTGTCTTTTCTTAAAAGTGCTAAAGTGCGTTGGCTTGTTGCCTAAGAAGGAGAAAAAGAATAGGGAACCGGAAAAAACCCCATGCAAAAGACCCTCTCTCACTCACTCTCTCCGTGGACTTCTTCCTTTAGCCAGAATTACACTGGCGGATGCTGCATTAAATCGAGAGGGAGATTTTCTGCATATCGACATACGGGCCAATGAGGGTGCGTCAGGAGGCACCCCTCTTATCTCTTCTTTTCGTTGAATATGCATGACAGCATATCTAGCTATAAAAAAAGTCCAGGAGATCACACAGGAAGCGATAGATACAATTCAAAAGAAGTGTCAGCAAAGGAATGGGTCTGGGATTGCGTGAGTAATCATGCACTATAGTGTGTGAGAGAGAGAGAGGGTGATATCGTTTATTATTATTCACCCATTATCACACCACGGGATGACACGCTTGTTTGTAAAGGTCATAAATATAAAGCAATGTACAGATCCTTCTTATGCATGTGGAATTAACAAATCAAGCCCTTTTGCAAGTGCTCATACAACGATGCTTCTTACAACGTGATATGACACGTCTTCTCGAATAAACCATCATCACAATTGTCATGTGCATATAATATTTTGAAGCAAGAATACGCTAAGTTAAAGCAGTCTACATCATAATAATCACTTCTTTGCCCGCCTAATGGGTACCAATTAGCAGCCAGCAGCATGACCTATCACCCACATCAGTGGCTATGGTGGTCAGACAGCAACAGCAATGCGCATAGCTGTTGTTATCGTGCCGCTTGCTCCTTGAAACTGACCTTTTACCAACGTTTTACATGTGGTGTACCAGGTTCTATTATGACGAATCTGCCCTGAACATCACGTAGTACTGCTTCCCTGCTTCTCCTGCTTGCTTATCACCAAAAAGAACGACTAGAATAGTAGGCGCACGATTGCATTAATCTGTAATTAATCAGGTATAGCGTACAACATACAAAGAGTGATAAATGGCATACATATATTCTGCTATATACATACGGGCCCGAACGAAAAAAGGGCATTCATACTTTCTGTCTAACATCTTTATGACTTCCCAGTGAATCTCACTACCGCCATCTTCACAGCAACAATGGAAAACCCTGTTATGATTTCTTTCTACCAGCTATGTTCCCGCCGTAATCCAGATCAAGGATTCGAACGCGTAAATGTGCGACCAAATAAGGAGCACCGTCGGGCCACCATCCGTATCGCCGCTACTACTCTTGCTACTGCACGCAGAGCTGATGGTATGGTTCAATAAATGCAGTATCTTCGTGGTGTGATGATGAGACTGATATGCATTTAATCTTTGCTAATCATATCTGTCGTCAATGGAATAAGTAACGACATCGAGATGAATATCGATTTGTACGATCTTATGGTAGAAGAAGATATATCAATCTCAATTGGTCCAAGGTAAATTCGCTGTAATACTGCTCATTATTATATCATGATAGTCGATGCTGTTTTCTTTATCCAGGTAATCTACCAAGCGAGCAATTTGACAATGATGATTTTGACACTGCAACCGCCATAATAAGCTCTGTTGGAATGAACGAAGCTGTCAGCGTAGAATTTGGCGGTGTGGTTGATAACCACATAAGTCATAACAAGAGTTGTTGCTTATATCAATGGCCTTGTGATGGATCAACCAACATACGCACCCCGTCCAAATGCCTTAGGTCAACTTCCTCTAGCCTTGGTGTTTGTTTTCGTATTCCCGGCGCTCTTCCAGCTACTTCCTATTTCTGAGCGCACAGGCATCGTCCTCATCAATTTGTCACCACGTTGATCACCACCATGTCTTCTGACGTGTCGCCCTTTCATTTCCCAGAGACCATGCATGGCCTTCGAGGATGGATCGCTTTTGACAATCTTACCAAGGACCTCCGAATGTATAGTGCTTGTTCGTCGTGCCATGCCATATATTTGCATCCGGAGGACCACAGATATGTCAGAAACCAAGTCGGCGAATGGACGGTACACTTTGTGGCATTCAACTGTTGAAGCCAGGTTTACATCAACGCAACCGGTCTCCTATCAAAGAATACGCCTACAACCCACTGCAACAAAGCTTACAACGACTTTTCAAAAGCCCTGATTTCGAGGCCAAGAATGCACAATGGAGATATCGTGTACGTCGACCTGGTTTGTCTGGCGATGTTTATGATGGCATGTGCTGGCGCTCTCTCCATAATCCCAACGACAACCTGCCATTTGTGGAAATTCTGCGTTCCCTTCGTGGATCGCATAGTCAAGCTCTGCTTCTGCAGTATGACGATGTTACTGCTTCGACAGGCCAAGTGCGGTACTATTTGGGCCATCGTCTGCTCCCTAACCAGCAGCGTGAGCACGATCAAAGTAGCAGCAGCACACTGCTAGGCGCATCAGTAGACGTCAACTAACCCATCTCAGCATTAAGCACGACGGAACAAAAACGACAGTCTGATGAAGCCATTTGCGCTGCTGGCTATCTTATAAATCCCATGTGATATTTTATAAATGCAAACGTCCTTTATCTGGTGAGGACTCCTGTACCTGTGGTAGTAAACCTTAATCAGCCGCTGGGCGAGCATTTGGTGATCAACAGCCTTGATGTGTGAGCAGCATTTCACAACATGAAAATGTCGCTCAAAGCAAGAAATAGAAGCTTCCATTAGAAGACAAATTGCTATTGATACTATCATCCACCTCAGTGCTGCTTCTTGATGGGAGCAAATACCCGGAAGAGATGAAACCACGATCAGTGGCGTAGTGTCGACGAGTATATCCAGCAAGCATACGGCATCAAGCGCGAATCCATCCCCCTCGCGACGGCCACACAATTCAGTAGCATCCTTGACTGGTTTATCAACAGACAGATTGGCATCTCTGACTCTATCTGCTATGGAAAAGATACTTGCCAAAGCGATCGGCAACTTGGTTTCCAAATTACCTCTTGCGACTATCGAAGAAAACGTGAACGAGATAAAGCTTTGCTCTCGCTTCATTGATCCTTTTTTGGCCGGTCTATATGATGATCCAGACAATAGTATCTACTTGCGCTCGCTAGACGAAAGCACCTTGGAGGCCAAGGCTAAGGAAGCATCAAGCTCGCCGGCCAGACCTGAGTGTTACCAGTATTTTAGGCGTCAAATGGGCAACGAACCTGGCCTACGATGAAGCCAAATCTGCCATGTATAGCGACGATCACCTTATTATTTGCAAGGATCTGATCAAGGTAGCCAGATTTTGCAAGGACGCTCTCGACGACCAGTTGTTCGAAGGAATTCTGGCGGTACAAATCCTTGGACGAACTGTCGTGTTTTATCTTCTGACGTTACCCGCCCAAAGCATTTATACCATGATTCCTCTGGCAATTATCAAGTCCAAGACAGCATCAACGACTTGCCGGGTTTGTTTTACAAGGTTCCTGATATTGCCAAAGTTTTGGACATCTTTGAACGCGACTGTGTTCGTGCAGCACACCCAGAGACCATCAAGCATCGCTGTGCTCCGACCTTTCTAATGGCAAATATGCAACAGCTCTTTTCCCAGTCCAAGAACCGCAAGAGATATCGTCATATAAAATTTTACCACAATTGATGGATAAATAATTGTAATGGATTGCATGTTTTTTTTAGCTTAGGATATTCTAGGATAGTCAAGTATGGCTTGAAGTCTCGCCGAAACATCTAAACCCTAGGATAGCCTGGACTATCGTTTGAATATTTGGAAAATGGAGGAGGGATAGTAATACCACTCCAAACAATTGCAAAAAATCTTGTAGAAAACAATCTTATTGCGAGCATCAACTAAAGAGAAGAGTTCTCCTTGCTAAAATTGATTCGATATAAAGTGCTCATTATACCCTTCACGTTCTATAGCTTTTCTTTGTTGAGTCATCTGGCAGAACATATTACAGAGTGAGAAACAGAGCCATTGAAGTCTAGGCTCTCTTCCATTTTCCACACAGGAGTTTGGCATCAGAGCGGGGCAAATGGTAGTGGTTGCACATCGTCGGGTAGCAAGTTGGGAGTGATCCGAAAGCATCGAAGAGCTCCTGAAGAATGGGGCGATGATGCTCACATTCAGCATAGCGCTCTCTATTAGCCAGTGGTGTGTCACAGCGGCATCTTGGAGCGGGTACGCTGGAAGCCAATGCATACGCCACTTGATTAAGCAATGTCAGCCCCCCGTGAGAAGGCGGAGAGATAGAGAACACGGTCGATTAATATGGTAGGCCGAAGGCAATGAATGATTTTGTGGGTGTTCTCGCAAAGTTTGAGTTGGTCATCGCGCTTTTGAGCAATGTTTGCCTGAACAGGGTCGTTAGGAGGGTTGGCATCGTGTTTTAACTTCATATAGAGCTTATGAAAGGGACTGTTTAAGGTCAAACGTCGCCAATGTTGGTCACCCATTTTTTCTCCCGCATAAAGGATAGTTCGATGGAGCGTGCCAGCGTGTATAAACTGGGAGTGATCGCAGACGGGTGGAGCGTTCGGTTGCGGCCTTGCATGGATGGTAGGTCGGAAAGCAGCATTGGGACAATAGTGGGTGATATAGTGTCGGCGTTGCCAAATAGGTTATAGCTTTGGACACAGCCAATATTAACTAAGCCCTCTGCGGTCCAGGGACTACGCAGCAAGCATAAAGGTTACAAAAGTAAGGTCATCCGCACACGTCGCTCTTCCTTTAGATTCCTCTTCCGACGGAACGATGATGGAGCTAAATGCGCATACATTTATAATTACAATATGTACATTTGCAGACATACTCGGAAGCTCAGCATCCGACTGTATCAGCAAAGTATGTATGCCGACGGTAGTGCATTTTAGCTCTCCTCCCCCTAAAAAAACCCTCTACTACAACTCAATATGTCAAACAAGTCGCAGTAACAACAACATGCCGGTGTGTACTTTATGCATCTGTTTTATAATCCAACTGTTTCATTTCAGTATGCTTACTACCTTACCTGATGCAACTTATTTTGCTAGATCCTAGAGATTTCAAGTTCATCCCGCCTATTTTAGATTCTTGGCAGACGCCTTTTAGAGTTAAATGAGAAATGATGTCCGTTACTTTGCGGTGTTGACGATCAAATTCCCAACCTTCACTATCTCCTTTCTCGCTTGTTGATAGAAAACACGTTACCCAAGTGTAAGCTAAATGAAGAGATTGCTGAATGATTTGTTTCATTGGCAGTAGGTAGTAGACGCTATCGATGTGCTCTGATTATAAGAATATACTGTAGAAGCGGGAAAAACTAAATCTGATGTTTGTTGTCATCCCAGCTCATCGGTAACGGAATTAAAGTCGGGTTTTTATGCAGGTCCTGTTCTTACTATCCATTAAATTGGGCGGGGAACCTGGCATCATCATTTATCAATGCTAAAGAAACAATTATATAGTAGAAAAGTCTCTATATCTGTTTCACTCGTATGAAGCAAAAAAGAGTAATAAACCTCGATCAACGGAATACTTTATTATCCGTATAGTAGTAGGAAGAAATATCTAAGCCTGAAAAACGTGGCAATAAAAAGAAATTCATGTTTATTTGACACGCTGATGAAATAAGCATGAGAGTGTCGAGAACTTTTACGTAATCCAAATCAGCTCATACTCATGCTATATTTCCATTAAATAAGAGAACCCCTTTTCAAATAAAGTTTAGACTTACGGTTGCCGCATAGACGATTTACCTGAAATGTGCGAATACAGGCAACACAACTAGTAGTTCCTGGTGATGTGATGATCATCATAAGTATCAGTAGAAGGGCTGCTGCGGCATAGTCGTTTATTTTTTGTTCAGCAAGATGCTAAGTAATCACAAATGTAAATGCAAAGTTCAAAGGCTCATTGAAAAGCAAATAGAGTAAAAGCTATTCTTGCTGATTACTGCTTCGGCTCAAGATCAAGTGCCACCACCATCAGACATGCATAAACATAACAAAGAGAGCCGCATGGAACAGGTGTAAAGAAACCATAACAACAAAACAAAAACAAACGACCGATACATATACAGTAACCCAACTGCGACTTATCAAGCACCCCTTTGTTTCCGATTCTTCATGTTTTGTTGTCTCTGGCGAAAACCATATCTCTTTGCTTTGTTTGCTACTAACGTGGCATACAGCAGTTAATAGTTTCCTCTGTGCTGTATGGGAGGACGGAATGGGAGGTGGTGATGTAGTACCAGATAAACTTGAGTTGGTGAATGATCTAGTAGCACTGGTTCAGTTACAAAGCATCTTTTGTAACATGAAAGATGTTTAGCGCCTGACAGTCGCGCATTATTGTCCCTCTCCCTCCCTCCCCCCCCAAACCTAATCACTTCTTCCCCTTGTTCTCGCGTGGCAAAGAGAAAGTTATGTGCTTGGGTAACCTGCACGAGTGTGAATTGCCTGATCGAGTAACACGATAAGAGAAGCAAAAATTGGGGCCAAGGTCAGCCGACATGAGGGAAGCCATTACATTGGTTCTCCTCCGCGCGCTGATGGATCCTCCCACCCCCCATTTTGCATTTTTGCAATACCAATTAAAAATGTTTCCCTCTCACTCCGATTTCTATTTTGCATTAAATAAGAATATATACATATATATAACCCGTATATTTGTTGCTCACAAAGACAGTCTCTTTTTCCTCTTTCTCTCATAACTTTATACTCAACTGCTCATATGTCGATGATAACAGTCCGTATGTCCAGCGCAACCATCAATACCACCACCACCACCACTGTACCTGCAACAGCGACGAACACCACACCGTCCTCCATACCGAATAGACGAAAAAATAGCAGTCGAATCTACCAGGAGAAAGATGTTTTGCTTATCCGAGATAATCCGAAACAGCGTCACCATCACCATCACCACCAGCAAGTCGCATCTTCTCCACCGCGCGGCATATTAGTAACAGACCCAGTGTTATTAACAACCAAGGCAACTGCAACATCAAATCGACCATTACCAAGCGTACTGACCGGTAAATATTACGTCTCGATGTTGTTGGTGACGATCATCTTGCACGATGGTCCATAGTAATGAACCGGATAACACTGACCATGCAAGCTTATGTCATGCAATAGATTTTATGGCTGTAACAATGTGCGACTTGTTGCCAAAACGATATCGACCCAGTCAACGCAAAGTACCTGGCTTATTGTACTTTATCCAAAATGTGACGGCAGAAGCAAACATATCATGTCACGTCGCGATCGTCGCTTTAATTTACCTTGAACGATGCAAGCAAGCTCTTCCAAAGAATGCTACTGGGGATGATGGTATGCTGAATAAATCCTCAGGTACTGTTCATAAGTATAAATTATTAATTGAACTATCTTTTACTTTTTAAAAATAAGATACGGCCCATCGTATTTTCGTCGCTGCACTGCTCGTCGCTGATAAATTTCTGCAAGGCACAACATGGACATCACACAAGAATCGATTAACGAACGCGCGCATGGCCAAGATCTGCTCTATGTATACTCTTGAGCAAGTGAACCAGCTCGAATGCTCTTTCCTGAACCTCATAAAGCATCAATGTTGGGTGAACGATCTCGATGTTCAGAGCTATCTTTTACGGCATCGACAAGACTTGCTCTTATAAACTACTTTTATCTCAATAAGGACAACGCAGGGTGTAGAGATACCGTCACCATCATCATCAACTACTGATACTGGTACTGCTATTACGAACAGGGATCTTTTCTCGTCGATCACAATCATTGTGCATTCATATTATACCCCTCACCCTTCCCCTTTTCTGCTCTCTCTCTCTCTCCTCCTTGCGTATGGTCGTAAAGATGACGATCGCCTCACTCCTCTCTTTACCATCCCACCATTCATTCTTCCTTGCATTTTCCGTTTCCTTGTCACTTCTTCTTGCACTGTACTATATGTCGACACTACCCACCATCTTATTTTATCATCATCCTATATTTTGAGCCTGTGTATATATTTCAGCATTTTACTTGTCGTTGTACTATATCCAAATAGAAATGAGTTTCTTCTCATTCTGCTATTACTATCATTATTTACTAATACATCATCATCAAATATACACATACCCTATCGATCAGTCATCACTATTACCTAATAGTCAAGAGTGTGTCTAGTATAGCTACTGTCGTTGGAATGACCTATTTTTGTTCTAATTGTCTCATGAAATCCGTATGAGCTGTCGGGCTCGTTGCACAACACCCCCGCACGCACCCCGGATAAAACGAGCGTGCTAGAGCGATATGTACATACTTGCCATTATACTCGATACGGGTGTCATTAATGTGGTACAGCACATCATCATTGTTGGGGTTACAGTATCTTCCGAATCAATGCGACGATTGTAACATTGCTGGAGGGGGATGGGTACATATGTAATATGATGATATACTCTTTTTTTCCTACTTGGGTACACAGGCACAGACATATGCTCGCACTTGAATCACCAGCACCATGAATGCGCTAAGCAGACATAGCGCAAATTACATTTCACGTGATCTTTTTTACTTTCAAAAAGATAGAGAAAGGTCGGGTTGGTTCCTATTCGTCAAATACATTATTCTCAATGAACGGAGCAGGCGGGACTCCTCACTTGCCCGCTCTGTTCCCCTTTGTTTATTACATTCGCCATTTTCCCGCCTTTATCTTTTCTTCACTTTTCGGGTAAGCTCAACCCTACTATCAGAGTAGTAGTAGTAGTAGTAGTAGTAGTAGTAATAGTAGTAGCTGGATCATCCCACGAGATGCTAGAAAATGCTATCCACTACTACTATAATAGTACATATCAACAATTTCATTTGCAACCGTGAGTTGATGAGAAGGGCAGAGCTCAGGATGCGTTACATGTTTATAGGTGTTAATAGCAGTTACAACAGACGAGATGAATATCATTTTTTTTTAGCTATGGGCCATCACACAAATGCTTACACACGCACGCGCGTACAATCTTTTTATTACTGCAACTAACTATCTGCCAAGCCGCAAATGATCAGCCAAAGGCCACGAGGAAGTAGGCGTTTTTTCCCTTACACCGTCTTAATAAAAGTTCCGGACGTCTGATACTTACATATGATTTTATTGTTGATTTACTCAAGGCGACGGAGAAAATTGACATGTTATATCATTACTTGTTGACAGCATGACAATAGGGTCATCTGCTCCCCACTCATTGAGTGGATTCTCTCTCCTCCTATTCTTTCGACGCTACTAGAAATTTCCGTCAAGTAAAACTTCGATCACACGACGCATTAAGATATCTCTGTTTTTTGTATTCCAGCCACAGTGGGTGAAGCCTCGCTGCTGCTTGCATGTGCGTACGTGCTATTGTCACAAGCCAGAACGGATGAACGAAAAGGGACCGCATATGCTGATTGTGAATAATTAGCAATTCCTACATAGAATTCGGTAATGTTTCGCACTTTTGTTGTAGAGCAGCGGATCATGCTCGAAGTTGTTTAATATTGAGCATATTCTGTGTACATATGGATCGGCTTCCGTCATCAAAGAAATCGAGTACAGCAATAAACAAGTGTATGTTTCAATGCATTTGTCTGATGATTACCATATTGAATCCATCAGTATCTGTACATAGCCATTATAGTATATATTGACACAGATGATGCTCAATTCGTGAATGTATGAAAGAGAGAAGGATAAAGTGATCCGGTCGAAGAAAAAATAGGATGTGTATGTGTTGCTCTCAATGCATCCACTTTGGTACTGCTCATATCACATCAGTTTTAACAACTAGTGTAGCATTCTTACAATTAGAAGTCTACTTGTGAAGAATGCCTCTGTTCTTTTCATCGCGGTGTGTTTTTTCCTTTTACCGAATAAATGAATAAAGCTAGGTAGAGTTTTTACTTGCCTCCAGAAAATGATTCGCTCCGTCATCGTATATGGGAAAGAAAAGGCTTCGTCACCCCGATTTATAGCCATTTCATGCCTTTTCTGCAAACATGAAAAAGGTTTATGGCAAAAGAAGGTCAACAGATCTGCGTCAGACGCCAAATATGAAATATAGCAATCGATGACAGAGTAGCAAGGATAGTTATTTATTGACAATGATGCGATTAAAAACGACACTGGCCTAAATCTTATGGTCTTCCTTCTTTTTGTGTTGCGCTTTAAATCCGTTTGTAAGCACAAGTCTGATGGTTTCGCAATCTGATATATATTCATGTAAAGCTCAGTCTCCTGTCACAAAACTTGGCATGACCATGCAGCGAACGTGGTATATAATGTATATCACCAACTTTTTGAGCAGCAAATGCAGCTTCCTGTTTACCTATCGGCAAAGTCACAGAAATGAAACCAAAGTAATTAGGGTGTTTACCACCTACCCAGTTTATTAAAGCATGTAATATGGGGAGCATTCACTATCAAATGGAAATGACGTCAAATTGCAGCATAACCAGGCACGGCTTCTCGTAAGTACATCCATGAGCATTGTATGTAGCGGCAAAACTTTTCATCAAAATCTTGGAGGCGGTTTTTTTTCTTGTTTCAGATGAAGGTTGCTCACCTCTCTACTCACAAAACAAGCTCATCTCTTATCCTAATGATTAAAAAACGATATCCCGGGCTGCAATCGGGATACCTTATAGCAGATGAACATTGTATGTAAGCCATTCTATGCGCCAGCTTTTGGATTATCGGACACATATAACATACGCAGCGTCTCCCCAGTGAAACTCGTCATGATTTCGCAGATCTACAGTAACGGTCATACAAGCAAAAAATGATCCCTTGGTCTCGACGATTTTGCAAGACTTGGTCATGCTGATTCGCTTGTGAATATCGACATACCCTTTTCTGTGGTAACATTGAGATTACGTTGTGCTTATTCGATTTACCAAACAATCCTGTGGCTAGTACGCATTAGCAGGGCAGCAACTAGAGAAAGTTAGTCATATGAACAAGCGGACCAACAAATTGCCGGCTATATTTATGAAATTGCGAATTATGTTGTGTTTCTTAGATGATGGGATCAGGAAATAACAACAGCAACACACATGTTTTACTTGAAGGGTGATCGCCCAATGATAGAAACAGAAAATGGAAAAAGAGGTCATATACTCAATAGAGTGCTTTGAGCTGACGCAACAGGCGATGACGCTGCATCATAGGACAATCTCATGAGTCACGGATATTAGCTATGCAATTCCCCCCCCCTCGTTTTGAAAGGCCCATTACTCAACCGCAGATGAGGGTTGTGTGTGGTGCGCCGCCCCAAGACTTGTGGAGCTTTTAGTCATTGGGGAAATCTGATTGGCTGCATCAAACTCTCAACGAATTTGAACGCTGATGGGAAATCCCCGCTATAGCGAACCAAAAAAAAATCAAACTAAGCTTTTGACAATAAGGCAGTGACGAAATACTTGGATAAGGGGAGGAAAGAAGTGACAACATGTCTTGAACAGAAAAAGCGAGTGAGAAATGCTACGGCTCTATGAGCAATTCAATGTGACGACAGTACACATTGATTAGAGTGCTGGTCTATATTGTGGCACAGCGCACGAACACGTATTGGTTTTCTCTCTGTGTGTGTGTCCAAGTCACATTGAACAATCGGCCAGCGACCACCACATCTGCCTTGGAAATTTCGCTTCTTTTTTTGTCTTTTTTCTCTGCCAAGCGAGAGTCTCTTTTTTAGTCTTAAAAACACTTGCAGAACCAGAAAAAAGAGAGAAAGATAGTGAAAGAGCCGCAGTTTATCCTCTCCGTCCCCAGCTCTTTTTTTTTTTCATTCTTTCTTGTCAACACAATGCCTCAAGCGAGTCCTTTATTGGACGTACCAATAGAAGATTGCGATTCACCGTCCGGTTCATCGACTAGCGAGCCTCATGACGATTCGATGCAAATTCAACAACCATTCATTGACCAGTCTTTTTTCTATAAGCTCGACCAGTTGTCACCGGACAATCCTCTTTACTTTATGCAACAACAAGCCCAACAACAACAGCAGATAAAGAACGAAAGTTCCAGCAGCAGTAATAGCCCGTACACGATGGTGGACGAAGATCAGTCCATGGCCGAAGCTAACGATTCGGAATTGGGCTCGGCAGCCTCACCGCTTCAAGCGAATAGTAGTACTCGGCAGTCATCGGTTGAACAGCAGTTATCGCCGTCATTGCAACAACAGTTATTACAACAGCAACAACAGCACCCATTTGTGCCGCCGTCAGCATCGACGACCAGGAATAACCCGAGCAACGGTTTGGTCGAGCCGCTTCAACCGTCGAACTCATCGTCAGCCCCAGAAACGAACCAGACCTTTTGGTCAGGAGTCAATAACGTAAGTTTTTTTGTCTCCACATTTGCTCCACGGGTCACTGGCATTTTTTTTGCCACATTGAGAGATTTCTTTTAATAACTCAGGTCTTTTTTTCAGTTCTTTTCAAATGTTGCGCAGAATCCATTCCCTCAAGCCATTCCTAATCTCGCACGCAATTTCACAGACTACCTATCTTCCAGCTATCCCGCTCAAATGCCCGGCTCAATGTAAGCCTATTATAAGAATAACAAACAAACAGCAAACATTGCCCGGTTATAGGCGCAAAAAAAAAACCAGGAACCCGTAACTCTAAACCGTTCTTTTTTTCACTCTTCTCTTCAGGAATACCGTTTCTGCTGCAACACAAAACTCGTCTACTGCCGTTTCAACCCATGCAGCCATTCCAACGCCGCCCATGATGTCTCCGGATGCAGCAGCTATCAAGCCGGACAATCACAAAGCCAAAAACACAAGGTAAGCAAAAACAAGTTTATTTATCGCCATCTTTGGGGGGATTTTTTTTCTTGACAGTTTTTACATCTATTGCCGTGTTTTCTATATAGTGGCGGCATGCAAATCAGAGTGCTCGGTGTACCTCAACAGGGCGCAAAATCGCGTGTCGAGACACAAATCAAGCTATGCATCCAGCTTGTAACCGATGACGGCGATAAGGCACAATGGTGGTCACACCTTAAACTTCCCGAGCACATGGTCGCGAAGGATAAACTCAAGCGCCAGATCATGCTGTCAACCGCTCCCAATGGCACCCGGATCGCCAATGTCGCCGGTCTTGATAGCAACAACATGCCGATAAGTCCAGAGAAGATGCTCTTTTTGAGTGCTCGTGTGATCTGCGCCAGTGATCCATCCAGGAAAGTCGTTACTTGTTTGGGATGCATCCAACGAGAGGTAAGAGCTCTTAATAGCCGTTTAAAAGAGGATAATGACCCGATTAACCGACACATGCTTTCAATCCATTGCATTATGTAATATAGCGCAAGCGATCACAGCGCAGGAAAGAAAACCGGGTCAAAGCAGAGATTGAAGAAGAAAAGCGCCCTGCCGACGACGAGAAATCCTTGGCAATGGAAGAACAAAAAGTGCTGCTTTTCAACTGCTCAGAAGTCGTTGACTTCAGCTCAGGCGACACCATCTTACCCACCCGCATCACATGCTACTGCCGACATCATAACGAACGACTCGGCTTCTGGTATGTAGTTTTTATATAGTATTGCCAATCAGTCATGTGCACCGAACCAAATGCGGTATATCTAACATTTTTGTATTTTAATAGCATATATTTCGAGATGCAGGATCACACTGGCGAGACAGTTGCTTCGGGCATGTCACCACCTATCATGATTACCGACGACCACAAGTCAAACAAGGTGAAAGCTGGTCGTAAGCGACCGCGTGTCGACGCAGAGCAACAGCAACAACAACAACAGCCCAACACGCAAGCTATGCTCGCTGCAGCAGCTTCATTTAGCACGTTTCACCACCCACAGCAAGTCAGTGCCGCACAGCCCATGCAGTTTCCCTTTCCTAATCCGCAACTTTCCATCCAACCGCGCCCTGACCAGACGATTGCGCCATCGGGAGCACAGCAACGGTCGCCACAGCAACTACAACAACAGTTACCACAGCAACAGCAACAGCAACAGCAACAGCAACAGCAACATCAGCAACAGCAACAGCAACAACAGCAACAACATCAGCAACAGCAACATTCACCAGTTGCAGTCAAATCATCTTCGCAGGTCTCACCGATGGATCCTGCAATGAGCGCGTTCCTCCAGTCGTCTCAAATGGCGCAGATGCAGCAACAACTGGATCAGAGCCTGTTCTCAAACATTGCTGCTGCCGCTGCTGCTGCTGCAGCAACTACTACTACTGCAGGTCCCAGCTCGAGCAAAATTTCGACGCAAACACCCCCACCACCCACGCCACCCGCCGTAGAACGTCCGCAACTACAACGCTTAATTCCAAACGAAGGTCCTACGTTTGGTGGTATCGAAGTAACGATCCTCGGTACGAACTTCCGCTCCGGCTTGACGGTCATGTTTGGCGATGTGGTTGCTTCAAGCACACATTTCTGGTCACCCAACACGCTCGTATGTATTTTGCCTGCAGTGGCTGAACCAGGGCCTGTCGTGGTATCCTTCAAGGAATATCCCGTCGTCATGGACAGTCAAGAAGTGATGCTGTTCACTTACTACAACGAAAACGATCGGGCATTGATGGAGCTTGCGCTTCAAGTGGTCGGATTGAAGATGACAGGAAAGGTTGAGGACGCACGAGAAATCGCCATGCGGATTGTCCAAGGCGGTAACCAGAACCAGCGATCATCCGAAGGAACAACTGGCTCCGGTGGAAACGATGCTGGAAGCAGTAACAACGGCAAGCAACAACAATTACAACAGGAACAAGAGCATACACAGAAGCAGCACCTGCAACAGCAGAATAAGCAAGCTAACCTCGAACGGCACATTATTCAAGTGCTTGAAGTGATGGATACGATGGAAGATGTGCAGTCCAGCGATGTTTCCATTGCAAATGCTCAGGGCCATACCATGCTGCATTTGGCGGCCATGCTTGGATTCACGAAATTAACGCTGGCGTTGTTGGATCTCGGCTGCTCGGTCGACAACACGGATCGCAATGGATCTACAGCATTACATTACGCTTCATGGTTCGGTCACGAAGACGTTACCCGTGTGTTGTTGGAAGAAGGTGAAGCAGATCCAGAGATTTACGACTTGCAAAACAAACGACCCATGCATCTCGCCAAGGATTATAGTATCCGGACATTGTTGTTGAACCATATGCCGTTGGACGATCGGGAAACGTCCGAATCCTCGCACCGCGAAGATTCACTCTCGGATATCATGAGCGCTGATGTCGACACATCGTATGACGAGGAAGGTGACAATTCCGAGGAAGAAGAGGATGATGATTCCGACAGTGTCTGGATTGGCAGTGACTCGGAAGAAAAGACTGAGTGGCAACAAGCCTATGTGTCCGATTCTTCGACTGCGAGCAGTGAACCTTCGACGACAATTTCAGAAGGCTTACGGCGCCGACGACGTCAACAACAGCAACACACGGACGAGTCACCACAGCAGCAGCAAGTTGCATCGATCCAATACCTGCAGTTAGACGACGAGGACTCGAATTCCGCCGACGAAATTCTAGACGCTCAACCTGTGCATGAACAAGACGCTCTTTCCTCTTCCGATGATGAGATACCCTCCAACAAAAAATCATCCAACTGGATGCAGCGAACATTGTCACACTTCCAACAGCCAAAACACCAGCGGTCAACATCGCAGGATAGCTCGTTCCTTCAAAATCTGAAAAACAACATTGCCACCAAACCATCCGACTTGACTATGAAAAATATTGCCGACCACTTACTACAACTTCCTCGCCCTACTACCATGATTGCCAACATGTCCATACTACGATTGTCTCCCGATGCGCCCAAGAATACCACCGCCACCGAAGAGCCAGAGCAGACGCTTGCCTGGTATATGGCCCTTGCTTATGCAATGGGCGTACGGAACAGCCAATCTCCACCATCTTCGTCATCATCATCGTCATCATCATCTGCTTCATCATCATCTTCATCATCTGCCTCCCGACTTAACCGAAAACAACATCACATATCCGCCTATCCAGCCACGCCATCGTCATCTACAACAACACCAGAAGGGATATCACAGTCCTCATCTGCTGCCAGCTCGTCATACGACAGTTACTATCCAAAGGGACTTGAAACGATGCAAGATAAGAAGCGGAGAGATCAGCGCCTGTTCTCGTTCTGGGTACCATTATTATGCTGTAAGTGCTGCTTCTATATGTTTGTTCAATGTAGATCATGGTGAACTGACCGTAGATGATTTACTTCTGTAGTGATGGTGATCTGGTTGACCTATCAAATTGCTTACTCTCATACGTTCCGTAGCTTATTATGGTGGATCTAAGTGTTCACCTTGTTCTCTACTTTTTTGTGATATGACCTCCCCTTTTCAATCCCTTTATTTGTGCTTAATATACATACAATATATATATATATCTTCCTTCTTTTACAAAATACAGCTTTTTTGTGGTTCTTTTCATAAAACAATTTTTACCCGAAGTTTCGGCCAATTATGCTGATTAACACTATCTCATCGGGTAAAGAAAATTCCACAAGCATTATCTTTTGTTTCTGTAGATCGAAAACAAGATGGTTTTTAATAATCAATGGTAAAAAGAAGAACAGGGTGAACAGTATACATGGTACATGACATTAAATGATAATTTACAAGGGAGTTTAACAAACAATGGCTTTTGCTTTTTTTTGTTTTTTTTTCTTTCTGAGCGTTCAAAAAGAACGTATTTACTCGCTCTCCCACACACAGGCCATACCCATACCAGTTCCCATGCACATGCTGGTCACACCGACACGCTTGTTGGTTCGCTTCAACTCAGGGAACAAAGTGGCAACCTGTCGTGCACCGGTGGAGCTATTCATATATCAAGAAGAAGAAACATTGTAGTTTAGTATACTGTGCTTTTACGCGACATCATCATCCCAGTCACTTACCCGAGAGGATGGCCAATGGCGATAGCACCGCCCTTGGGATTGACCTTTTCCTTGGGGATACCCAAAACCCTGACGGTATAGAGGGCCTGCGAGGCAAAAGCTTCGTTGATTTCAAAAATGTCGACATCGTCGAGCTTCAAGCCAGCACGTTCAACGGCGACAGGGATAGCATAAGCGGGACCAATGCCCATGACGTGAGGGGGTACACCCACGGTGCATGCAGTGACATACTTGCCAATGACGGGCAAGCCAAGAGCCAAGGCAGTCTTGCGCTTCATCAACAAGACAGCGGCAGCACCATCAGAGATCTGCGAGGCATTACCGGCAGTGGTCGAGCCATCCTTCTTGAAAACAGCCTTGAGCTTGCCCAAGCTCTCGACGCTCGAGTTGGCACGGATACCCTCGTCCTTGTCAACAAGCACTTCCTTGGGGTTCTCACCATCCTTGTCCAAGATAGTAGCCGTGATGGGCACAATTTCTTCCTTGAAATAACCGGCAGCCTGGGCAGCAGCGGCCTTCTTGTGCGATTCGACAGAGAATGCGTCCTGTTCGGCTCGGGTCAAACCATAGTCCTCGGCAACGTTCTCAGAGGTAATACTGTTCACAGAACAAAATAATTTAATTTCCTGCGCAACTTTGTTTTTGACAGGCACATTCCCCACCATTCAAAATATACTTTACCCCATAGGCACAAGACAGTCACCAGCAGACTTGACCTGGTTGGCAATCTTCTTTGACATTAAGCGGTTGCGTTTGTAGTAGTCACTGCTCATGGACTCAACGCCAGCGCCAATACCAATGTCGATCAAACCAGCCTGGATGGACGAGGCAATCGTAACACAGGCCTGCAGACCAGACGAGCACTGACGGTTGCAGGTGCTGATCGAGGTGGTTTCGGGGAAGCCGGCAGCCAAGGAGGCCATACGAGCGGGCGTGGCCAAACCACCAGGGGCATCGACATTACCAACGCAAATGTCCTGCACCAAGGCGGGATCAATGCCAGTACGGTCAACTGTGGCCTTAAAGACGTATTGAAGCAGCTCTATATATCATGTATCAAGGCAAACCATTTAATCAAATGACCCTCTCACTGTTCCGGATGATAAAGTGTGTCTTTTGTGTGTTCTATCCCAAAAAAATGCTTATGTAATTATACTTACGGTCAGCCAAGGTGTCCTTGAAACCACCCTTACGGCCCTTGGTCAAGGCAGTGCGAAGAGCAGAGACGACAACAACATCCTCGGGCGATTTGACACCGACCTTGGTAACTTGCGCTTGAGGTGCAGGTTCAAGAGGAATGGGGTAAGGAAGATTGTAGGGCATTGTTGATTCTCTTGTGTGTGTGTGTGTGAAGAAGTAAAGCACAAAAAAACCCAGTGTGGGGTAACTTGGGTATGCTTTTATATGTATTCTGGGAATTGCATTACAAATAAGAAATGGGACGCTCCGACGCCTTGCAAGCTATTTCACAAAAGCAATGACAAATCGCCTCCATTTTTCCCACTTGTTCGCGTTTTCGTTTATGCATCACTGCCGGGAACTTTGGATCATTGAGGCAAGTTGCTGCTTTGCCTTGCTTTCACTGATTCGGCTTGGTCCACCTTGCTTTTCGGTTTTGGAAAGTTAGCTTTCTCGATGCAAGTAACACAAAGCGAAACGTCAAACTCCAAATTTCGTTGTCCCATTATACCCAGCAAAATCATGCATACATGTTTACTGCTTACGATGACGACTCACAAAACTGCCTATATTATTCATGATTGTGGAGACGCCAAAGCTCATGAGCAGTACTGAAGGTTCCGTATTTACAAATTGGACTGTATTACGCAGTAAAGGTACCGTTTGTTATCGTGAGCCGAGAAAAAGAGATACTTTTCAGATTAGCAAGCAACTCTATGCATTCTAACTGCATACGTTTACAAAAGCCAAAGAAGAGAGGCTTATTTGATACAAAATAGCATATATCGACACGGTAATAAGTACACAGGTGTGCCTTGAGCTTCTCATCAAAGCAATAGTTCGATGCTACATTATATGGTGATTCTACTGATAGTTTACGTCTGATTTGTTACTAGTTTAAACTCTGTACTGGTGTAGCACATTTCATTCTAAAGGCTTTTCGAGCCAGCATTGAAGACAATGCGCATACGCTTAAATTCGATGGTTTCACAAAACTGCGGAACAAAGAAACAACGAGAGAAAGGATCCATTCTTATACTTTTCTCCTTTCTGCCTTCATGGCTGTTGATCACGATATTCTTTGGCTGCAAACAGCACCGTCCATAGCTGCCATTTATTATCACACACATCTCTATACCACTCATGTTCTATATTGTCCCGATGATCGTGTTCAATTAGACGAGCTCACCGTGCGCGATTTAGGTCGAAAAATATTGAATGTGTTAGACTCGGTAATTATGCATGCTCGATTAGCAGTGATCCCTCTTCTCTCTCTGTCTGGAAATAGTTAGCAAAACAGCATATCTCATAGCGGTCGCTTATTTTCACTAGAACAACAAAAAACTCGCCGTTCACTTTATGCGACCATGTGCCATTCGAAAACACCAGGATGTAGTACGATATTTGCTCAAGATCCGAAGTAGCTTGACGATCGATTGTCGTGTTCTTCCCACCGCACCCATCCAAACTCGACTGCTCGCCGGTTGGGCAATGTCGCTTCAACCCGAATTCGCAAGTCGCGACTTGTGGCTACGACGTTGTTTGGTACCTTTTCACTCAGACGCGTTTAATAGCCCTGACGATGATTCCGACGTGAATACCGAGTACATGGATCCGTTTTGTATCACGGCCGAGCCATTCGAAAAGAGAGCACTTGTGATCAATGTTACGCGCTCCATATGTACGGGAAAGAGTGGTGTCGGATTCACGTTAAACGATGCTGTAGTAATGGCTATTCAAGGATGGACTGATGTGGTCAAGCAGCTATCCATAGCAGGGTGAGACTTTGGAGAAAAAGGAAATCGCAAGTAAATTGTAACTACTGACATTTTATTTTGGAACAGAACAGTTATTCTTATTGCTGATGAAAAGACGCTTTACAAGGGCATTCCGGATGAACTTGGTGAAAAGTAAGGAGATGATTTTGGTGTTGATAGAAGGCGGCAAATTTATTTAGTGCATACGACATGACCAAGGCTTTTGTCATTGATATTCATAAACAGACAGGATAAGCAGCTGAAACGACATCGTGAGAGTACATACCGGTACTTGGAGCGACTAGGGTCAGAATGTCCAATCTACCTGTATACACGCGCCTACACTACCATGGAGCCCGAAACAATACCCGAAAAACTAGCATGGTAAAAAGAAATTGAGGTTTATGCATGTCTTGTATACTAACAACACAGATTTTCATCTAGTATTCAACATCGTCATGGGCTATGCCTCAGGGGGTCGTTTATGCTTAGCTGGTCTAGGGACGATACTCTACTACAGCATGACGACTGCCCAGCGTACTTTTCACAAATGCAGCATATCTACCTCCGGGAAATATTGGTCCAGAAGAGCCGTGTAATATGGAAGGGTGACTTGTAAACAGCCAATTCATAAACAATTGCTCTATTATACTTTTATCCCTCTGTACTCACCTTTTTCTTCATACGTTTTTCTTTTTATTACCAGTTTTGAAATCCTACAACGAGAGACCGAAAAGTTACAGCCAGATAATATACGACGGATAGCACCATCCACCATGTAAGCACTCCGTCTAGTGGATAAGCAAGATTATTCTACATAGGTTGCTGCATAACTCATGCGCAATTTCTACAAAAGCACCAGTGACCTTTCAGACCAAGAACAGACGTGGACCCCTCTGCTTTATATGCAAAGTGACAAGACGACGAGAGAAGAAACTTTTGAAGGAACTGTGAGACACAGCGTATCTGCTCTTGTAAGTTTATAAACTGCTCTGAAGAAGCGAACATGGGGACTGCGGCGCCAGGACATTTCTTGTACCTCATTCTTTATATTTGTTAGAATACCCGAGTATTTGATTCTTATAAATCGCACATGGAAAATATCGAAACAGACAAGTCCGGCGCCAAACAACAGACACACCCTATGTCATTTCAATATGATGATAATAATCTGAAAGGATCTTCATCCACTCATAATATTCAGCAAGACGATCAAAACGGCATGGATGAAGATGCAATTGAAAAACTACGATATGGTTTTGCTGATCGTCTTGACAACGAGGCCATCAAAACGTATATTGGTAACAAGGGCGCTTGCTCACGAGGTCAAACGATACTCGATAAGCTCGATCAAATGAAGATAGCTGGGGATGCGGACAGCATTGATATTTGGGCCAACGCTCACGGAACTGCAAAAGAAGCCTATGTCGTATCCATCACATTAACATCCGAGTCACAAAAAGAGATTGGTAAATGTTTTGCAAGCTTAAAGCATGAGTATACTGACAGATTGTTAACATCTCCTTTCTTTAATAAAATATCACTATCCGTACGTAGGATTTAAAGATGGCTCCTGCTCTTGTCCAGTGGGAAAACATGGTAAATGTAAGCACTGCACAGCACTGTTACTACGGTTTATGGTGAACACGGATGAATTCGATTACGTGGCTCGATCAGAACGGCCACAACCGAGCACTGCAACTACTCCCACGAGCGATATGCCAAAGGCTAGTGCAAACACATCCAAATCCACCCGGCATCCGCCAACACCAGAAGCAGAGAGACAGCTCACATCACCTTCTGTTACATCTACAAATGCTCAGTCAATGACGACTGTTTCAGGAAGTTCAAAGGCAACAGGTGATCCCGCATTCTCCCTCATCAAACAGCGATCCTTTCACGAAGATGACTCTGAAAAACCAAAACAAGAGAAACCGGCAGCAGAATCCACATCAAAGCAACCTGTCGGCCGTCGGATACTGCCTTGGGCCAAACCGGGAGCAGTAGAGGAAGAAAAGCCCAAATCAAATAGACGTAGCAAGAAAGACGCCGACTCTGCAACGGCGGCAAAGACGACGCCGAAAAAAGCGACAAAACGGAAAGCTCGCCAAAATACCGATGAGATAATTGCTGCCAATGAGGGGATGCATGATATCGGCACTTCCTTGAAAACGACACGAACAAAAAAGCCAAAAACTGCTACTACAGCAAAATCATCAGCACGACAAAAAACTATAAAGGAGCAAGTGGGAGAGGACGATAGTGAGGAGGAGGGCGACGATGACCCAATGATGATTGATCCAAAAAAAATCACAGCACGAAAGCGTAATCCGCGACGGACTGCTACCAAGTCAACCGCAGCGAAATCATACAAAGAAAGTGACGATAATGACGAAAACAACGATGCTTCTGTTGATGATAAGGAAGCAATCAGAGCTTACGAAAGGAAATCGCGCCAGGATTATACTGCTACCAATCATAGTGATGGAGATGACGACATTTATCATGACACTATGGACGAGGTAGCGACCCGACATATCAAACCAAGTACAAAACCTTATCAGACAAATGATGCTGCCGTATGTAAATCTCATGCTGCCCTTTTACTAGCTGCTACTAAACTATGGCTGTCGGTGTATTATTAGGCTCTTGATTGCGATTTGAAGGAGGATATCCACCATAACAGCCATAATAACAATGCTCTGCATGTGCCTGACAATAACGATGATGGTGACGAGAGTGATGTTACCGATGATGGATTAGGAGTAGTATACCGGAAACCAAACGAAGAAGAAGAGAAAGAAGCGGCTGCAGAAGGGAGTTACATGTCACTCGATAACTCCATGGGTGCTCAAACACCAACGACAAGTGATGTTGAAATGTCAAACAAACAGGACGACAAAAGTTCACTGGGTCAAGTTGAAACCCAAACTTTTGGCAGTAATAGTATCGATGGTAATAGTACTAATATTGGGATGACGACCGACGATTTATTTGACGAACTAGGATTATAAATATATACATTTTCTCTTTTACATATATCAACATCCACCTGCCTCGCTTCGCTCGGCTGAATGAGCCCCTTCGCTGCGCTCCGGGTCATTCAACGGATTGGATGTTTCCTGGGGGTTCCCCCAGACCCCCAAGGTGGGGGGTTCCCCCCCACACCCCCCTTCTAAACCCTAACCAAAGCTCGCTTCGCGAGCTTATTTATTGCTATGACTACATATAACCCTAAACGTTATCATTATTGCTATGACACGAAACCCTACTACACGTTGGTTTGTCAAATCAAAAGGGACGACAGAGGAACTTTTGACTGGTATTTCACTGTTAATGCGAGGATGACTTATTTGTTGCTATCGACAGCTCTTACATATTTTTGAAAGTTCATCAATGTGTCCGCTTTCATTTGAACATCATGGTAGATTATTGCTGCTTGTCGTAATTAGCTGAAAGGTGACGGCAGCTTCGCGTAGTTCTATATCTTATTGTTTCGCGTCAGACCTACTTACGAAAGATACCGTGAAGAGGTAAGAATATTCTATTGTACGTTAAATGATAATAAGTGAAAATAAGAGTTTAGAAGCAAAAAGAAAAAGAGCAGAAAAGGGCTCAAGGTGATGGAGGTGGAAATGCGGTGATTGTTGTTGTGGGAGAGGTTGGTGGTGAATTTTCGGCTTGTTCAGGAACAGAGGCCGGCGGATGCAAGAGAACTTCTTGGTAGACGATGTTGGTGGTTTGTGGTGGTCCAGACCCTGAGAGATCGATGGCAACGCGAAGATTGTTAGGGTCAGTTGCCCGAGATAGCGCAACATATAGTTGGCCATGAGCAAAGACATCTTCTGCAAGGCGGACACCGACATATTGCAGGGTTTGCCCTTGCGCTTTGTGGATGGTCATAGCAAAGGCAGGGCGGACAGGGAATTGGCGGCGGCAGAGGATGAAGGGATAATCTCCTTCCATTGTACACATATTGATACGTGGAAGGAAAAATTCCGGGCCACGATGCCCTTGGTCAATTCTTTTCACGGCAATACACCGATCAAGAAGCCTTGTCACGAATAATTTTGTGCCATTGCACAGGCCGGCGTCGGGATCCAAGTTGCGCATGAGCACTACAGGCATGCCAGGCTTGAGCTGTAACGTATGGCTAGGTATGCCATTAGCGCTGAGACTGTTTAAAAACTCGACGGGATAGTTGACCACTGCTGCTTCTGGGTCATCAGCGTCTATGATACGGTCATTGGCAGCATAATCGCGCCCTTCACCTGGAAAAATACCGTAGGCTGCCTCGTTAATCGCATCGACGTCGACGTTTTTTGCTGCCAATATGGCGCGAGCGTTGAAATCTTCAGGTTGCGGCTGTGGATTGCTTATGTTGGGATATATGGCGTCTATAAGACCCATGGTGTCTGCTGCATCCATACGCCATTCCTGAGAAATTTCTACGCTTTCTGTATATGGAGCACGTCCATCGCCAATGGCAAGAAGTGTCTCAGCAAATGCGGGAGCAGCAGGACCGGCGTGACGTACACGCATGTTGATGGTCAAATGCAATACTTGAACATCACTCCAAAAAGAAGCAGAACGGATGCAATCACCAACAATTTCGGACCGAGTCCCTTTCTTGACGACGGGCAGCAACTGGCGAAAATCACCACCAAAAACGACAACTTTTCCACCAAAAGCAACATTGCTCAGGCGAGGGTCAACGGCACCCATGACATCACGAAGTGATCTGTCAACAGCTTCAAAATTCCATTTGCTGCACATAACAGCTTCATCCCAAATGATAAGAGAGGTACTCTGTATCAAGTGGGCATGAGGACCACCGAGACGAATATTGCAGGAGGTGGACGCGTCTGCATTTAACGGAATCTTGAAGCGGCTATGTGCCGTACGTCCGCCGGGAAGCAGGATTGCAGCAATGCCGGAAGAAGCAACAGGCAGTGCAATCATGTCGCGGGAGCGCGTATGGCTCAGAAGAGTCTTGAACAGCTGAGACTTGCCAGTTCCTCCAGGTCCGTTCACGAAAAAAACCGTGGTTATAATCGTCGTCAGGTCGGCTGATGGCAGTGGAGATGGTGTCAAAGGCGTGTCGTTGATCGTCGTTTAATGTTGGCAACAGCGTCTGAAGAAGATGACGCTGCTCTTCCTGATCGTACTCGCGCCGTTCGACAATCTCGAGTGCTTCCAAAGGAGGCAACAGATCAAGTTCGGTGACAAAGTCTTGAGGGAGAGAGGGAATTCTGACAGACGATGACCGGTTGCTTGTAAACGTGACTCGATGTCACCAAGTGCTCTTTGGTAAACCTGGTCTAGTTGATCGGTGTCAATTCGGCCTCATTTGGCATAGAGAGCGACCTGCGCATCTCAAAAAAGTAGTCGTCGGCCATTCGATCGCGATAGGTGTTCCATAAGGACAGCGGATCAGCAGGCGAGCAACTGGTAAGTATGCACACAAAAAGTGCGCGGATTGCGGATGCAGATGGTGCTACTGCTGATGCTTCTTCTAAGCAACGATTCCATTCATCGTCTGACTCTAGAAGACCACGTGCTAACGCTGCTTG